CAAATAAATACTGTGAACTGGTATTTTTTTAAAATATAGACCTAATATAACTTGATTAAAGTTATTTATAATTTTTTACACAATAAACGAGTTTGATTCTGTGGTACATGAATGATCAAAATAGAATTAATTAGTGGATCCAGATGGGGCGAGTTTTGGGGGGTTGAAACCCCCTTTATTTTCGTACACACCCAGAGAGAATTTTTTTCTGTAATATAGATATTTATGCGTCGAATAATTTGAAGTAATAAAAAACTCTGTCCTTTCTGCTCGGTAGATCTGTAGATGCAGGGACGTAGCAACCGCGGGGGGGGGGGGGGGGGGCTTCCCCCCCCACATTTTTACCCAACATTACCTTTAACTATAGAAAATGTTCATTGAAAGGATGGTCCCCCCCCCCACTTTTTACCAGAGTATAGTGATATCAAGGAATTGTAGGCAAAAAATCGGAAGTGAAAGTAACTTGGCTTTGAAAACTTGGCCACTTGTAGAAGTATGCATAAAATATTTTAAATCGAGAAAGGTTTAAAATGCTCCCATAGTATGCAGATGGAGGCCTGAAGGCTCACTTTTTCTGAGGATAATGTAGCTTTTGCTGCAGTTTTAAATAATATTTTGATTTGAAAGCTCTCTCCACATTTTTTGTTACCGGAAAATACGCAGTAATGTACCGAACAGAAAGGTTACAGGACCCCCCCCTCTCGATCTATCCCTTCCCAAAAAGGATTTTAGGATTTTAAGGGTGCATGGTAAATAGGTTTTGTTGTTGTTGTTGTTGCTTTATTATTTCATTTTTTTGGTTTTGGTTTTGATTTATTTCTTTTTTGCTTTTCAACTGCTTTTTGAGGCCCCCTTCTCATAATGTATAGCTAAGGACTTGAAGTGGCCGTGGTTTGATTCTATGCTAATGAATGGTGGGGGGAACTGACCTGAAACACCCCCCCCCCCCCCCCCCCCCCCGCTTTTCTAAACTGGCTGGATCCGCCTCTATAATTGAATGTGGATTATATTTCTTGACATAAAATTTTAATGATTAAAAATAGTCGATGCATACAGGAACGGAAAGCGAACTGCCGATGAGAATGCCACATTCTTACTAAAATTAACTTTAAACTTATTCCTCTTGTCTAAATATTTTTTGTCCAGATTCCTTGCCTGAGAAGGTAATTAAGAAAGTTTACAATGTCCCCATTCTTATGATGTAGATTTCACTTTTTTCCCCTTTCAATTTCTGCGTTTAGGTAAATTTTCTGGTCAAAAGTAAATTATCATTTCAATTTTTGAACAAGTTTTGACAATCGACATCCCTGCCTGAAAAAAAAAATCATTGATCTGTCTCTAGGGTTAATAAATGGTAGCGCACAAAGTGCGTAGAATTTTAAACCTAAAATTTTGCGCTAACGAATGGTTACAGGAGAGAGAGAGATTTTAATGATTCAATGAATAAAAGACTAAATAAAAATTATCCGTATTGAACCAGCTTTCAAGTATCCCTACCCTAGTTTTAAAAATTTATCTCCCAAATATTCCTACAGGAATTATTTCTATTTTTGAAAAAGCTAGACTGTCAGACAGGGATAATGAAATCTCGAAATGAAAGACTTCCTGTACTACATAATAATAAAACAGTCACATACCCCAAATGTACTTACTTTGTGGTCGGAGTGAGACAATAAAACATCTCAAAAATGGATTTAGCAGAAATGTCTGTCTTCCACGAATGTTTAGGTAACGGTCATGTCAATTACCCCCCCCCCCTCCCCATAAAAAATACAAAATGCCTAAATGTCAATATAAACAGGGGATGGTCTTTCTTTCTGTGTGTTAAAGAACCTACCGATGTACAAATAAATTTTTGTATTCTGGTTAAATGCTTTTATTTCTTGAACTAAATAATTACCGTATATCAAACAACTCGGTTTAGATTTGAGATTAGTACTAAAGTAATCAGTAATAATTGAAAAAAGAATTTTGCGATGCAAAACAACTGCAGACTATATAGAATGTTTATTAGAACTATTGAGAGAAAATTTTCAGTTACATATTATGAAGCAGTTATAAATATATATTAGTTACCCCCCCCCCCTTTCAGCCGCGCAAATACCAAATAACTTCTCTTTCCACTTGTGATATTTTCCCTGACCAAAATCTGATCAGCACGGACTAAGTGTTTTGATGTGCTAGTCTGTACGGAGTAATGACAGTGTGTTTACTATTGAGCTTTTTATGGAGTTTATTTCTTTTTTGTGATGTATATTTCAATAAATGGAATTCAGGGTGTATATCACTTGACTTGTGCACATCTTCGAACCGATGCAGTAACCTTATTACCAGGTATGGGTACGTTTACAGCGTTCGACGCGTTTTCTCGATATGCATCAATTGCATAGGACCTGCAAATCAAAGACGTTGGTTGTTTTGTTCCATTCAAATGATAATAATTTCAAAAAAGTGTTTGCAGATTATACTGCTCTTTATTTCAAGTTTATTCTGAATAAATTGGCGCACTGTAAAAATACGTACTCATGCATCTAACTTTCTCTTCCAAACTTGCATTTTTTTTCTTTTGATTCAAATCAATAATCATTCAGAAATATGCTTATTATGTTGTTTATTTTGGTTTTGAAATGTCTTGATCACCTCATGTGTTCTTATATATATGCTTTACTATCGGAGATGTGCACAAGTCGATACCCATGCCAAAAAATCATTCAAGTGTAACGAGCGCATTGGGGTATATATCGTTACAATGAGACAATGTATCTGAAAGAAATATGGCGGAAAACGGCTATAGTTGGTATGAAACAAGTCGTACATAGATGAAAATGTTGCGTTTTTAAGAATTCATGTCAGCTTTAAAGTATACAAGTTTGGAACCACTTTTTCAAGTATAGGTAGCAAATTGGTACAAAAAAGGGATACTAAAGGTATACTTTTCAATGATTTATTTTTTTTATTTCACATATAGGTACATTTTAGGCATGTAGTTTCATATCGTTAGGTGAACTGCATTAAATAACAGACCAGGATGATACATATAATTGTTTTTCCTGACGTGTACAGATCCCAGGAGGCTCCTAGATCATAAGAGATAAAAGTTACATCTTAACTTTTTAATTTTCTCATTAATTAAAAATCTAGATAAAACAAGGAATAAAAATGAAGAGAGCGGACTTCTAAGAAGATGTGTTTACCTGAAGTCATTAAAAAGAAGAGTGAGCAGGTCTTGTCAGAAATAACATTTCACCAGGGGGGACATTTTCTCTCTTGTAATTAATTAATTAATTAATTGGACTGCAGGCACATAAACATGTAACACAAGGTCACAAAGAAGGTACAGGGGTGTATAAAATAGTGTCAGAAGCTACAGGGTGTGTGTAAAATAGTGTCGGAAGAAGTACAGATCAGAGATGCTGTATTTTATAACATTTCAACCATTCCCCTATAACCACCCTATAAATGATGTGTCGAACTGGTCGTCACATTAACGGGAATCTTTTCTTTCTGTGATGAGTGGCCATATTAAAACAGTGTATTCTGGGATGTGACTCATTTTTTTGAAGTGATGTAAACAAAACTAGGGCTGTTTATGCTTTCTGTGAAGAGAGAATTGTTGAGTAAGGTATGTTCTTCAGTTCTGTGAAGGGACATTTCTCACAAAAAGAAACATGGAGGCAGTGGCTCTTTAGCTCAGTAAAGTGCCCTTGTTCTTTTCATGGAATTTGACTAGTTTCATAATGAGAGATAAACTGATATATTTTTATGGGAAGTAAAATTGTGAAACATTGTGTGACAGGATAAGAGTAGAGGGAGATATTTTTTTAATGATGCCCATTAATGGTAAGACCCTGTGAGAATGCCTGATAGATGATAACTTTGATGTACGGTAGTTTGTAGAGTGCTGATATTGCTATTTGATATGTGGCATTATTTGATGCAATTGTGAAAAATTAAGGATGATTTTTTTTTTCTAGTTATATAGTTTTATCTCATGAAATAAAAAAAATATTTTTCAGAAACTAGTGATAAAAATATTTGGCATATAAAAACGTAAGGAATTTCTTGACCATATATGTATATCGTTTACCTTGGTCATCCTGAAATATAAAACCTATTAATTCAGTTGATAAGTGTTGTTCTTTAATTAACAGCCATAAAAATTTTATGATTATTGAACAATAAAGTCTAGTTGGCAGTGTGTTGAAAATGATTATTAATATTGTAGCAATAATTTTTATCAAACATAAATGGTGAATATTAAAAAGGCTTTTTTCAGGCCATAAAAAGTACACTACATTTTTGATAGAGAAAAAAAAGTTCAGATAAAAATGAAATTCCGTTCGTTCAGGTCATTTAGAGTCATGAGTGAACAACTTGTTTGTTGAAATGTGACACGTCTAGAAAAAAAAACGACAAAAAAAGGACAGTGGGCTTTGTGAAGTAAATTGTACAGAGGCCATATCAAAAGATTTAGTACTGGACAGTAAGTTGGGGAAATATCTTCTTGTTTGACAGAATTTGTAGCCAATGTAAACCAAAAACACCATCTAAAGATGGAATAAAGATGTCATTTGTCAGTTTTCAGTCAAATAATTGTTGCAATGCTTCACAATTTTAATTGGTCTAAAGTGTGTTACAAGGGGAAAAACCCCGAATTTTTGTAAGAAAAATCTTAAATTATTGGAAGAGACCTAAACTTTTCTAGTAAGTATATTAGTTTAAGGACACTTAAATTTTGCGCAATCACTTCAAAAGTCAGTTCTGTACAGGCACCTTAAAGCACTTAAAACCCTGGGAGTTGGTTGTTATGTTATGTCAAGTGATAAAAACATTTCCTGATTCTAAAGTGCCGCTAAATTCTTTATTTCTGTATTTTACTTCAGCTCTTTCTGATGAGCTGTCAAATATATTTTACTACCTTTTTAATACAGCTATACGAAAGGATTCTACATGTTTATTTTAATTGTAAGAAGGGGCTCCTTGTTTCTATTTTTAGCTGTGAGAAGGGTTCCCACATCGAGTTCCAGTTTGACTTTGGTGATGGCACGACAACAGTGGTACAGGGGAGAGAAGAGATGTTCCTTAACTACGTCAAAGGCAGCACGTCTCACAGATATACACAGGGTAGGTAGAACGAACATATAGACATATAAAACCTATAGTCTCACAGATATACACAAGGTAGGCTACATAATCAGATATACACAGGGTAGGCTACATAGTCAGATATACACAGGGTAGGCTATATAATCAGATATACACAGTGTAGGCTATATAGTCAGATATACACAGGGTAGGCTACATAGTCAGATATACACAGGGTAGGCTATATAATCAGATATACACAGGGTAGGCTACATAGTCAGATATACACAAGGTAGGCTACATAGTCAGATATACACAAGGTAGGCTACATAGTCAGATATACACAGGGTAGGCTACATAGTCAGATATACACAGGGTAGGCTACATAGTCAGATATACACAGGTTAGGCTACATAGTCAGATATACACAGTGTAGGCTACATAGTCAGATATACACAAGGTAGGCTACATAGTCAGATATACACAGGGTAGGCTATATAATCAGATATACACAAGGTAGGCTATATAGTCAGATATACACAGGGTAGGCTATATAGTCAGATATACACAGGGTAGGCTATATAATCAGATATACACAGGGTAGGCTATATAATCAGATATACACAGGGTAGGCTACATAGTCAGATATACACAGGGTAGGCTATATAATCAGATATACACAGGGTAGGCTACATAGTCAGATATACACAGGGTAGGCTATATAATCAGATATACACAAGGTAGGCTATATAATCAGATATACACAGGGTAGGCTATATAGTCAGATATACACAGGGTAGGCTATATAATCAGATATACACAGGGTAGGCTATATAATCAGATATACACAGGGTAGGCTATATAGTACAGGGGAGAGAGAGATGTTCCTTAACTATGTCAAAGGCAGCACGTCCCACAGATATACACAGGGTCAGTAGAATGTACATATAGACATATAAAACCTAGTATTACAGATACACACAGGGTAAGCTACATAGTCAGACCATTCATATAACCACTCATTGATCCAAATCTTAAATTTGAAACTGGTTTCTGTTTAGAGCAGTTTTGTTTACATATTTCAGAGGGAGTGTTTAACATCACGGTGACAGCAATAAATCCCCTTGGCAACAGAACAGCAACACTTGACAGGCTGTTCTATGTACAGGCCTCACCGTTTGGATTAAAGCTGGATAAATCCATTTACTACACAAAACTTGGTGATGTCACTGTTATGCGTGCTACTTTCTCTCATGGTACCAATGTAACATTTGACTGGAAGCTCGGAGACCAGACTGATATACTCAACAACTCAGGTAACTAACAGTAACACTGGTAACTAACAGTAACACAGGTAACTAACAATAACTCAGGTAATTATGATGATTCTGGTAATTAATGGTAACTCAGGTAATTAATTGTGATTCAGGTAATTAATGGTTGCCCAAATTCTGAAATTACTCGCTTCACTTATTTCTATCTCATATGACTCATAAATAAAAAACAAAACCTGCTTGTATTATTTAGAAATTGTGAAGACTGGTTCCATAATGACATGTTTACTTCAGATTAGTAAATTTATTGTATTTTATGCCTGAAAAGAAGTTTTAAATCTGCTTGTAGCTCAGGTAAGCTTTCCAGGCCCCTGACCAGTTTTGTATCTTTTTTGTATCTGTTCAGGTTCAGTGTGAGAGCTTCTGACCTGTTTAAGTACTGTAGAAAAACTTTTTTCCGCGTGGTATTAATTTACGCTTTCCGCAGAAATATGTCCTAGCGTACTTAATGTAAATGTATGGCATATAGTGACAGTCTAAGAAATCCGCGTAATTTTATACCCGCGTACTAAATGGAAATTGAGATTCCGCGGAATTATGACTCCGTGGAAAAAAGTACGTCTACAGTATCTTTTCTCTGTTCAGGCTCGGTGATGAGACACACGTACCAGACACGGGGAGAGTTCAGTGTGACGGTGATAGCCAGAAACAGAGTGTCTTCCCAAACAGAACACGCCTTGGTGGTCGTCCAGAGTCTGATACAAGGTCAGTGTTCTATACAAACAAGATGACCCCTAACCCAACCTCCCTCTCCCACAGAGTCCAGAGTCTTATACAAGGTCAGTGTTCTACTGAAAGAAGGCACCTTTCCAAAGAACAAATGGTGGTCAAAAGTTAAGAGCCTCATACAGGGATAAAGGTCAATAATGTGATCCCCCACCCACAGAACAAGTTGTGGTCTTCTACAAGGTTAGTGTTCAATAATTTTAAATGAACCATCACCCCCCACCCCCCACCCCCCAACCCCCCTTATTGACAGAGATGTCTTGGAAAGGGATAGTGTACAGTTCAATGTATAGAAGGTTTCTCTTGACCCCCAAAATTTAATATTTATATTTCTTCCTGTTATTTTTAAGGGGTGAGGTTGATAACGAGCACCAACATCACTGAGACGAACCAGGTGATTGAGCTGAGAGCCGAGACGTTACCAGAACCGGGTCTGGGGACGTACCATCACTGGAACCTGGGGGACAACCAGAAAGGAGTCCAGACAACAGAACCGGAGATAGACTACAGATACAGGAGAAACGGAAGGTAAGTGTCAACCAATCAGACGATCTTATCATTGTTATCAACCAGAGATAGACTACAGATACAGGAGAAACAGAAAGTAAGTGTAGGGATAGAAAGCAACCAATCCAATTCTCCCCACAGGGCATAACCAATCAGACTCTCTCCTATGAAATATTAAACCAATCAGATGCTTTCCTCACAGTGATTAACAAATTGGACTCTCTCCTCACAGGATTAACCGATCAGATTCCTAATAGTGATTAACCAATCAGATTCACTCCTCTAAGTCATCAACCAATCAAATTCTCTCCTCACAGTCATCAACCAATCAGATTCTCTCTTTCCTATTTATACTCTCTGTTGTTTTTTTTTTTTTTACAATGTTCAACCATTAAAACTCCTCTCATGTTCAGTAGTTTATCAATCATGCTGTCTTATCTCAATATATATTAACTAGGGATGTCAACGAATAGTCGACTATTCGACTGTCAGTCGAAAGGACCGACTATCGAATAATACAACCGACTATCGACTAAATAAAATACGATAAAAAAAAGAGCGATAACTGTTGATTACAAATTTATGAAAAAGTTCATGGGTTATCTTTCTTTACAAAGTCATTACTAGCTATTCATTTGTGAGTATTATTCACTACGTAAGAACCGTTCAGAAAAATCAAACCCCCAATTACGTTTAGGTTTCATAGATTTTCAGTTCAGTTTTGAAAATGCCACCACCGAAATCAACCGTGTGGAAATTTTTTAAGCGAAACTTTGATGAAAAAACTGTAAAATGTACGTTATGCGAAGCTGTATTAAGCTATTGCGGAACTACTTCCAATATGCGATACCATCTTACAAATCTTCATCCAAATAAATTGGACGATGAGGCACAGCCAACTGTTGGAGAATTTTTCACACGTTCGCAAAAAAAACTGTCCGCTACTCAGTCCGATTCTATTTCAAAATCTATAGCAAATATGGTCAGTCCAGTCCAATACGAACATTCGTAATATTACGTAAAAACGTAAGATTACAAGAAAGCGTAATATTACAAGTTATTGTAATATAAAACTTATATTACAATTTTTCGTAATGTAGTTAAATTACGAATACGCGTAATATAGCAGATTGTAAGAGACTATATTACGAATTTTTGTAATCCAAGACAAATTCAAGCATTGCAAGAAATTGAGTGGTGGGTAGCAAAGTATGACGTCAGTAATATATCAGATTCCACGGCTACTGATAGCACGCGGTCAGTTTGGTCAGTTACGCCTATCAGAAAGCATGGAAATTCAAGAAGAAAGTACCGCCAGCAATGGGTGAGTGGACAATTTCTTTTATTATTCTTTTATAGGAATTTTCCCAAGGATAAGACCAATTTTCCAGTAAATTTCAATATTCGCTTAAGCATGTCGCATTGGTCTATATCACCAACTCCCTACTTTTCTTGCGAAGTCTACCCTAAAAATCACTACCTCGTCTCATAATTCAACTGTTCGTGCAATTCTTATTGAAATACACAGAATTCAAATCTCAGTAAGAGTCGTACAAGTTATCGCCCGTGACATCTCGTAGTAAACGTCACACTTTGCTACCCGCCACTCAATTTCTTGCAATGCTTGAATTTGTCTTGGATTACGAAAACTCGTAATATAGTCTCTACAATCTGCTATATTACGCGAATTCGTAATTTAACTCCATTACGAAAAATTGTAATATAAGTTTTATATTACGATAACTTGTAATATTACGCTTTCTCGTAATCTTACGTTTTTTCGTAATATTACGAATTTTCGTATTGGACTGGACTGATGGTTGTGAAGGATTATTTACCTCTAAGCATTGTGTCTTGGGATGGCTTTATTGGATTTATGAATGAAGTAGCGCCTGCGTGTAAAATTCCATCGAGGAACACGATCAAATCAAGAATAGATAAAATGTACGATGATAAGAAAACATCTTTGATTCTTTGGCTCCCCTGCCACATCAGTGCCCTCAGAACATATATTTTCTTCGGCGGGATTACTCGTCACAAAATTGAGAAATCGTCTGTCTTCAGACGTTGTTGACAAAATTATTTTCCTGAACAAAAACTGTTGACTTTTCATTATCAATGTATAAATGCATTAATGCTCTTCTATAATCTGATAATTGTCAATAACAATTGTTTTTCTGATAAATTATGAATCACTGTTGTGGGTTTTGTTTGTAGAATTATAATGAAAACACAGTTAATTAGACTTTACATTCCATGTATCCAAAATATTGTAATTTTAGTAATATTCATAGTTTCACATACGGTAGCCGAGACACGTTTTGATAATTTGATAATTACTTTTATAAAAACACGCATACATTGTAGTGTTGTAAACTAGGGCATTTAACTGTTTTAAAGTTAATACGGTAATCGGTATTAACAATGTCACACGGGCACCTGACGTATATACGCTGTGTTTATCTTATTTTATTTAAAGGAGTTTTTAAAAATATTTGCTGGTAGTTTTTGATGCATATTAAAACCAAATAATTATAATTTCATGTAAACATAATAGCTACAAGTCAAGTGCCTGTGAATATCTGTCAAAAGCATACGTAATGCATAAACCAAAGAAGGATAACTCTTGCATAGTGTATGCAAACGAAAGTAAAACGGAAATTAAGATTTTATTATGAAAAAAATGTTCCGAATAGTCGACTATCGTTCGAATAATGCAATCGAATGTTCGACTAAGGAAAATAAAAATTTTGACATCCCTAATATTAACAATGGAAATGTTCTCCCAAATACAAAAACAAACCAAACTATCTCCTGTTGAAATCTTATATCGGAATCCCTAACAGAGATCTTTGAGTCAAATCTCCTTTCATAGAAAACAGCCAAAGAGAATCTCTCCTTGTAGTAAACAATAAAAAAAAATTCATTATCAAGAAAAAAAATCAGAACCTCCTTGTAAACCTTAAGAAATTCTCTTCATGTTAATAATGGAAAATCAAATACTCCTTATTTACATGTAGCCAGTTGTATGGCAAAACTAATGTTCAAAATATTTTCCAGATTTATTGCGACAGTAAAGGCTTACAACAATATCAGTCAGGCGGAGTCAGTGCCGGTAGAAATCACCGTCCTGTCTAAAGTGAAGAACCTGGAGGTACGCTGTCTGAACGACTCGCTGGTTAACACGTCGCTGGAATTCGCTGCGCTGAGTTACTCCGGCTCTAATCTGACGTATGTCTGGGACTTTGGAGACGGCACTCCTCCTCTACAGTCCACAGTCACCGGGCCTCAAATCAGACATACTTATGTCAAGTATGTATTTCTGTAAATCTATAAGTCAATTGTTATAATAACGTATGTTAAGTAGGAATTTTGGATGAAGTACAAGTCAGTTATATTGTCATTGTCAGTGATGTATATCTATTAATCGGTTGTACAGTGTTGGAAAGTACTTTGTGACGTTGACAACTTGATGATGTCACTGTCAATGATGTATATCTATGTTTCTGTTGTTACAGCGTGGGGAAGTACTTTGTGACCTTGACGGCCTACAACCAGATCAGTAACGAGACAGACCGGATAGAACTGTTTGTACTGGACCGAGTCTGTAAACTGCCAGAGTTTGACATCCACAGCCGAGAGGTCACACAGGTACATTACCATGGTAACAAATGTAAAACAGAAAGGTTACAAAGGTCAGTTACCATGGTATCAACTGTCAATCAGGGAGGTCACAAAGGTCAGTTACTGTGGTAACAAATGTCAAAGGTGAAGATAATGAACAAGGATTGTCTTAAAGGGGGGCATAAAACAAGGACTCCTGGATCAGGTGCCTAGGGGGAGTAATCATCTCCTTGTATCATTGTTGCAGTGTTTTTCCTTTGAAGATCTCTGTGTTTTTTATTTTTGATACATCATGGCTAACTGGTGACAACCGTGATCTATCACGATAGAGCATGCCAGGGTGATGATGAGACAGTTCTATTAAATGGCCCATGACCTTACACCGAATAATTAGGGGAAAAGTAAATACAAAGTCATGTAAGCATAGTGAAGGAATACCTTCCCTAAGATAAAAAAAAAATAATTTTGCACGTCGATTTTTGAATCCAAAATGAAATTCACACAGCGGGTTTAGAAATTAATGTTTTTGACTCTCATAAACTTGAAGCATAACAAAGCACACACAATAAACTACATGTACAGGAAATGAGTTAAATATTCCGAGCCGTCTTATTTTATTAATTCCAACACAAATCGACGCATCCAGTAATTAGAAGAATCGGCGTACATCTCGGTCAAAAGTGTCAATTTTCCCATGCGGTATTCCTTGAACGTTTAAATTGCCCATTTAGTATTTTTATGAGTGTAAAGATTAAGTGACAAAAAGAATTTTCCTTCATAATATCAGTTTGCATCGAGAATTGCAATAACATAAAATCACAACTGTCATCCAGGACTTGAAAGGCGAGGTAATCCGAAGTTTCAGAAATGCAGCGCGCTATATACTTTTCGAATCACATACTCCTTTTTCATTGGTCAGATAAAATTGTATGAGGAAATTTTAATAGATCATGTCTAACTCAATGCGTGAGAATACAGTCGAACTACGTGCTGTTAAGGTAAAAGTGATAGATCATGGGTAAATCAGTTCCTGGGAACAATGATACAAAACATATAGAGTACATTTTAACTCGTGCATCTTCAGATATCAGACTCGGGGGGCAAGCCCCCTCGTCTGATATCTGAAGATACTCGTTAAAAGGTACTCTATATATTACTTATCAACTTAATAACAAGAGTTTGTAAAACTGAAAACTAGATTTAAAATTCAGTGTTTCATATACCGTATAATCCCTATTATCTGCCCCGGGCGCTTAGAAAATTGCAAAAAGGGGGCAGTTATTTTGGTTTTCTCTTCATAATATTTAATGTCATATTTTTAACTTCACAAAATTTTTCAAAAAAAAAATAATAATAGGAACCACTAAAGTAATGTCTAACTTTACTTAAAGTGAAGATAATCCACCGAAATTATGCTAAATTATTCATTTTCCATTGAGAAATTGGATAATAAACAAGTTTCATTTTCACTTTCTTCAATTTTTGATACGATTCTAGTTGAATTTAATCACTGTACAGGGGGCCCTTATTTCCTGACAATTGAAAAAGACCTAAGGGGGCGCTTATAGGGGCAGGGCTGGTTAATAGGGATTATACAGTAGCTTGTCTTTTGTATATAATAATGTCAGAGTGGATATTGATTACTAAATGTAATTTAATTCACTGTGCAGGTTTCTCGATCAGACCGGATCTATTTTGAGGCTGAGATAACTCGCCTTCACTGTGAGTACACGCGTGAGATAGAGTATCAGTGGAGCTTTGTGAAGACACTCTCTAAAACTCCTGTGTTGTTCAAAAACATGGATCTTCCCCAGCTCCATCAGCGAGTCCTTAATCTTCCACCGAGATATCTAGAGCCAGGAGAATACACACTGTCACTGATGGTAAGGTAGTCTAGTTCAGACACTGAGCCAGGAGAATACACACTGTCACTGATGGTAAGGTAGTCTAGTTCAGACACTGAGTCAGGAGAATACACACTGTCACTGATGGTAAGGTAGTCTAGTTCAGGCACTGAGCCAGGAGAATACACACTGTCACTGATGGTAAGGTAATCTAGTTCAGACACTGAGCCAGGAGAATACACACTGTCACTGATGGTAAGGTAGTCTAGTTCAGACACTGAGTCAGGAGAATACACACTGTCACTGATGGTAAGGTAGTCTAGTTCAGACACTGAGCCAGGAGAATACACACTGTCACTGATGGTAAGGTAGTCTAGTTCAGACACTGAGCCAGGAGAATACACTCTGTCACTGATGGTAAGGTAGTCTAGTTCAGACACTGAGTCAGGAGAATACACACTGTCACTGATGGTAAGGTAGTCTAGTTCAGACACTGAGTCAGGAGAATACACTCTGTCACTGATGGTAAGGAAGTCTAGTTCAGACACTGAGCCAGGAGAATACACTCTGTCACTGATGGTAAGGTAGTCTAGTTCAGACACTGAGCCAGGAGAATACACACTGTCACTGATGGTAAGGAAGTCTAGTTCAGACACTGAGCCAGGAGAATACACTCTGTCACTGATGGTAAGGTAGTCTAGTTCAGACACTGAGCCAGGAGAATACACTCTGTCACTGATGGTAAGGTAGTCTAGTTCAGACACTGAGTCAGGAGAATACACACTGTCACTGATGGTAAAGTAATCTAGTTCAGACACTGAGCCAGGAGAATACACACTGTCACTGAGGGTAAGGTAGTCTAGTTCAGACACTGAGTCAGGAGAATACACACTGTCACTGAGGGTAAGGTAGACTAGTTCAGACACTGAGCCAGGAGAATACACACTGTCACTGATGGTAAGGTAGACTAGTTCAGACACTGAGCCAGGAGAATACACTCTGTCACTGATGGTAAGGTAGACTAGTTCAGACACTGAGTCAGGAGAATACACTCTGTCACTGATGGTAAGGTAGACTAGTTCAGACACTGAGTCAGGAGAATACACACTGTCACTGATGGTAAGGTAATCTAGTTCAGACACTGAGCCAGGAGAATACACTCTGTCACTGATGGTAAGGTAGACTAGTTCAGACACTGAGTCAGGAGAATACACACTGTCACTGATGGTAAGGTAGTCTAGTTCAGACACTGAGTCAGGAGAATACACACTGTCACTGATGGTAAGGTAATCTAGTTCAGGCACTGAGCCTGGAGAATACACACTGTCACTGATGGTAAGGTAATCTAGTTCAGGCACTGAGTCAGGAGAATACACACTGTCACTGATGGTAAGGTAATCTAGTTCAGGCACTGAGCCTGGAGAATACACACTGTCACTGATGGTAAAGTAGTCTAGTTCAGGCACTGAGTCAGGAGAATACACACTGTCACTGATGGTAAGTTAGTCTAGTTCAGACACTGAGTCAGGAGAATACACTCTGTCACTGATGGTAAGGTAGTCTAGTTCAGACACTGAGCCAGGAGAATACACACTGTCACTGATGGTAAGGTAGTCTAGTTCAGACACTGAGTCAGTAGAATACACTCTGTCACTGATGGTAAGGTAGTCTAGTTCAGACACTGAGCCAGGAGAATACACACTGTCACTGATGGTAAGGAAGTCTAGTTCAGACACTGAGCCAGGAGAATACACACTGTCACTGATGGTAAGGTAGTCTAGTTCAGACACTGAGTCAGTAGAATACACTCTGTCACTGATGGTAAGGTAGTCTAGTTCAGACACTGAGTCAGGAGAATACACACTGTCACTGATGGTAAGGTAGTCTAGTTCAGACACTTACTAATTTGTCATTGATTAGAATGTTTCCATTTTAAAGCCATATATGGCGTATGTAAAATGAAAATTATTTGACTAAAATTATAAGAACTCATTATTTGTATCATTACTTTATATAAAGATAGAACTTTTCCGTAAATTACAAAATCGTAGTCAATTGCGTTATAAAGATATCACAATTTAATTTGGATTCTCAGAATTTTCTCCGACTCGGAAGAAAATACAAAAGATTTAAATTACACATTATAGAGAAGATAAAATCGTATTATTAGATAAAACGAGGTGTTCACCGTGTTCAGAATTGTATGAAAAGCTTTAATTTAAATGTATTAACTATATTTCTTTTCTTAATTTTGTATTTTTCAAAAATATTTTTTTTTTTGATCAGTTACGCCATATATGGCTTTGAGTTTTGAAATATTTGATACTAGCTTTCAAACTCTTGGGAGCAAAGAGATTTTGCTTAAACTATAAAGAATGGAAAGACATGTATATAACTTTATCTACTCTAGGTTAAGTACAGTGGTACAATAGTGTATGCTATAAAGAAGACACAGTTTGAGGTGGTGCCAGCTCCACTCTCAGTCCACATAGACGGTGGGGCCTTCAGACGGGTGGGTCATACAGGAAACATCACACTGAACGGAACAGAGTCTACAGACCCAAACTCACAGGACTCAGCTCAGTTAAGGTAACATTACACATGGTCTGATGTAGATAAATGAATTCTTTTCAGAGGTAAAATAAACATGTACTTATAATCTTGTTAATATTCAATACATGGGATAAACTGTTTTCTGTAACTATGGAGTAGGACTTGTGGAAAATTCTTTTCACTAGAAAATCTGAAGCAAATCTTAAATTTTGAAACATAATTTTTTGAATAGATAAAAGAAGGCTTCTACAATTTTTTTTGACAGGTTTAACTGGACATGCAGCCTAAGTCTGACAAACATTGAGGAGCCCTGTTTCCTTGACAACCAGACTTTAGACCTGACTGAGTCGATGCTGAGTTTTCCCGCCTCCTGGTTAGAGTCAGGAAGACAGTATCTCTTCATCTTAAATGTCTCCACAAACGGACTAGCTTCCCAGAACAGCACACAAGTCATAGAGGTGGAGTCTGGATATATCACTATAGAGTAAGTCAGCACACAAGTAATAGAGATGGAGTCTGGATATATCACTATAGAGTAAGTCAGCACACAAGTCATAGAGGTGGAGTCTGGATATATCACTATAGAGTAAGTCAGCACACAAGTCATAGAGGTGGAGTCCGGGTATATCACTATAGAGTAAGTCAGCACACAAGTCATAGAGGTAGAGTCCGGATATATCACTATAGAGTAAGTCAGCACACAAGTCATAGAGGTGGAGTCTGGATATATCACTATAGAGTAAGTCAGCACACAAGTCATAGAGGTGGAGTCTGGATATATCACTATAGAGTAAGTCAGCACACAAGTCATAGAGGTGGAGTCTGGATATATCACTATAGAGTAAGTCAGAATCAGAGAATATCACAACTAGTCAGGTTAGAATTGATCAAATTGGGACTCAAAGGGTTTTCAGAACATTTTTTTTTTGGCAGTAAGAGGGTGAGAGAGAGAGTGATGTGACTCAATATTATACATTTATTGCATGATAGTGAGGGAAATATGAAGACTTGTTCAGCCAAGAAAAATAATATTCCCCGAGGGCTTCGCCTGAGGGAAATATGATATTTCTTGGCTGAATAAGTCTTCATGTTTCCAGAACATTCATGCAATGAATTGTTTATTATACCGAAACAAGCAAAACCTTTGAAATAAACATAAACTTTCAAATTCGACACCGCTCTCAAATTCACTTTCATTGTTAACGTAAAGTTACTATAAAACCCTTTGGTCAACACATTGTCATCAGTTTTGTGACGTAAACCAGGCTATTGTGACGTCGAGATAACGCGTTGTGTAGAATATTTATAATGAGGTATAATGATACATTTTGATCCTCAGCCCTTATGTTTTAGACAGGTTTAAATTTGATTTAAGACAATGTGATCAATCAGGTCTGAATTTGATTTTAGACATGTGATTAGGTTTAAATTTGATTTTAGACATGTGATCAATCAGGTCTGAATTTGATTTTAGACATGTGATTAGGTTTAAATTTGATTTTAGACATGTGATCAATCAGGTCTGAATTTGATTTTAGACGTGTGATCAGGTTTGAATTTGATTTTAGACATGTGATCAGATGTGAATATTACTTGCAGTGTGGGCCTGAGATGTCCTCTGTGTCAGCGTGATGTCATCAATGAGAATGAACCAATCAGGATAGAGGCGGTTTGTCCCGAGTGCGAGGGTCAGACTGACGTTAGCTATGACTGGACGCTGTGGTACGTGGAGGGATACCAGGGGATAGAGCCGCAGGAACCAAAGACCTGTATCACCGCCGGGGAGTCACAGTTTGAACTCCTGAAGAAGTCGAACAGGACAGTCGTAAAGACAATCACAGCTACAGGTGAAGAATTAAATCTGTACTGTTACATGCAGCATTTATTAAAAGAAGTAGAGATTGAGGAGGGACCATCTGTGGCAGAATGCTTTAGATATATAAGTTCTTTTGATTAAGTCATTTTGTTCACCAAAAAATACAAACTTGCCTAATAAAATGTACACGACAAATTAGGCAGTATTTGATTTAATGAGAAATTCTGCATCTTTGTTTTAGGTCCAACTACCAAAGAATATAAAACTGAGGTCAGCACTACCTCGACTACAACAGCTTCAGAAGTAACACTTAACCTTGGCCCTGTGATAAATGAAGATAGGTCATCCAAGAACAGGGTCATCACCAATAGCAATGGAGATGTTACCACTAACAATAAAGAAGAAGACAAGATGGACTCAGACTTTCCCTTTAGTAAGTTATAAATAGTTTATAGATTTTTTTTTTGACTTAATATATAGAAGGATTTAACTGATGTTGATGCTTCACAAAATATTGTCCCAAATAAACAGCTGTGAACAAGGAATCATTTTGTGATTTCTCACACAGCACGCCTTGCTATTTTTCTTGATTGTTGAACCCTGTGTTGCAGTACTCTCAGTACTCTGATTTATTTACAGTCTCTGAGAACACTAAGGCTGTTGGTCGACGTAAGCCCGGGCTGACGAAACCGGAGCCCGGGATTGTGTTTCCTGTGGAGGGGTCCCCTGGGGAGGTGGGCAGTTCTGATGGCAGGATCCCAGGTAAAACTCAGGTGTGATCTAAAAATAGATATAGGGCCCCCGGGGAGTCGGGCAGTTCTGACGGCAGGATCCCAGGTAAACAGCAGGTGTGATCTAAAAATAGATATTACATTGAAGAGGGTAGTTCCAGGATTCCAGGTAGAGATTGATTTTTGTCAAATCTACATTTCATTTCTAATAGGTAATAAATAATTTTTTGTATGTATGTGTATGGATAAACCCATGAATTTATGTCACCACAACCTAGCAGTGCTTAATCCTTCCAATAAAGTTCTCTAAACCCCATAAAATTTAACACCTCAAAATAAGCAATATTGCAGTAAGTGCTACCTGGATATGGACAGGTAAACTACAGATTATTTGTGGATGGAATGGACAGGTAAACCAGGTAGCAGTGAACTTCAGGTGATGAATGCCAGAAGACAAGGTTAATGATACAATATTGTCTAAAATAGAATATCTGTGTTTTACAGGACAGAAGACAAGGTTAATGATACAATGTCTAAAATAGAATATCTGTGTTTTACAGGACAAATAGACAGCATGGGAGAGAAAGAAGGCAGGGGTAGGGACCCAGGTAAGATTTTATATCACTGTCAAATAGCTACATGTAAAGTCATCTAAAATAAACCTCAATTCATGGATAAGTTTCTGTTTAACAAGTTTTCCCAAGTATAATATTGGAATATAAATCAATTATTGAATTCCAATGAGATGTTTTTGTTATGGGATTCTTTGAATCAGAAGTTGACCAGTCCAGTTTTGTTACACCTCTGTCTTTTTCTTTGAATCACAAGTTGACCAGTCCAGTTTTGTTACCCCTCTGTCTTTTTCTATTCTATAGGACAGAACACTGGAAGAGGGGGAGGGGATGATTCAGACAAAGGTAATGTTATTAATTTGTTGTAACATAATAATTTTGTAATTCTTTGTTGTAATGAAGCTTTATGTTGTAATGTTACTGTATCCCCATCTTATAATGTAAAACAGTGTTAATTTTTAGTTGTTATTCTTTTGTAGCTGAGAATTATTTAGATGATATGTAATAGTTAAACCTTAATATTGTTTGCAGTTCATGACAATGAGGATCAGCAGTCTGTTCCCAGTGACTCTATAGATCTACTGATTAACAGGAGAGCCAGCTTGATGATGATCGCGCCTCACCAGACCAGCACGCCTGCCAACTCAAGGGCACTGGTCATCAGACCCTACCAGCTGTCAGCGGCGAGAGCATATGTCATCTCCCTCAAAGTCAAACGTAAGTCATCAGCCAGGTCATACGTCATCTCCCTCAGAGTCAAACGTAAGTCATCAGCGAGGGCATACGTCATCTCCCTCAAAGTCAAACATAAGTCAGCTGGTGTATGATATTCACTACACCTATAATAAAAAGATATGTTAAATAGCCCTCCTGACCTTATTCCAGTATTTCTGCCGGAATCCTTGGCTTTTTCCTTGGAACAAAAATGAATTCCAATCACCCCAGAACAACTTGGGAGCCATTTTATTTGAAATTGGTCCAGCGTTTCATGTATAGAAGTTTAAAATGTAAAAAGTTTTTTTTTAATTTAAAATATCAACTAGTGATGGAACGATTGTTGCCGACAATCGATTGTCGATCGTTAGAAGCTCTTCGATGCTACTAATCGATTATAAAATAAATGTCGCCGACATCGCTAACAAAAAATAAAATTGTCATACTTTAATTTTATTACCAAATCCAAGTTCAAAGAGCATAAAAGTAGTGATGAACGTCGAAAACATGGAAGGATTCCTTGTAGCAATTCTTCCTAAAAATAAAAATACAATATTATAAGGTCAAATGTCATTTTTCTTTATTCTATCTTCCCACAATAGTATATTCAAAATGAACTAGAATTCATAAAATCAAGTGACAGGTAGAACCTACCTCAGACAGCGATGTGTGTCCCTAGGGAAAGATAAAGTTGGAGTTAGGAAGGATAACTCGTATCTATAACCTGTTTCCTTGTATTAGTGTAGCATAACACAGAACATGAAAAAAGTGGGATGCATTTAAATTAAACATATTCACTATATTTGTATCATTCATAAGCAAATGTTGTCATAACTTCTTAATGAAACTACATAGAACATGCCTTCCATGAAAATATATGACGTACGTATAACAAAACTATAAACAACAGGGAGGTAATAAAACGACTAAACATCACCACTCCAATATACTAAAAAAATGGTCACCAAAAAATGCTGCCTCTGTTCAAACTGTAATTTTGCATAATAATATCTGAACGTATTTTGCACTTTTTAGCTTACCTGAGCCAAAGGCTCAAGTGAGCTTTTCTGATCAAAATTTGTCCGTTGTCTGTTGTCGTCGTTGTCGTTGTTGTCGTAAACTTTTCACATTTTCATCTTCTCAAGAACCACTGGGCCAATTTCAACCAAACTTGGTACAAAGTATCCTTGGGTGAAGGGGATTCAAGTTTGTTCAAATGAAGGGCCATGCCCTTTTCCAAGGGGAGATAATCATGAATTTGTTAAAAATTAATGGCGTTTTTAAAAAATCTTCTTCTCCAGAACCGCTGGGCCAGGAAAGATGAAACTCGTGTGGAATCATCCTCAGGTAGTGTAGATTTAAGTTTATTCAAATCATGACCCCCAGGGCAAGGATGGGGCCAAAATGGCTGACCCAAGTTTTACATAGGAATATATATAAAATAAATCTTTAAAAATCTTCTCCTCCAGAACCACTGGGCCAGGAAAGATGAAACTTATGTGGAATCATCCTCAGGTAGTGTAGATTCAAATTTGTTCAAATCATGACCCACGGGGCAAGGGTAGGGACAAAATGGCCGACCCAAGTTTTACATAGGAATATATAGGAAAAATCTTTAAAAATCTTCTTCTCCAGAACCACTGGGCCAGGAAAGATGAAACTCATGTGGAATCATTCTCAGGTAGTGTAGATTCAAGTTTGTTCAAATCATGACCCCCGGGGCAAGGTTGGGGCCAAAATGGCCGACCCAAGTTTTACATAGGAATATATAGGAAATATCTTTAAAAATCTTCTTCTCCAGAACCGCTGGGCCAGGAAAGATGAAACTCATGTGGAATCATCCTCAGGTAGTGTAGATTCAAATTTGTTCAAATCATGACCCACGGGGCAAGGGTGGGGCCAAAATGGCCGACCCAAGTTTTACATAGGGATATATAGGGAAACCTTTTAAAATCTTCTTTTCAAGTACTTCAAAGCTATGATTAGTGATATTTATATGGAATCATCCTCAGGTAGTGTAGATTCTAGTTTGTTCAAATGATGAATGCCTGGAGGGGGGGGGGGGGAGTAAATTCAAGCCCGATGTGCTCAGGTGAGCGCTGTGGCCCCTGGGCCTCTTGTTAATTGATCATGTTGATGGGTTGGCATAGGTTAGGCAGAAATACCTTTGTAAATAATTTTTTTTCTAGTTGACAAATTCATAACACGTGCATTTAGAATGATTTTTGTTAACGTTTCAAGTTGTAACAGATAAAAACTGAGTAAGAATAGCTTTCTATGAACCTACAAAAAATATATTTACCTTGTTCGGACAATGTCATACGCCAGGGAAGTATTCCAAGTAGAACTCACTACCTGATGTTTTGTTTGTCTATTCAAGAACACTATCAACAATTCAGAACTTACGGTTATCGTTCTTTATTTCCCCCTAGCGGCCAGAAGAAATGCTATTCCTTGTCTTGCAATCGCATCATCTCGGGTGTTTCCGTCAGAGATCAGAAAAACAACCTCGAATGTATTAACATCGCCGGATGTTAAAAATTTATACATTTCCTGTTTAGTCAAATGTAAGATAGGAGGAGTAAGAAATCCCTTCATAGTATATTTTAGGTAATATCATTACATTGAATAAAGTTAAACTTCATATTCCACAGATAAAAGGTCCTCATGCATTTATTTCCAAGATCGTGAAAAAGGAGGGTTGTCATGGCAGCTACCATATACATTCGAGGTCGTTTTTCCGCCAGTCGGAAAGGCCCGAGAAGTTGCGATTGCCTTAATTGTCTTGTTGATACTTTTACCGCCATGATTAAATATGGGGTTAGACTAATACCAGGAAACGCTAATATTGCAAGGTTTTACTATACAAAGGAAAACATAATTAGTCTAGTCAATCTTTAAACGTAATTATAATCATAAATACAAGTCTAACTTCTGGATAATTATTTTTAAGACTTGCAATTTTATTATTTTAACTATTTAAAACTAATTTTAAGAAAAATATACATGTATTAAATGAAAGATGGGACTAATACCAGTAAAATACCCATTGCATGGACTTTATAAAAAAAAAATTAATAAATTCCCATTCTGCTTCAATAGTCTTATATAGTCCTATATTGTTTAAAGTAAACAAAATATTATTTTCCACTTTTTATAAAAGAAATTTCAATTAACATTTTTGAATATTTTATGTATAAGTAAAAGTTTTGTTTTTTTTTGTAAAAGTCTGACAGAAATCTGAATAAGTTTCACCTTTTCTATATTAATTCTATTAAAGTTCAAAATTTTTATCATAATCGATTATTAATCGATTATGCCCAGCCGATTATAACCGATAATCGATTCTGATTTTTTTCTGATTCCCCATCACTAATATCAACAGAAATTTGCATTGGATAAATGAGGCCATTCCAAGTTTTTTCTCTGTTTAGCATCCACCCATCTTTCAAAAACCTACCTACCTATTCGCAAAAAACACAGAAGCCAAAACATAATACAAAGGCTTAAAAGTCATAAAAATGACGCCCTTCAAATGATTTGATCTAACTTAACTGCTTTAATAGAAGAAATATCTATTCTTAAGCAAAAAAACAAGGGATTAAATGCTTAAAATACACCCAATATAACTTACTGTATAGAATTATTTGGAAAAATTGACAAAATTAAAAAATTTGGACTAAATTAATCAATTTCAGGACTCCTGATGTTGTGTGTTTTTTCTTATATGGCTTGTCAAAAACCAAGGCGCACATGGACGCTAAACATAGAAAAAACTTGGAATGGCCTGAGGCAAAATACTTTATTGAATAACATGCGTAACAGTTAATTCCCTTTTTAATGCAATAGTTGTTATCATGAGGGAGGAACAAGGAGTTATTTCCCTTTTTGCAGTTTTTGGTATATTATGAAGGATACAGAACAGATGTTGTTTCTTTTATACTTTAGTTTTAATTTTGTTCGGGACATTAATCCAGAGTTACATCCCTTTATATTGCCATTTTAGTGTGGTGAGGAATATTGATTAGGAGTGACCTCCCTTTATTCTGCAGTATTAGTATAGAGAGGGGTATTGATTTGTAATTAGCCGTGATTTATCAGATAAATTCAATCTTAGTGGAGGAAGTAGCCATGGTATTGATTGGACCTTTTATTTTTCTGTTGTTAGCTTCAAGTAAAATACACATATCACAAAATTTCTTCACATCTCTTTTTCTCTCTTTCTTCCTTCTGTCTTTTGTCCTTTCAAAAAAATAAAAATATATCCCTGTGAACTTTAAAAGAGTCATACTTTTGGCCAAGATTATTTTTTATTGGCTTTGTCAGAGTACATCGTAAATATTTTTGTGAATAAATGTCTGATATTGAATTTTCTTTGACGTAAGAAAGTGTAAGAATAGCCGGAGATTTATGCTATTTTAAACTACCTGGGAGAAGAGACCACTTTTACTGACTGAGCTATTTCCTCATACGAGTTATTTTTAGAAGTTTGATGTGGTTATAAGTATAATTGGTATCTATTACATGATATAAGAGAAAGACAAAATAGGTGTGGTGTTCAGATTGGTTAAGTATTAAATGAATTAATCAATTACATTTTTTAAGGCTTTGTGCGAAATCATTCCCTCAAGAAATAACTTCGGGGGGATTTTTTTTATTAAGTTCTCCTCCAGAATTGGCTAGCGAGATTGATTTTTCCCTCCCTGTTATAGATAAGAGATGCATTATTGAATAGTTTGTTGTAATTAATCGCCTTTTTTGACTAGCTTACTTGGTACAGATTTATACTTACTTGACATGAATGAGAAATAGACAGAATCTCTTATTTATTGTGGAATGAATAAAGTTAATTATAAGGAATGGGGCCGGATACTGTTATTCAGTTTAAAATCTTTAATTGATTCACGCTTTTCATGCTGAATTTTAGTCATTTACTGTAAACCAAAATCTATTGGTATGCAATATATATTGAAGAGTTTTGTGACCTACTTAATCTCGCAAATATTAATTGACGCAAACCAAAAGTTTTACAGAGTATTTGATGAAAATGCTAGCTTCCTTAATCGTGAAAATTAATCGTCACAGAGTGATTTCATACTGATAAATCCGGAAGAATAATTGACGCAGATAATAGTCAGTTTACAGTATCTTAATTTAGAATCATTCAAATTATATTTAAATAAATTTGGTCAATAGAAAATTTACAAAATTTGAAGGTTCATTACTAGAACCCAACAACAAACAAATTGATTCAACTGGAATATAGTGATAAAAATACATCGTGTCACATGTACAATTATTATATTGGGTAAGGAGTGGGGGAATGGGGCTGGGTGCATATTCGTAAAGGCGAGGGGAGTACGTAGATCAAACATACAAGGGGGAGTGGGGTGGGGGTACCCTGGGAAAATCAGAACAGTAATAATGTTAGAAATTTCTTCGTATGAGACATTACCATGATCACTCTACATTCAGTAGCTGGTCACACCCAGGTATAATGATGATATATAGGAGGTACATTTGATATACGAACACAGGAGAGCTCGCGTGATGCTGTAATGTAAGCCCTGTATTAAATCTGCTGAGCATGTGTGTAATTAATTAATCATCCTAATTGATTTTCTATCAGTCCCATCTGCGGATATTTCCAGAAATGAAAAAAAAGCCATACCAAGGAACCATTAAGTTTAGCCGAGAGCCACGGTCTATATATAGCTGTCTCCTACACTGACTACTGGATTATCTAATATGCTAGAACTTACATGCTGAAATAGTATTGTTAAGTTTCCTTGTTTTCCCAGCATCCACTCTTCAAATTCTCAGGTCTCTGATTTATCATTTTAAAATCATTTATCTGAGGAAAGCAACAAAAAAAGTGTTCCATAGGGGAGCCTAAACCACACTTCAAAATACTTGATTATTATGAAGTCTCTTGGACTTTGCTACTTTTCAATTTAGATTTTTTTTTAATTAACATGGAGAAAATAATGTGTTTGTTTCCTAAGAATCCAGATTTCCTTGTAAGATAGCTCTTTATAATAACCAATATTTGCTGTATACTCTTAAGACCACTATCTCTATATATATGCATGCATCTGAATACAGTAGATCACTAAATTTTTTCGCGACACCTTATTTTCGCGAGATAGTCATTGACTCTTGATTAGCCAGACAAAATTTTCACGAATTGTGGTTATTGTTTTACATAATCTTAAGGAATACTTTTATATGTATCGCGAGCACGCTGTTCGCGTAATTATATATTCTCGCGAATAAAAAGGGATTTACAGTACTTGATGAGTACTAAACAACATGTTAAGACAGATTTATGATTTAAATTTGTGTGAACAAGAGTGTTGAAGGAACATGTGTCAATTGGGAAACTCTGCAATTGTAAAGTCAACGGTCAAAGAGCCTTATCGTATATGAGGCTAATTTAAAAATATTTTAAATTTTGAAGTTAAAAAGAAAATAAATATGCATAGTTATAGGGAACAAAAAAGTCCCTAAAAATGGTAAAAATTCCTGTCACACACTTCTAATACTCTGGTCCCAGATGAGACTAAGAACGCTGTTGAGCAATTTCCAAGGCCTAATAGCTTGTTTTGATTCTGTACCTATTAACTGGTATATTTCAGATGGTCAGAAAACAGGAATGGCAAAGGAGACATTTTACGTGAACTCGGGGCCAATTAATGGGAACTGTGAGGTGGCACCACTGTCAGGGGAAGAGTTCAGGACAGAGTTCAAGGTCTTCTGCAGGGAATGGCAAGACCAGGTGAGGCCACATAGGGTACTTATATCACATACATATGTCCTTAATGTATGTTGGTACTTCATATATATGGAAGGGAATTACCGCCAAAAGTCTATGTATCTTGCTTTTATTCTTATTCTGCCTACTTCTTTATGCTTTGTTATTATTGTAATTATATGTCACTTTATTGTTTTCGTATTCGTCTTTATTACATTACACTTGAGCTTTTATCGTTCTTTATTTTGTCCTTACTTCTATGTTGCTTTATTCTTGTGAATACATTCTACTTTCTTTTAATTTGATACTGTTTCTTAAATAAACTATCTTGATTATCTCGATTACGAACGTAAATTCAATCATGTAAACAGTGCCACCTAGCGTTATAATGCGGCACTAAATTCAATGAAGACGAATGCAAGTTGTCCGAATTTAGTGCCGCATTATAACGCTAGGTGGCAGGGTGTTCGCTAAACAAGTGTTGGTAAAAATAGGTAAGCAAACCCGGGCCGGGGTTATTAAAGATTTTTTCAATTTTCTGCCTTAATACTTTATCAATCGAACTTAAATTTTCAAATGATGTTTGTTATAAATTCAGGTACTGTAGAAGCACAAATTTTCGTGGGCATAAAATTTCGTTGTTTTTCTTCAAAAATAGTTTCGTGGGCATTTAATTTCGTTGTTTTGAAAGTAACCCTATTCAGTTTATAGTCAAATAAAATTTCGTGTGGGATTTAATTTCGTTGAATATTGTAAACAACGAAATAAACGAAATTTAATCCCCCACGAATATTTGTGCTTTTACAGTATGTACCCAATAATGCCATTTCCTCGGAAGATGGTAAGATTTTCCCTGGAAGACTGACTACATAGTGATGCTTCCTTCGGAAGACTATACAGTGAGACTTCCCCCGGGGAAGTTTCAATATATAGCTAGTGTTCCGTGGGAAATCTAGCTGTATATAGCAATTCGTCCCCCTTCATAGCAACCCCTCCCCCGAATATTTTTTTAATCGTAAAACAATGTTTTTATGCTAACGTTTTCAGTTTTTGAAGAAAAGTTATCCGTCCTATATGAATAAATGTTTAAATGAAACCATTTTAATAGTGGTTAATAATTAAATCATTTTAACCATTTAGTTTGACATCGATAATCTTCACGAGTCCAAATGGGTAATGAATCCCCCCCCCCCCAGTCCCGTGGATGCCCCCCCCCCCGGGTGCAATCACCCGCGTGGCACTGTGGTTACGGCGTCTTCCCCCCGGTTCCGACGCCTATGCAATGTAGTCAATTAATATAATAATAGTCATGTACTTAGTGGCATATGTAAATATGAGTAATATTTGGTACTGAAAACAAGTTGACGACCCCCCCCCCCCCCCCCCCCCCCCCCTTCACCACCACCAAATACAGATTTTTCAAGTTTTAAGATTTTTTAGCTCACCTGAGCGGAAGGCTCAAGTGAGCTTTTTTGATCACATTTTGTCCGTCGTCCGTCTGTCTGTCTGTCTGTCTGTCTGTCCGTCCGTCTGTAAACTTTTCACATTTTCGACTTCTTCTCAAGAACCACTGGGCCAATTTTGACCAAACTTGGTACAAAGCATTCTTGGATGAAGGGGAATTTAAATTGTTAAAATGAAGGGCCAAGTCCCCTCACAAAGGGGAAATAATCAAGAAAAGACAAAAATAGGGTGGGGTCATTAAAAAATCTTCTTCTCAAGAACCACTGGGCCAATAAGGCTGAAACTTATGTGGAGGCACCCTGGGATAGTGTAGATTCTAAATTGTTCAAATCATGACCCCTGGGGATTGGGCGGGGCCACAATGGGGAATCAAAGTTTTACATAGAAATATTTAGGAAAAATCTTTGAAAATCTTCTTCTCAAGAACCACTGGGCCAGAAAAGCTGAAACTGATGTGGAAGCACCCTGGGGTAGTGTAGATTCTAAATTGTTCAAATCATGACCCCCGGGGGTTGGGCAGGGCCACAATGGGGAATCAAAGTTTTACATAGAAATATATAGGAAAAATCTTTAAAAATCTTCTTCTCAAGAACCACTGGGCCAGAAAAGCTGAAACTCATGTGGAAGCATCCTTGGGTAGTGTAGATTCTAAATTGTTCAAATCATGACCCCCGGGGGTAGGGCGGGGCTACAATGGGGAATCAAAGTTTTACATAGAAATTTATAGGAAAAATCTTTGAAAATCTTCTTCTCAAGAACCACTGGGCCAGAAAAGCTGAAACTCATGTGGAAGCATTGTGGGGTAGTGTAGATTTTGAATTGTTCAAATCATGACCCCCGGGGGTTGGGTGGGGCCACAATAGTGAATCAAAGTTTTACATAGAAATATTTAGGAAAAATCTTTGAAAATCTTCTTCTCAAGAACCACTGGGCCAGAAAAGCTGAAACTGATGTGGAAGCATTGTGGGGTAGTGTAGATTCTAAATTGTTCAAATCATGACCCCCGGGGGTAGGGCGGGGCCACAATATGTATTACAAGGGGGAAATCTGGTGAAGAACAATATGACAAAAGATTCTCAGGTGAGTGATGTGGCCCATGGGCCTCTTGTTTAACTCTACTGGCTGATGTAAAATACGTTGCGTTCTAAAGATATTTTTTTCTTTATTAAAAAGTGCTATATCAATGTAAAATATTAATGCATAAAAAAGACTGGGGAGTTTCTAGTATGCCTAAGGTGTTCCCTGGTTCCGACTTTGCCTACCCATAACACTCCTCACTCCTTTGCAAAGCCCCGTCCCTAGAATCACAGGCATGAGCAATTACTATCTGTCGTGAAATAAAGTTCAGTTCAGTGGAACCAGTGACGGATTTAAGGAGGGGGCGCACCCGGCGCCCCCCCCCCCCCCCCCCCCCCCCTCCTAAAATTGTCAAAGTTAACATAAATCACAGTCTTGTCTAGAAAATGTAAATATGCCTACTTGGTAGACCTCATTTTTACTCTACAAAATCTCTAGAACCCAGGAGCTTCCGGGGGCTTCGCCTCCTGAGCCCCCACCAGGGCTTTGCCCTTGACCCACTGGGGGCCTCAAGGTGGCCCCCAGACCCCTTGCCTACTTTTGGCGCCCCATCTAACTTCATTTCCTAGATCCATGCCTGTGAACGTCCTGAAAAATAACTCAATTTATAAATTTATAAAGGGGTATCTAGTATCAAAATATTTAACATTTTTATGTCAATTAAACTGTTATGCTGGAATTCAATTATCCAACAAATAACTTTAGTAGAGTGATATTTTTCAGGCGAGAGAACAGTGACGTAGCATCGATTTTGAAAATTCAAGCTATCCGCTGAAAACAACTTGACAAGCAAAAAAAAAAAAAGAAAAAAAAGAAAAAACAAGGAAATTTCCAAACTTGAAAATACATAGGCGTCGATCGGAACCGGGGAGAGGGCTTTGCCCCCACTTTTTCGCAAAGTTAAACTTAGTATAGATATTGAACATTACTGCGTAGGTTAAGTCCCCCCCCCCCCACTTTCCATGGACACGATGCAGTATAGGTTTAAAATGTGGAAAGTGGTGGTGTTTTGAAAAAAAAAATTGGCACTGTAATTTGACCCCCCCATCACCACCACACACACACGAAATAGGATTTTTGTGTTTGGACAGTGGACATTTCTCTCTCTCTCTTTTTTTTTTTTTTGCTTTTCATGTTTTTTTTTTTGAAGGTCTAAAAAATATTTCTTACGCTTAGCCCCCCGTCCCCCCCCCCCCCCCCCCCCCGGCCCCAACTTTCACTTTGCTTCCGACGCCAATGAAATCATATCAAGGGGGCGGGGTGGGTTTTGGGTTGGATTCAAATTCATCTATAGTATCAAATTTAAATGTACTATACTACATTAACCTTATTTGACCCTTACCCTTACAAAAAGTGGGTCGGACTTTTAATGAACATATTCAGTAAAGTACCGGGGGCCGCTATTCCTGTGTGCCCAGAGAAAATAAAAATTATATGGAGTTTCCATCATTGTATCGGGTGATCGGATTCGGCCTTCAGATATTCGATTGATAAAGTATTAAGGCAGAAAATTGAAAAATCTTAGATAACCCCGGCCCGGGTTTGCTGACCTAGTTTTACCAACACTCGTAGCGAACACCCCTGCCACCTAGCGTTTTAATGCGGCACTAAATTTTGACAACTTGTATTCGTCTTCATTGAATATGCTTCATTCTTTGTGTGGTTGAATTCACGTTTGTAATTGAGATAATCATTTAAGAAACTGTATCGATTTAAAAGGAAGTAAAATGAATTAAAAAGAATAAAGCAACATAGAAGTAAGGCCAAAATGAAGAAGGATAAAAGTCAAAGTGAAATGTAATAAAGACGAATACGAAAACAATAAAGTGACATATAATTACAATAATAACAATGAAAGCATAAAGAAGTAGGCAGAATAAGAATAAAAGCAAGATACATAGACTTTTGGCGGTAATTCCCTTCCATACATATACAGTAAAACGCGGTTATAATGAAGTACATGTAACAGGGACAAACGAAATTACTTCGCTATATCCGTAATTCATTATATCCATGCAAGAAATTTGTAAAAGAGCTTTATATGTCTGGGGATCAAAGATAACAGTACTGTATATCCGTAAATTCACTATATCTGTGTTCGTACTAAAAGAGTTTTGCTATAATTGAAAAACGATTTGTTAAAGTCAAATTCTGAGATGTGGAATTCATGAACGATGATTATTGAAGCAATATTAAGAACAAGTTATTTGTAAAGATTGCTACAGTTACATGTAATTCTCCTCTCAAATGTTTTTAATTTTTATTCACTTTTGAGGAAATTGAAAACATTATGAACTGTAAGTTGTACAATCATGTAATGTACCGAATTGTAAAATTCTAACTACATGGGGTCTGCATCAGCCAGAGAGCTGAGCTAGAGCCAAAATTTGTCAATAGTTTGTGAAACTCATGTTGCATATGTTGCTGGAGTAACTATCAAAATTAAAGAGTATGTTCTTTTCAAAATAAAATCATTCACATTGTTTCTTTTTATAGCAACAACCTATTCAGTATCAGGTGACCTTTGACCTGGGCAATAACCAATCAGAAGTCATCTTGTACCGGGGCCTAAAAAAGAGTCTGCTGTTTACTTTACCTGCCGGCTTACCTGAAAATAAGTTTAAAGGTGAGTCATTTATGACCTTTTGACCTCCAACATATACCACTAAGTTTACATTAAAAGATACACCAACACCTATAATAAGTATTCTAAGAACAAAAATAAAGCATGAGATACCCATACTAAACACGTCAAATTATTTTCTACATTTTACATATTAGCTCAGAAGGCTTCATCTTTCACTTCCCCTATTTTCCTTTGTTCATAATTTTTTTCATCCCTGGAATCAAAACAAAAAGCATTTCACGGAATCTGTAACATGAGTTATTAATACATTATTGATTTTTTTTTTTTTGGAAAAAAAATGTTATCCATTTTTCAACTTAAATTGAAACTAATGAAATATTACTGAGATGTAAACAAGCCCTGAAAGAATCAATCACTGAGTCCATGTTATCTGAGAGGAGAAAGAGAAATAAGAGTCAGAATGGGAGAGATGAAAATAAGAGTCAGAATGGGAGGGAGATGTATTTTACCAGGAAGATGGACACCTCTATGTTAGCTAACCTGCCATTCATAAAAATCACTATCTGAGGACTTGGGGATGAGCAGTCTCTGTGTTACAGCTGTAGGCTTTCCCAGTCTTTATAAAATACAGTAGTCCTCCTGTAAACTTGTAGTGCTCAAAAGAGTTTTACATTGATTTTATTTATTGCTGTATTGACTGCTGAAGGATGTTTTAGATTCGTGTTGTCCATTGTTTAAGTAATTATAGTCAATGACTTGAAATAATACACAAAATCAAATTTACTTGAATTTTACAAGAATAATAAAGCAAATGATTCAACAGTATGCAACAAAGGACTATATATGATAATGACCAATATTTGCCCTCCAAAATCAAACTTTGATCACGGAGAAATATATAATTATGTTCTAAAAGAGGTTGATAGCTGCAGACTTCAAAGGACTGAATGTTTACATACACCATAATGTCATATATTAGATATGATGTCAGCTAGAAGATGATGCAAATTAATAAATATTTCTTTGAATAATTCAGAAAAAAGTGCATATAACCTTGATATTTTGAGTAAAAGTCACCAAGCGCAGGTCTGCCTCAACTCAATATTTTGATATAATGTGCAGAACAATAATATCAATGGAATGTGTAAATATTGTTCCGACCGAAGCAGGCTTGTGATCTATAAATTTTATAGTAAAAATGAACAATTTCTTTCCATTTCTCTCTCTGTCAGCAAAATGACATAAAATCTGAATAGTTTGTAATGTCATATAAACAAAAATTGCCAATAACCTAGTTTGAAAGTATATTTTTTTAATCTGATACATGTATTATATATATATATATGCAATTCAGCACATTTAAAGAAATTTTCAAAATATGACGTTTGTGGTGGGCAAAAAAAAATGCATATGCCGCAAATAGTTCTTTGAAAAGTACAACGCTGCAGATGTGATGGTAAACAGTGCAACATTAAGAGTCAGGATTATTTCAGAGGGGAGAATATATTTAAATCTTAGTCTGACAAATCTAATTTCTTAGATTCTCTACCATGTTTTTCTGCATGGTGATGTTTTATTTAGATTCTGTGCAGTGTTACAGTGTGTGTGGTAGGTTTTGATGATCGTGATGCACTGTCATTGAGGTTGGGGTTAATGAAGCGTGTCGCGGAACAGCCCTTCAGCTTGTGGGGAGTAAACACCTTCTGGGAATAGCAGAGCAGAAACGCTACAAGATCTTATCACCGTGGTTGACAAGCTCCAATATTTGTTCCCTGCAATAAAGCCCCTTCCAAATTGAAATTTATTGAGCTTTTTATATCCCTGATAGTGAAGGGGATCTGATAGGTTATTGAATGCTAGAATGGCTGTATTCAGCAGAGATAGGCCTGGGCCAATCAAAGGACAGCCAAAGGGGTTATTGAATCCTGGACGCTGGTCATTAGATTCCGGGGAGAAAGTTGTTAAGATTCTGTATAAGAAATCAGGGACGTCTAGATTGTGTTGTCTTAATATAAAGGTTAGTATATATTGAATGATCGTTTATCTTTGGACTGTCTATTGATTGGGTATATCGGTATTTATACTGAGGGAGTGAGAGGACGTGTTTATTGGTAAAGACTAGGAGTAGTAAATGCCTTTCTATGCCGGCTCACTGGAGGTTCTTACTAAATATGGTGAATGATCTGGACCACAGACTATTTTTTTTTGATTTATTAGATTATTAGATCTGGACCATATTTCTTGAAAATTATTATTCTGTGTCCACTTAATTATAGACTATAAATGTCTGTATCTGGACCCAGTGTTATAGTAGCCTGGGTATTACTTTACTGTTAGGACCGTTCATTAATCACTGTGTTATGACTTGGAGGGGTTTGTTGGTAAGAGTTTATTAGATCATTAGTCATAAACAGCCCTCTATCTGTAAGCTATCTGGTACATTCCTTGTCTCAAGGTTTTAAATTTATCTAAGGTCACTCTGCCAGGATCTCTATAAACATCGCGTACCACAGGAGAAGATCCCTGGGAACTGTCCTTACCACACTGTTACTGTGTTCAAGGTTAACCTGGTATAGGTGTACAATTCACACCAACAGCCACTTATTTAGAGTCTCTAACAGTGCACACTAGAAACCTGACATCCCCGCATTCTTTGAAGTTTTATGAGAGAAGGGTGTGTGTCCTGTAGAGGTAGTGTGGTCATTACGGGCCGTGTTTGATAAATGTGTAAGGCTGGGGATTTAAATGTTATTTGTGAGTCATTACTCTGGAGGAAATGAGATTCTTCTACCTGTGGGTATTAGGTGTAGACCCTCTGTGTTAGAGAGATGTGTGTTACAGCAGAGAGAGACATTTAATTTACCGACAGAGGACGTCAGCGATGTGTGTGTGTTTGGTCATTTTTACAACAGGCTGATAGAAAAAGGAAAAGTGGATTACATTAAAAAAAAGTCCCATATCTGTCGGGGACTAGCTGGTTGCCGTGACAACCGATGCTGGGCTGCCGGAGTTTGGGGAATTGATTACTTCGTGTCCCGACTGGTTAAAGTCATTTTTTTTCTCCTGAACTGAAGGCTTCACATTAAGTAGCTCAGACCCAGGTAATGAAAGCCGGGCTAAAATGAGAAAATTGATGGCTATAGCCTCTCTTATTACAAGTACAGTCGATGGAGCGTGTGACGTGCTTTCAACATCTTTTCCGATACTTTGCAGTTTTCCTGAAGGTCTCAGTGCTGGATGGACGAAATGCTGCGGTACGACACTGCGTCACCTCCATACAAGTCAGACCGGGCGCGACAAGTACGACCCCCGCACGGACCGGCGCAGGAGATAGGACCAGTACAGCGGCCAGAGATAGAACCAGTACAGGGACGACGGAACACCAAGGTCACGTAGAATCAGGAAGTGAAATCACAGACCACAAAATGTAAGTCAGTACTAGCATTCTCACAGTATTGTCAATATTGCATGTTGTGTCACTCGCAATCCTACAAAAGAGATGAAACTTGCAGGCTCTTATATAATAAAAATGTATTAAACAGCAGCGTCAATAAAGAGAATGTTTTATCAGAATTGGCAGGCTGTATGTCCCAGTTTAAATCACAAATCACTTGATCTTTCTAACAGCTAGGTTTTTAAAAAAAAAATTTTATTTATAAAATGCATTTTTGTCGTAAATCAATATCACAAAGGGGCATTTTTTTTTATTTTTGAAGTTTTAAATTCCTGATTTATTGATTCAGTAAGATGATACTTTTATGACTTTAGTTTTCCAGAAATAATGGCAATTGTTTTTTATAAGAGAATGCGTTTCTGTTGTTTGCTGATGAAAATGCCTGTGAATTCAGATCTGATTTACATCTCAGCAGTTTAGGGGTAAATGATATCTAAATAGCAACAATTATGTCGTAATACCACAAAAATCATTTTAGCAATAAAATGTCTTTATTATTAAAATTGTGCAACAAATCGAGAGGCAGAGCTCCACTGTAAATTATCAGAGCAGCAGTTTATGTAACAATTGACCCCCTGTACCTGAATGCCGTATCAATATCGTTCAATAACACTTCTGTGAAACCACGGTAACACCCTGCGCTCGGGTCTTAAATCTAGAAATAATGTCCGCTATGTTACTGCAGTCAGCACCCGGTCCAATGGCCCCGGCTTAATGTCGACCTTGATTTCTGTGGCTTTATGTCGCATTTTCTTAAGAATTTTATCCTGATGTATGGATCTTTATCTCGCTTTAGTAAGGGCCGGTCCTTTTTAGTTTGGGTAATTGTCCGTATAATGAACACCCATTGATCCCGGTTTATTTAGGGATGCATCTTTTAAAGCCGTGCCCCGATTGTCACTGGAGTGTTAAATGGTTTTACACCAGAATTAATTGTAATAAATGACTCATCTGACTTTGTAGCAGATTTAGGGGTCCCCCACGACATGTAGGTATATAACACCTGGATATTTACCTGGTCTCACGTCTGGTCCACACAGGTAGGATAAGTTATAGCGGTGTGTACACGGCATTGTAATGCTAACATACACTGATAGAAATCTTCTTCTGAAAGATAAGACCAAATTATTGACTTTGATCTATTGGAGAGGGGGAGAAATGTTATGTGTGCCAGAGAAGTTGTTTTTCTCCTTACCTGTATATCTGAGTACCTGTCCAGGGCAAACATGTTAATATAACATAACTGAGATTTAAAGTATGGAATTCAGATAAAATTCTTTTTTGCATTAATCCTCTTCGTGCTGGTTAGCATAATGGCCGTAAAATTCTTTTTACTTATCTAGAAAAATTATGGCTTCATTTTAAGTGCTATAGAATTTTACATCACAAAAAATCAAATCAAGATGTTTAACACTGTGAAACTTTCAATTTATTTCATGCATTTAATCTATATAATTTGACCAAGGTTATTTGTGTAAAAAAAAAAAAACAACATTGAGGCAGAGAACTTACATTGTCCCCTAAAGAAAATAGTAGGAATTCAAGTCAGAATAGATCTAGACACCTCTACCAAGCCAATTAAAATACCTCTCCTAGCCCCCCTTTCCCTCCTTCCCCTTTTCTGAATGCTTCAATATACCTTAATTCAAATCCCTCCCTATCCCATTATTTCTTGACATATCAGTGCATCTTTACCCAATATAAACCCCTCTTAGCATTTCAGAGCCCCTCAGTATTCCCTTGACCTTATGACTCCTTCAGTAAGTCCTTGGCTTTATGACCTTCTCATTTCTCCATCATTTCTGAGCACTTCTATATGTCCTTGACCTTATGACCCCTATCACATTTTAGAACTTCATTATGTCCCTGACCTTCTCATTACTCCATTATTTCTGAGCACTTCAATATGTTCTTAGTCCTAGGAGGCATTGTTACCCCCCTGTCACTGATGTCCCTCCCTCATAAATTACTATATTATACTAAAATGAAGTAGAGTTATGAATTAATGCTGGACCAGTTTGTTGTAAAACTAAACCTCTATTTTGTCTTTAATTATTGGATTAAAGGGAAAACTAAATGTTGTCATGGTGATGTGTATCAAACATATGGAAAGTGGTGTAGATCTAATTCATTATTAAAAGCCCATTATAACATTTTAATTTCCTCCATATCATTTTTGTTATGTCAGTACAGAGTAGTATTTTATCAGCATTATCTGGAATGGATTAATGGTCCTGAATAATTCAGAGTTCTTCTGTATATGTAATTTATAACCATATACCTGTTATCAGCTATCGATAGGCTCTCTTTCTCTCTCTGGCTTTAATTTATAGGGCAGTACCTGTTATATATCTTAACACACATTCTCCTCTCTCTCTCTCTCTCTCTCTGACTACCCCAAACAGCTTCTCTTTCTCTTTGACTTAACCTTCAATAGATTCTCTCTCTCTCTCTCTCTCTGACTCTCTCTCTCTCTTTCCTATAATGACATTACCTGTTATTATCTACCTTTCCTGGCTTTCTGTCTGACAATTATTTGCCATTATGTAACCACGGCTTTAACCAAGGCTTGTAATCTTGCATTTAAAGACAAAATGAAATGTCAACAATGTTCAGGGCCCTCACTGCTGGTGCTGAAAGATGTATGGTGACATTTAAAAAGTTCAAATTCATCTCAATCACAATGTCTGAGGGGGGAGGAATTAAGTGGGCAGGTTTAGGTTTAGAAATTCCTCTTCGTGAACTGTTTCTCAAGACTTGGATAAGATTTTTTTTGTTCATTATAGATTCTGCTACTGTTTTATACCATTACTGGTAATAGGAGAAAAGGTTTGATTGGAAATAAGAATTCATTACTAGAGGAGGCAACATAGCAATTTTCCAATTTATTGATATTCTGGAGAAATGAATACGTTGAAGAGAATTTAATCGTAAGAGATTGCCAATTTGCATGACCTGGGGAAATTCACGCATAAATTGATACGAGAGAAAAAAAATATAGCTTGAATTGTACACTGCAGGATGGCGTAAAAGATACTGAGTTGGTTTTGAATGTAAATAACCACATCACATGACAAGAAAATTTCACCAAAATTTGTATATAGTCAGTATATCTTGTCCTGTATGATGTACATATTTACATCACATGACCTGGTGGAAATAACACAAAATATATATTTAAAAAATTGAATACACTGTAACGTACTGTACAAGCCATATCTTCATCACTTGTCCTGAAGAAAAATATACAAAAAAAATTGCACTATAAGACGTACAACTTAGAACTCTACAAAACCCACATTATATGACATTGAAAAGTTTTTGCAGAAAATGATCCAAAAAAACCCTGTACTGTTCTTACCTTAAACTGTACAAATCTGCATGACATAGAAGTTAAGTTTGTACATACCAATAAATCCCTTTTGATATCCCCTACCCACATAAGCAACCCTTGACTTTTTTCGATTGTCTGAGGCACCCCTCCCCCTTTTTTTTCATTGTGATTACCTCCACCAAGAAGTCAAGGAAATAAAACCACAAAGAAATACTTTGTAAAAAAAAAAATAACTGAGTAAATTTCCTTACATTTCCTGTTATTTATTTACAGATTGGAGATGAAGAAGAAATATGACGCCAGTTTGAATAAAGACAACAGTCAGACTCGACTCCTAGCTCTGTACCTGGCCATGCTGCTCAACAAGGGAGATCACCCCCAACACAACAGTCTCTACAGGGGAGAGAACTCCAGCTATGATGCTGGATTTAGACATCAGGTTCTTTATTCGCAGATAATGAGGAACCTCTGGAACCTGCCTATACAGGACGAGGTGAGTTTGTATAGACTTGTACAGAATATAGGATCACAAACATAGTGAAATTAAAACTATCAAAGAATCATAATACCGTATAAGTGGAAATTTTAGCGAGATGCAAATTAGCGATTTGTCCTTAAGAACTGGTAATTTATTTTTAGCGAGATGTTTATTTAGCGATTTTAAAATGCACATTAAAGTAGCTATTAGAAATTAACTCGCAATTAATTTTTAGCGGTATTCAATTTTAGTTATCTCGGCACCCTTGCTAATAATGCCAAAATTAAATCCTCGCTAAGAATTCTACTTATATGGTATGTTAATATTAGGTTATGATCATTACGTGTTCTTTTTATTTTAGGTAGAAGTGCTTCAGACACTGCAGGCTTTAGTACAGCTGACCTCAGATTCACACAAGGTGAGTACAATATAAACATAATGTGAGTATATACAGTCTCAACCAATCACCACTCACCAAAAATCATGTGTCTGTCATGTGTAGAAAGCTAAAAAGGGAAAAATATAATTATAACTGAACTGGAAAATGATAAAATGAAGAAGACAAAAGATTCATTTATCAATAATGTACTTGAAAGTAAAAACAGCCACAGGAGGTTGATGGTGAGTTTCTGTGGTAGAAGTGTACAGAGAGAATTGAGAGCTGATTTCAGTCCGGGAAATCAAAACAGGAGGACATTATCGGGGGATATGATGTTGTCATGTAAAGATCTAATTCAATTTTCCTGATGGCTCAACTTGTGAGTTAGATCTGTAGCGGTGGACATTAGGCGACTAATCCCATTAGGGCCGTATTTACTGTAGCTTGTCTGCTGATGCTGTAGATCTCCTATATAATACAACAGAGTCTCCACCATATTCAAATCCTGCATTAATAAGTTTGATTTGGCTTTTTAGGGAAAAGCATATGGATATGTACTTTTATGCTGTATATTGTTGAGAACTTTTCGTTTTTGATTCTTTAGTGGTTTCTGGTATTTCTGCTTATTGTAATTCTATCAATGTGCCATACCAGAAAAAAACTTTCCCTCTCCCTATCCTTCTCTTTTCATAAATTCAGTAAATGAGAGGAATGGGGGGAAGAGACTATAGTGTGTTTTTGGATCACTTAATTTATAAGTTGGAGGAATTTTTCTTTCCTAAGTTGCTTCAGGTTTCTTCATTAAGCTTGATTTTAGACACCCCTCCATCTTGTGTCAGTAAAGCCGATTTGTCCCTCACTAAGCCCGTGTCAGAATCTGTCCGCGTCCTTTGTCAGCTCAATGGGATTTAACCAGAAAATGCTGCTGTAATCCGATTGGTTGATGAGATCCAATTTGATGGAGAGTGTTTAGGACCAGATCTTATTCTCCAGCTTATTTTTGTCTCACCAATTGGCCTGTGTTCTTTGTTGTTTTGTTGTCATGGGTTGCTAAGAAACTGTGATCATGTGACCAGTCTTAAGTTGTAGGCTTTAATTTTTTAGATGCTCTGAAAGATACATGTAACATATGCTTACAACAGTGAATTGACAGATAATTTTATAGTTTTTATAACTGCTTTAGATAACCAAATTATTGTGTATTTTGTATTTATGAATATAAAGATATGAAATGTTGGTTTTTGCTACATATATCGTATTTACCCTAGTGAAATTTATGCAAACTAGATATACAATGTCATGTAAACGAAAATGAAATTTTTCCTAGCAAATTACCTGATATAATTATGTGAAAATTTCTTGTTAATAAAAAATGGTTTACAGTATGCAAATATTCAACAGATGCATGTGTTTGATAAATTCTAGCCAGGTTATGGAAATGATTTAAATTTGATTCATCTGAAGAAGAAAAAAACTGAAATTTTATTCTGGTTTTTACTGCACTTACACAGGGATAAGAAGTCAATGTTCTATAAAATACTATTATTTCAGGGATTTATAAGTCTGCAGGATTTCCCGGTATAAGAATGTTCAGGGATTTTTTATATTGATCGCTATTGATTCCCTAGATCACGACTCTCCTATAAGAATTTGTCTCCAATCAAATGTTCCTTCTTTTATCAGTCATTTTCACCTGTTGTATAGATATGGGGAAAAATTCAATAAAAACTCGGTGAATTTATTGGACAAAGCAAACAGCCCCAGAGTCAGAGAACAATCAAGTGTGGTTATCTCTCTACGCAAACAAAACTTATTTAATTATCCTCGACTAATTTCCAATCCTTTCTCTCATACATTTTCTTATCTTTGCTAGAAAGTTGTTCATGGATGGCAAAGAATCAAATATAAAATAGCCTTGCATTTCAGTAGGCAATTTTTTTTTTTGGAATCTCTAAAGAGTGTGTTTTTTTCCTTTTGTGTTAAAGTAGCTTCTAATTAGTCTTTTTGATTCCAAAATGATTTCTTTATTCAGGAAGCTCTCAACAATTATCACTGAAAAGCTCTATTTTATTTAGTTTTATGTAATTAGAGTGCTCTGCCCTTTGAAATAAAATAAATAAAACTAATGAAGATATACATTACCTTAAAATGTAATAATTGTTGTAAGTGCAATAATTGTAATATACTAGGTATAATTATATTTATTAGTATTTGTAGATGATATAGAGATCTATGTTATATCTATGTCCTCCTTCAAAGAAGGGCATATATTGTTTTGCTGCTGTCTTTTGGTAGGGCTGTAGGTCTGTCTGTCAGTCCACTAAGTTTCCGGTTTTCTTTTTCTTTGCAGATTTTGCAAAGATTTTGTAAACAGATTTATCATAAGAATATCTAGGTCAAGTTCTGTTTTGGTTATGATCGAACCATTTTGGAAAGAGTTATGCCCCTTGGACTGAGAAAAATTCTAATTATTTGGGGAGGGGGCATAATATTAGTATTTTAAGTACAAACATCTCTTATTGTAAATGTACTGGTAAAAGTTGTGCCTAAGTGCAATAATTGTAGTAAGTGTAATAATTTTAAGTGATGTAGTAGTAAGTGCAACATTGATTAGTGTTTTGTAGGTGTCATAGAAGTCCTTGTAATATTTGTAAGTAAATATCAGATATAGTATTCAGAGTAGCCCTTCCCTTTATTCTTTTGTTCTGATGTCACAGTACACAACAGTGAGTTTGTGCTTTCTCAATATTGATTGAAAGTTAAGAAAAATCATGTTTGAGTATGTTGTAATACATGTAGTGTGTTGCTAAAACAGAGTTCATACTTATTGGGGATATTTTGATCAATTAACAGTGAAGGATAAAATTTTGATCTTTGGATTGAGGTTTAGCAGTAGGTGTGCAGTGAATATACCATGGAATTAGTTATTGAATAACACAGTGCTATACAGGAAAAAGAGGCGATATGGTGACACCTCCCAATCTTTGACTATAGATGAAGGTTGATACTTCTATTTGACTAAATGTGGTGGTGTTAAGACAATTGGCACCCTACTAATTGGTTAACCCCTTAGCTCAATTGGTAGAGCACTGGTCTGGCAAGCCAGAGGTCTCGGGTTCAATCTCCAGCAGAGGCACAAAATTGTCTGTTACCTGTTTGACTATAGATGAAGGTTCAATCCCCAGCAGAGGCACAAAATTGTCTCTGTTACATAAAGATGATGGTTGTATAATATTAATCCATAAAACAAAGCATAATATTAAGGGACTTTTTAATGCGCAAGAAAAATAACGTCATTTTTCTGCATACTACCTCATCAGTTTCAGAGAGTGGTGATATGGATTCAGAAAACCACAGTGTGGTGATCCAAAAAGTCGGATCACGACGTCACGTGATTGCGTAAAATCAACAGTAAAATTGAGTGATACACATTAGGTATATAATAAAACCCTATTTTTGACTTCAGACTGATGAACCCTGACACACATGAAGCCCTATATTAGCCCTTTAAGTAGGAGAAGTTTGATACAACCCTATATTTGACTTTAGACTGATGAAGTTCCCTATAACCTGACACAGCCCTATATTTAAGTAGGAGAAGTTTGATACAACCCTATATTTGACTTTAGACTGATGAAGTTCCCTATAACCTGACATAGCCCTATATTTAATAGGTGAAGACCCTACAGCTGTTACTACAGAGGCTGAACTCTGTCCTACTATAACTTTGTAAATGTCAGCTTTTGGTCAATAATCTTCTATAGATTGTCAGGATAATTACACAACACTATTAAATACAGAGACTGCTTTTTAAGTGAACATTAGGAATTAGAGTATTGTGTTGGAAGTTAAGGCCAAGTCAGTGTAGGCTGGTTTATAGGGTAAGTCTTTATGATGTTTTGAAAACTTATAGAATCAGTCTACAACATCTTTATTTTAAATATCATTAATATTTCCAACTTTTATTGTGCATATATAGACTTATAAAAAAATGATGCGGCTTAATCTAGTTTCTGTTTTGAGGAACCACAATGTGCAGCATTTGATCAATCAATGCTTGATAATTCAACAAAAAGCTTACAGATTCTATTCAAAGACTTGCACTATTCTACATCCATATAATTAAACTGTAAGATTAAATCCAATTGAAAAATAATATACCCGTGTAGTGTGTCTCTTTTTGTTGGAGAAACTCAAGGTCAATGGTGTGATTCAATGTCAGTGCTTTGTAGCTTTTTTTGTATTTTACATATTTTAGTATACATGTACTTGAGATGAACTCTGGGTTTGACAATATTAAACCCAGACAATGTCATCGTTGCTGTATTGGAAGTTTTGCACAACATTCACTGTAATACATTTACGACAAAAAACACGGGGAAAATATTTGACCTGTATAAAGAAGAAATAGTTCAAACAGAGATGTTCTTCTTTGATATACGTTGAGTGCTTTTGACTTGAATTTCACATCTGCATGCTGTTCAAACAGAGTGAACGATTACTTCACGGTTACTGTAAAAGTCAATAAATGTTATGTCAACAGACTTATATTGACCAAGATACCTCACCCAAACAGTGTCTCAATAGTAAAGAAGGGTAATGTGAAGTGATCATTATACAAGACAAGGGAAGAGTCAGTGTGAACTGTCTTTGATCTTGGAAGGATACAAAAACTTTTTATAAGCACTGCGCTGCAATGTTTATTTAAAGGTTTGTTGGGCATGTAAGTTCTGAAGAGTTCATAATGCTTCTGAAATATAATTGATATAATATATCACTCTAAATTCTAGTCAAGTTTTTCACAATATTGAACCCAATACTTCAGAGGACAAGAACTGTGTCAGTTGTTAATTTTATTTTTAAGTACATGTATACCTAGATTTAACACATTGATGAGGATTTTGTAGAAATTTGGATTGTGAGTTATCTTTCTCTCATTGAGTGAATAAGATAGAATTCAGTGTGAGACTTAGGCATATAGAGTCAGCATGTTAGTGTTGATTATCACCGAGTTTGATTGATCCGCGGCTCAAATTCATGCTTCTGTCTCGCGTCTTGTCATCGCGGGGTGAAAGTCACGCAAAACTTGTGATGCTAATTTGACAGTGATAAGGCCCTAATGGATGTATTATACAGCTACAAGAGATATCAGACCGGGCTGTGATAGCAGAGACTTATACAGGAGATAGAAGGGGTCTCTAAACTCAACACAGAAATCAAGGACAAAGACATACCAACAGATGACTGAAAGAAAAACTTCAAAATAATACAGTTGTGACTAAGTTCATAGGATATATATTATGAAAGAATTGCTACGTTATTAGGTGCACAGTCCTACCACTGATCAGAAACGTTTCTTATACTTGATCTATATACATGTAACCCTGGAGTTTGTTTATTTTAAATGCTAAATTTATTGTGTTTCTGCATATTAATATTATTTTTTTTTTTTTAAACTGATTTTCCCTGATATATGCTTTAATGGAAAGTTTTAAATTGATTTAAAGCATTCAAATCTGCTGTTGAAATTCAGTCTGCTGTTTGCTCCAATTAATGCAGTACGTTATGAATAATATATTTTTATAACACAAAAAAACAAATAGTTTTAAGAGTATTGTTAAGTTACAGATTATTCTTTCTGGCAGGTTTAATTCTATAATTATAACACAAAAAACAAAAAATAGTTTTAAGGGTATCTTTAAGACAGAGATTGTTCTTTCTAATTGGTAGTTTTTTTTAATTGTTTTCTTGTTACAGATGAGCCAGGTGTCTCTCAGTGATTCTACCTCCCTCCTACACAGACTCTTGGAGACGACCTTGACCTTGTATGCCCAGAGACAGTCCCCCATCCAGGGACTCCTGACCTTGGCCGTGGAAGCAGGGTCAAACATCATCAAGGCCGTCTCTAGGGCAGCCATTGTTAACAAAGATCTGTGGTTCTTCAGAGAGAAACTGTCCCAGAGTATAAAGGCACTGGAAAGGTTTATCAAGGTCAGTCAATGTAGCCCTTTAGGAGGCTGGGGGGTCAACAAATTACCCATCAGATATAACTTCATTTCTTAGACAAGATATCTAAAGCTCCAAACTGTCATTTGGCAAAAAAAGATTTCATACATTTTAGTTTTAAAATTTGATAATTTTTGTTTATTTTTAAATGGAGCTCTTCTTCTGAGGGAGATCGATAAAGTATAAAAATGGCCACAACCACCCAACCCTCTTGATATTATCTAGATGGAAATGTTAGTCTAGTTTATAGTTTTAACAATTTTTTTTAACCATCACAACACTGGACTTCAAAATGAGGATAAGTAAAACCATATTTCTTCAACAATTTATCTTGAGAGTTTTTGTCTTTTTCAATAAGTGTTGAAATCAAGGGATTTTTTCATTGACTTCTTTTACTGCGTTTATTTAAAATCTTTCATTACATATTAATTATACCCAGTCTCCTTCTATAAAGAATTAATGGTTAACTTTCCAATGAATTAGGTAGGAGCTAGAGATGTGGTTATGTAGAATTAATGGTTAACGTTCTACAATGAATTAGATAGGACCCTGTAGAGATGTGGTTATATAGAATTAATGGTTAACTTTCTACAGTGAATTACAGTGAATTGAAGCCCTTCACCGGCATATGGTGACGTCTCCATATGAGTGAAAAATGCTCGAGAGGGACGTTAAACAATATACAATTAATCAATCTACAATGAATTAGATAGGACCCTATAGAGATGTGGTTATATAGAATTAATGGTTAACTTTCTCCAGTGAATTAGATAGGACCCTATAGAGATGTGGTTATATAGAATTAATGGTTAACTTTCTACAGTTAATTAGATTGGAGTCAGAGATTGGGTGGGTTATATAGAGATAGGAGCTTAGAGATGCTGTTAATTAATAGTTAACTTTCCAGTGAGTTAGATGTGGTTGTATAGAATTAATGGTTAACTTTGCAATGAATTAGATAAGGGCTTGGAGATGTTTTTTATATAGAATAATTAATGGTTAACTTTCCAGTGAATTAGATAGGAGCCTTGAGATGTGGTTAATGATAGAACAGCTGCTGTTGAAGAGGTATTTAAGATAACGCTCTGACCACGTTAATCAATACAGGGACGGAGGCACATTTCAGATTTCACTTTGTCACTGATGCTGAGATTACCCATAAACAGAGACACTGTAACTAAACAGTTTCTTTCAAAGAAAGGCATTTACCTTACAAGTCACCTTGACAACAGTGTTTGTGGAACATTACGTGAAGTTATCGAGAGTGTGTTCACGGCAGGGCAAAAAAAAGCACGGGCCATTCTGTCTAAACAAAATAATTAGAAAACGGTCATAAAAGAGGAAAAGTATAACTTGATTGGTGAATCAATAGATTTGAATCATTCGTCAATAGCGTCCTGTGTGTTTTTTGCGGTGGTGACAGGCTTCGTAAATGTTCATATTCTTTCCCTTTTTTACTCGCTGATTGATTAAATGGAGCTGCTAGAACCATAAAAACAGCAATACATCTGTGAAGATCATTGAATAAGATTCAATAAAGAAAATATAATTCATTTGAAGTATTTCAATATGTTTTAATCATTATGAAACCAAAAGCAGTCCAACGGATTTTCACATCTTCAGCTTGACTGAACAACTTATCTTTAGCTTTAATTGAAAATTTAAAACAAAAAAAAAAATTAAAAACTCAAATATAAAAGAAGGAAAGATAGTAGCATGGTACAGACAAAACCAATAGTCATCTTTTTATAAAAGTATTTTTTTATTTACTTTTTCCAGTTTGATTATAATATATTTTAGAACCATTTCATCACAGTGCATATTTTAGTGCATAATTTAGCACATTTATCAAGAATTTAAAAATGAAACAAGAACCTGGTGAACTTCTCTCCTGGTTTAAAAAAAAATCTGTTGATTACTGTGGAATCTAATCCCTGTGTAAAAACCTAATACTGATAGTGTGTATTGATTTAGCCCTAATCTCATAATTCATCATTACCGTAGTGTCATTTATAAACCCATACTCCATGTACTGAGGACAAATCTGCTAGAATCAGCCATAAACCAACAGTAATTATTATATACAGCCTAAGACAAAGAAAGAAGGGTGGACTGGTCCAAAGTTAATGGTTTGATTGATTATTAACGCTAATCTGCAGACAGAGTAGAAGTATTTTACAGTTTTAAAATTGCTAGTGCATTCAGATTCTATGTGTTCCTGCAGTTAACAGAATTAACACAATTTCTATTATAAAAGATTTGTTGAGGTTATCTGGGTCCTGATTCTGTACTACATGTATAAGGTCATAATATATTTTTGGATTGATAGAGTAGTCCTTATTAATTGGATAGGATGGGACATTTAAATGTAGAAAGTTATTCAGTGTGGATAACTAGTTTATTAAAGGTTGACTAAAAGTTGTACAGTATTGATAACTAGTTATTGATGGTTGAGTTAAGCTATCTAGTAGTGATAAATGGGTTAATGGGTTATTCAGGGCTTTGTTTTAAGTTATTCAAGCTATCTAGTAGTGATAAATGGGTTAATGGGTTATTCAGGGCTTTGTTTTAAGTTATTCAGTACTAATAACTGGATTTTTGATGGTTGATTTTAAGTTATTCATGCAGTACTGATAACTTTGTTATCGATGGTAGATTTTAGGTATTTCAGTACTGATAACTCAGTTATTGATGGTAGATTTTAGGCATTTCAGTACTGATAACTCAGTTATTGATGGTAGATTTTAGGTATTTCAGTACTGATAACTCAGTTATTGATGGTAGATTTTAGGTATTTCAGTACTGATAACTCAGTTATTGATGGTAGATTTTAGGTATTTCAGTACTGATAACTCAGTTATTGATGGTAGATTTTAGGTAATTCAGCACTCAGTCTGATACTTTGGTAATTTAATGATAACTGGGTCAGTGATGAAGATGTGGCAATTAGACCAGCTGTTACTAGTTATTGAGTTATTCAGCACTGATAACTGGCTTCTTTAATGATAACTCTGTTACTGTACATCACCTTTTATTCATGATAACTAGATTGTTGATGGTAGATTCTAGGTAATTCAGCACTGATAACTAGATTGTTGATGGTAAATTTTAGGTAATTCAGCACTGATAACTTGACTGTTGATGGTAGATTCTAGGTAATTCAGCACTGATAACTTGAGTAAATAACTATCTAGGTAATTCAATGATAGAGTGTGGCGAAAATTTAGTGATTTACAGTATTGATGGTAGATTTAAGGTTATTCAGTACTGATAACTTTGTTATTTGATGATATAACTCGGGTTTTTTAATGATAACTGGGTATTTCAGTACAGTAACTGGGTCGATGATGGAGATGTGGTAATCTGACCAGCTGTTACTACAGAAACAAACATTAGGAGGCCCCAGATTAAAGGATTGATGTAATGTTTGATTTCCAGAACTGGACTTTGTTTTAAGTCAACACTATTGATTTTTGAGGAAACAGATTTCCTTGTCAGAATGAAATCAGTGGTCTTTAATGGATTAACAGTTACTTCTGATGTTTACTTAACATGCAGTAGAGGTTTTAAGATTTCTTATGTTTCATTGAAAATGTTTGCCTCTCTCTCTCTCTCTCTCTGAAAATTCATAGTAAGATTTATGCTGAAAAAGGTAAAACATTTTAGGCTTTTTGTCATATTTCCTAGTATCATATTGAAAGTACTTTGAAGTTCTTAATGATAAATTCAAAATTAGTGCTGAGACAATCTCTTTTGGACAGATTTAACTTTTTTCTGTTTACTAATTATAGATAATTTAAGAACCACCTAACATTTACATCAGCACTGGCAGGACTGTTTTTAGATTTATGCTGAAAATCGGCCAATCAGAAATCAGGTTACCAAAACGGACATTCAGTAATGTAAGACATTTGTGACGGCGTGGGTTTGTTAGCTCCCATACCGATCCATTCCAGTTTGTTCAGAGAGGAGAATTTAGTGTTTCATTTTTAAAGGAAATCAAAATAAAAACATATTTCCTCAAAAGTTTCAATTTTTAAAGTACGTTTTGAAATTAAGTTCTTGGAAAGATGAAAAAAATTCCACAGTCACTTTGTATTTTTTAGATGATGCTGATTATATGACAATCTCTTCCACATAAGACGATCGTAAAAGTTTTGTCAAACAAAGAAAATTTTAACTTTAAGATGCTGCTGTTATCAGCAATTCCATTATTCATTGTATAACAGATCTGTCCGGTTTTGCTTTCATAGACATTCTTTCAAAAATTTTCTCTACATGATACGACTGTCTTTTATATAGCATTGTTTGAAATAAAACCTATCACCTGGTTTTCATCAAATATATTTTGATTAAACCACCAATTACAACACAGGGATCCGTATATTTTCATATAAACATCTCGGCAAAACTCACTACTGCTTTTGACTTTTGAATCCAAAAAATGAATATAAGTTACCGAGACGACATATAAAGTCTTATTTATTTTCCATGCATCAAAATTGGTCAATCAGAAATCAGGTTACCAAAAAAACTGACATCCTTCAGTGATGTACAGGTTAAAACACAGAATTAATGCCTGATTTTGTAACAGAGCCTATTTTTCTTTGATTGTCAACACATTTAGGTCTCCCAAAAGTTTATCGATAAAACCATGCTAATTTTGACACTCGCTAAAACCATTTCAGAACAAGAAAATCTCGAAAATAAAATACCATATGATAGTGGGTTGTGTCAACTGGCATTTGGAGTTAACTTGCGTCCGAGTAATGAGCAAAAGTTGTCTTGAAAACTTTAATTTGATCAAATTGTATCTTTTGTTACGTCATTTTTATTGTCAGTATGCTAAACATTCTATATTCTGACGTCATTTTCGGAGTTATTACGTCATAAAAATTATATAGTGACCAATCAAAAGAAGGAAATCAAAATTAATAACCAATCAAAATAGGGAACTTAGAAAAAGTAACCAATCTAGAAGAAGAAACAGATCAAGATCTTTTAATGACTAAACCCAAAACTAATTAGAAGAGGGAATAGTCGCAATAAGACATGACAGGGAAGGTTCAACCACAAACAAAATCCCAGAGAGAGACAAAATATAGCTGATAATTTGGAATTATATTTGATTTTTAAAATTTTATCTTGATGTTACATGTAGGTCACTAATACATGTATACCAATCTATATTTATTATATTATACTGAATGGAATACATATAACAGAACATAAATTCTGCACAGTCACTATTTTTTGAATGTCATCAAGCAATGTTGACTGTTCGGGTAATAGTGTTTTTTATTCTAGTAACAAATTTACATGAAAGCATAATATTATAATTTAGTTTATATTGTAACATTCATCTATAAAGTGAAATTCATGTTAACATTAAGATACAAAAAAATTAACAAATCACAAGGATTAGGGTACAAATCATATGGTTTATTGTGAAGAATTTTGTTGAAATCTTTCAGGTTAACTCTGAAGTTACTTCACTGAATGTTTATGATTGCCATGGAAACGGCCTAAACAGTCTCCAGGATGATGACCCAGTAACCATTCAGTTACCACGGCAACAACAGAAGGTATAACAAAACACCAACATTTTTGAAAAAAATGATAAATAAATGATGAGCAAATTAATACATTTATCATCAGATATGTAGTTGTAAGCAATGGAATGGAAAAAGAGATTTTGAGGTATTGAAAGTAAATTTTAAACAGAAAACATTGTTGGTATACTTTCAAATTAATTCTTTGACATATCCATTATATATTATAATTCAGAATAAGAATGTTTAAGATATCAACAATTGTGTTTGACTGTTGAACACTACCTTGTATTTCAAGAGAGAGGTGGTAATGTAATAATTTGTAGAGGAGGTAGTTTAGAAGACTGAATCGTGTTATTTTGTCATTGAGAGTCAACCACTGTTCCATAATTACAGTCAATGATACCAGTGGGAGAAACTTCTGATTTTAATAACTGTATAATTATTGCTTCTTTCTGAAGGACAAATGACTTTGCAATATATGCAATCACAACAGTGAGTGGGCGTGCTTAGGGAATACATATACCTATTGAATTATTAGCCAATATGCTCTGCAATACTTGCCCTGATTAGGCTGAAATAAAAGTTACAGTTTTCAGGCCTGTTTGCATCTGTTTTGAGGCAGCTGCATTCAAAGTTTTATCATATTTTTGATAAAATAAAAAAATAGTTATGCAGAAACAATCAGGGAAAAAAGTTCCGACCTCATAGTTAAGTTTTCGAATATTACTTCCAATGGCCATTTTCAAAAGACTTGGTCATGTTGGCTATTGCTTAAAAATACATTGAAGATAATGCTTACAATTCTCTCTTTCTGAAAAGCAATGGATAGTGCAGACCTATTGATCAGACATTGAAAGTGTGGTTAAATATATACCCTCTTCATCTACTTCATCACTAATTAAATGATAAAAAGAAGCCTCCCTTTAACATCTGTATTGGAGAAAATTGGCCTGATAACCAAAGAATTTGATTTATGCAGCCTTAGCTTATTTTATTATAAATTGATCCAATGAACAAATAACTTGAAGGCTCGTCAGAAAGCCTTTTTTTTTCAAAAAAAAAAAAAGAATTAAACAAGAAATTCTCATGTTACATGCTAAGTTTTGATTTCTGTGAGGACCTTCGTTTTAAAGTAAAAATCTCTCTTAGTCACCGAAGTCTAAACTATAAATCTAATGTCACAATCTCTCTTCACCATTACATTATCTGTTTCTGTGACAAATGGCTGGCCAGTTTTGACAGACAGGATAGATCATTCTGTACTCACTACTCTGTAGGGATGATGATGTTTTCAGCAGTGGAGTAACTTGATATTGGCAGTCAATTTACTCCTGTACGCTTCTCTGAGAACGAGATGTCTAATGGGAGAAAAAGAAGGAATGGCCTGTAAAGAAATGTAGGATTGACAGTGTGTAATGAATGCAGGGTGTAAAACACAAGTACAGAACGTTGAAGAAAAAAAGAACTTGTACACATTCAACATTGAAGATCTGTTATATTTAACAACATCCAGGATGAAACATATGGATATAACAAACAGTATCCAAGTTCAAAAGTCAACAAAACAATACAAAAAGGAGCAGAGCAAACACAGACCTCCAAAACATCAGAGGTGGGATCAGGTGCCATGGAGGAGTAAGCATCCCTTGCCAACCGGTCAAAGTGTTGTGTGCTCCTTGTCATGATCAGGAAATAATGGAAAAATCTGTTGTCAATTTATTGTTAAATAATGGACTAACAATTAGTATGAAAAACGTCAGTCAGCATTTGACTCGATTGACTTGATGATAAATTATATTTGCTGACAAGGTCTTTGTATCAACCATAGAACTTACGAAATTATAACTTTAAACTAGAAATTAGGATTCAACACATACAAAACAGATTACATTGATATCTTCTGAAGACTTTGCTGCTATCTTGTGTCATATAACATATTTAGAAATGTATATTAAGATTAACAATACAATGCAGGAGCAGAGTAAAAACATCAGAGATGTAATCAGGTGCCATAGTGGAGTAAGCATCCCCTACCAATCCCCTGAGATATCTCATGATAGGGTACATTATCATGAGATATAATATATCTGTATCATGTATCAAATTGATACAGACCCTGAGACGTGCTACTACCCATGTATCGTTCGTGCAGCGAGCATGTGGGGGTAGTAGAACGCCTCAGATTCTGTATCATATATCATTATGGGAATTATATTATCTTCTTTATATCATTACTGTTAAACAATATTATGAAAATGTAAATATCATGGTATAGGTTACATTGAAATCTTGAGACTTTAGGCAGATAACAGTATCTTGATACAAAATGTATTAATGTTACAGACTCAACAGGAGACAGTGTATCAGCTACAGAAATCCACCATGAATGTCCACCAGTTTAACTTGACTAAAACCAGCATCCACCAAACACTGCACATACATGTAAAGATGGTGCCAGAGAATCGTGGCAGACTCTTCCCAACAGCTCTCCTTATTGGGTAAGACAAACAGTTTATTTTAAGACAAACACTGTATAGTAACAGACAGATGTCAAAGACAGTGACCATTTTACAGAATAACTTATTATGACTAAGACCAAAATTTATTCTGTGTATCATGTTCTTATTTGCACACACTACAAAAATTTTTAAACAATTTTAGAATCATTAGCGAGGGTGTTGAGATTCCTAAAATTGAATATGGCCAGCAGTGAATTGTTTATCAATTGAAATGTGTCTCTTGTCGCCAGTATAAAACTGCTGAAATTAAATATATATTACAGTAACTGATTTTTAGGATAAATGTTTAATTTGCATATCACTAAAAATTCTAATGTAAACAGTGTAGGGATATTGAGGTTTCTGATCAGTGACAGTCTTGAGTCATTTGATAAAGTTATCAGTCCGTGGTAAAACAATTTACTCCTTAATCTTTCCACAAAAACCAATTTCCTCGTTACAAAACCATTTTAAATCTTGCTCTCGCTATCCTGGCTTCTCGGTGGGGAAATTAACGGTCTAATTTAGCCATGAGATGCACAGGGAATCAATGTTTGTCTTCATTTGTGATGTCAGATCCCTTGTCTTAACACAACCGCAGACCTGTCTTAATCCCCTCCAAGGCCTTCCCGGCTTTTCCATTTCATGGCCAGATACTCAATTTCTCAAGGTTTTATGAATTTATTGCCACATTCTAATGATCTCTATATTGTACTCAGGCATTGTGTGATGGAAGGTCCTATAAATGAGTTTGATTCTGAGACGTGACATTTCTCTCTGATGTGGTTCATGTTGATGTCTGTTGTCTCACATTAGGTGACATTGATGAGAGCTGAGGAATAATTTGTGATGGTTTTAATCAAATCAGCAAAGTACATAAATATTTTATAGAATCACTCAAATAAGATCTGATAATCGGTAAACACAACACAGTTTTAAGTTTTGAACAGTCATTGAAACTCAAACATGGTACATCCCAGATATATTTTGAATGGAAACTTCAATGTTCTTTTCTCTATGTTTACAAATGACAAAAATGCACAACAATTATATTCATCACCCAGCGCTTTGATACCAGTACATTACTTGTATTAGAAAGCCTGAAGTAAAAATGTTGTTTTGCAGACGGGCCCGAAATTTTGGCTCAAACCTGTAAATCTGAAAAGGTGAGCAAAGTTTTTGGGTGGTCTGCAGGCAGCCAGAACATCTGTGTAAGGCCTAGAGATGGTTAAGATTCACATAACATCTATGTAAAGGCTAGAGATGGTTAATATGAAATAATTTGAATGACATTTTGATTTGCTCTTTGTCTGTGAAAGTAACCTTTTTAAAATGTTGTTTTGAAATTAATTCAATATCTTGGTAATGGATCCTGAATCCTTGCATATGGAATACTAGGTTTATCCTTACCAAACAGTTCTTCCCTAATGATCATTAAGTTAAGGACACTGTGCAGGTCTACACTTTGCAGTGTCTTAAATAATGTAAATGGACTTAGGGGACAATTAATGGCTAAGTTGCAGTCTGTTGCTGAGAGAGACAATGCAATGTTAAAGTATGAGAAACAAAAAAGGTCAGCTACAACTAATGAGTAGGTGTCATGGTAACAGAAAGGGAAACTCTCACTGGCTTATTAGAATCTACTGATTTATGCTTCTTCCCTTTTACTGTTTTATTGTATAAAGTCTAGTTAGTGTTTCAAATTCATATACAGTTCACTAGCATGATATTTCAAAAATATCTTAAATTCATATGAAAATTATCATCTGATATGAGCATTTATCACAGGACTGATTACAGATTTAGATTAATAGTCACATGACTGTAATATGACTGTCACACATATTCCTTCTATCATTAGGTGAGCAAGGTTTCACAAGTTCCAGACTAGCAGTTGTGTTGGTGTATGAATGTAGCACATATGATCATTTCTTTGCTTGTCAGATAGTTAGTGTTTCCAATTCACATAAAGTTCACTAGCATGTGTTTAGAAACATTTGTCACATGTCTGATAAATTTTCAGACTTTTGTCATTTGTCACATGATTCACAATTGAACATTTGTCACATGTCTGATTCCAGATTTAGAACTTTTGTCTTTGGTATATGAATGTAGCAAACAGATTATTAGAACATTTATCAAATGGTAAAGATTCCAGATTTAGAACATTTGTCACAGTAAAGATTCCAGATTTAGAACATTTGTCATGGTAAAGATTCCAGATTTACAACATTTGTCATGGTAAAGATTCCAGATTTAGAATGTCACATGACTGGCACGCCTGTTATTTTGACTCAGACCTTTAATTATCAGGTGAGCAAAGTTTCAGGTGTGTTTGTCTGTGAATGTACAACACAAGCTCTGGAGTCTGCAGAGTAACCATTTGTGTCAGGCAATGGACATTCTACCAAGATTGCATTTTGTTTCATATATCACACATTATATAGACTTTTGGGTGACTAAACAACACAAATTCTGGAAATGAAATGTATTGGTCTTTGAGTATTACCAAACAAGATCAGGAGTTCAGATGTAACAATTAATTGTCTCTTAAAATTTTATAACAAAAATGAAGTGTTATTTGTATTGTACTCATCAGTATTTATGAAACATCAAGAGAAAGTCATGTACAATTTTTGGTGACCTTGTGTTCAGCTTTAAATTACCTGAAATCAGTGATTTATTTTTATCTATATATTACCTGTGTACCAGTCTTAATCAGAGGAAGAGATGCTCGTAACAAGTAGCCTCTCGCAAAGATTTATAGAGCTCTTTTACCAATATGAGGGTCAAAGATCAGGGTCAATTCCAATACCGATAGGTTTGATATTCTTACCTGAGTGAATAAATATTTTTAAAAATCATATTGGTTAACAGGTCCAGGTGCACAAAAATTATTGTATTGGTGAACAGATTCAGGATGTTAAAAATTATAACTCTCAGTGATAAACAACTAGAATGTGAAAAAATATATTGAAGTTAATACCAACAATATACAGAAATGGTGTTCTGATTAGATAAGATGTAAAAAAGTTATAATCAATTTGATTGGTACAGTGATTGTTTTAATGATTTTGATTGGATAATGGACATCAGCAAATGAATTTAAATGGTACATAATTATGTAGTAAGTTATAATTTTGATTGGTTAACAGCTTCATCAGATGAATTTGATTGGTCAATAATAATCTCAATATTTTAACAGATACAAGAACCACCCTACCCCTCAGAGGTTCCTCCTGAAGAAAGAAACTCCAGCCACAGAAAACGAAATCCAGATGTTCTTACCAGCCGGCTATTTCAATGGTAAGGTGCTCTGCTTGTTTCTTCCTTGTGAACTACATAAATGAGAAAATCCTCTTGCTTTCTTTTATACCCATGGCATGCATGTAAAAAAGGAAATCTTTGCAATACTGCAATGGTTAAATGTGCTGAATTTATATTTTTTTCAATGGGCTGTTTTATTGTAGTAAGAAAGACTTAATAATACTGTAAACCAACTTTTATTTGCATGCGAGAAATTTTCGTGAGGTTCGTCTTCTTCGTGAATATTTCTCGCCATGAACCTGTCTTTAAAGTGTATATGACTATAAACAACAGATTCAGAAAGGCTTGATCAGGAAAATTAATCATCGCGAACTAGTTTATCTCTTGTGAATAGCGAAATCAAGTCGAAGCGAATAAAAGTTGGTTTACAGTATCTTGCAATGGCTCTAATCATTGCAACTAAAGTGGTGAAAAACTAGCTATCACCCAGGTTTGATGACAAGTGGTCAAATAGCTCAGTCAGTAGAGACTTTGCTTGACTAGTCATTTAGGGGGCTAAGATTCCAGTCCTTTCCTGTTACATTTAGTGCCAGTCCAAGCTCTAAAATGGACAGATTGAAAACCCGCTTTGGAAGATCAAGGGTTGGTGACTTGGGTGAGGTGGGGTGTATAAAAATCTTTAAGGAGGGAGGAAAATGGCAGTTTGGCCTTGGCCAGATAGCTCTCTCGTAGAACATCTGGACTGTGAGCCAGGGATAGTTGACCTTGAATCTCATCTGGTCCTTCACATTGTTTCCTTTCCTGGAACACAAACTAATGGCATGATATCAAAGCATTGAATAAAGCCTGTGTTTTCTTTTTCTTGCTCAAAGAGAGCTAACTCAATGCTAGAATAACATGTATGTAGTTTTCTGAAAAAAAAAATCAAAGAGAATTTTTTTTTTTTACTTGTAGGTGTGTCTTGATATGCACTGTAGAAAGGCTTCCAACCAGATTCTAACAGCATGGCACCATTATGTGATTAAGTGTTGATTAACAGTTCCCTCATAGCCATGTTATTATGCATGTTAATATGTAAATCCAGGTAGTGTATAAAGAGACACTGACTCCAGATGAGGTTCCCAATTCTGGTCTCTGGTAAGCAGCAAGTCTGTTAATTGTGATGAACATAATGGTTCAGTGGGAAATGCCTGTCCTTTAATTAGATGGATAAGTATTCCGGTAGATAGTTAGACCTACTGACAACCAAAGGATCTGATAAAAAATTAATCAGGTGAGGTATGACTTGAAATTGGACAGAGGACTTGTGAGCAGGTACATGTGTATGATTATTGAAAAGAATTCTTGGGCATAATACACTGATTTGAGGATAGAAAACAAAATATTCAAAGGAAGGAAATTGGGTATAGGTATGACAGCAATATGAAGAAAGAGGTAAAGTATGATATATATATATGATCAAGAGGATATGCCTGAATGAGGCAAAGCAGGTATGGTAAATGAAGGATTTTTTTTAAGTTATTATACATCGATCTGACCTTATGATGAAATGTAATCAGGTATGGCAGCTGTATTAGTAAATGATTTTTTAAAATAAAAATATACTTTTATTGAGAAATAATCTTGTGTTGTTTTTATTTTGAGTTTGGAATGGCATGGCATCATTTGAAATAACAGTTTGACAATGAGCAAATAAGTTCAAACAACATGCATATTGCCAGCAGTAAACAACTGATTGTCCAAATAAGGAAAATGAAGGTTGCTTTCCCCTTAAATTGTTAATACTATTTCCCGTTTTTAGCTCCACTGGTCAGAGAACAGAAGAGCTTTTGCGATGGTAAGGTGTCTATCGTCCGTCTGTCTGCCTAAACAATTTTTCAAAACGCTACTCCTCCTGCAGTTTTGGTGTGATTTTATTATAACTTGACACACAAGTAGACTTTACTAAGATACACAATTATCTTAAGGTGAATTCACCATGCATCGGACACCCTTGTACTTCAACAAGTTCTCGCTACCAACGGTCAATTATCAAAATGGAGCTTAACACTTAGTATGTGATTAAAATATAAATTTGGGACACATATGTTTTTCATTGAGAAAATATCATTAAAAATCGATTTTTTCTAAATATGATGCTCATATGAGCTCAAGTCGAAGAAATTGTATCCGTTTACTGTTGATTAAACGCGTGTTCACGACTGACATCGCATCAACATTTAGGAAAATCATCACTGTAGGGGACAGAGCCATGATACCGAAATAAAATAATGGTTTAGAGTCCAGAAATAGGCACTGAAGTGGGCGGGGGTATTTTTTCCAAGATGGGAGCTTGCGTCCCTTATAGAGTTTATGTATATAGGTGTGGTACGTCTTTTTTAAACGTGGTTTTTCTTGCCTGAAAGTGTCAGGATCTTTATTTTAACAACTTTTAAGTGTATTTAAAGAAGATTCAAAATTTTTAAAATTTATTTTACATTTAACAATCCGGAAGACAAGCCCTTATGCACCCTATCGGTTTTTGATTTCATTGAAGGGTGTTGCCCTGGTTACTAAAATTAGAAATTTCTGTGAAATTCCTTTTTAACCTTACTCTTTTAACAGTTTTGGTCTGATTAGCTCACCTGAGCCGAAGGCTCAAGTGAGCTTTTCTGATCACATTTTGTCCGTCGTCCGTCCGTCTGTCTGTCCGTCCGTCTGTCTGTCCGTCTGTAAACTTTTCACATTTTCAACTTCTTCTCAAGAACCACTGTGCCAATTTTGACCAAACTTGGTACAAAGCATCCTTTGGTTAAGGGGAATTGAAATTGTTAAAATGAAGGGACATATCCCCTCGCAAGGGGAGATAATCAAGAAAAGACAAAAATAGGGTGGGGTCATTAAAAAATCTTCTTCTAAAGAACCACTGGGCCAGAAAAGCTGAAACTTATGTGGAAGCATCCTGGTATAGTGTAGATTCTAAATTGTTCACATCATGACCCCCGGGGGAAGGGCGGGGCCACAATGGGGAATCAAAGTTTTATATAGAAATATATAGGAAAAATCTTCGAAAATCTTCTTCTCAAGAACCACTGGGCCAGAAAAGCTGAAACTTATGTGGAAGCATCCTGGTATAGTGTAGATTCTAAATTTTTATCATCATGACCCCAGGGGGAAGGGCGGGGCCACAATGGGGAATCAAAGTTTTATATAGAAATATATAGGAAAAATCTTTGAAAATCTTCTTCTCAAGAACCACTGGGCCAGAAAAGCTGAAACTTATGTGGAAGCGTTCTGGGGTTGTGTAAATTCTAAATTGTAGGAATCATGACCCCAGGGGGAAGGGCGGGGCCACAATGGGGAATCAAAGTTTTATATATAGAAATATATAGGAAAAACCTTTGAAAATCTTCTTCTCAGGAACCACTGGGCCAAAAAAAGCTGAAACATATGTGCCAATGAAAGGATCATGGGGTAGTGTAGATTTCAAAATGTTTAAATTATGATCAATGGGGTAATGTAGGGATGCATTATGTATAAGGTGAAATCTGGTTAAAGAACAGAAGGTCAAAGCTTCTCAGGTGAGCGATGTGGCCCATGGGCCTCTTGTTTCAATATACCCTGGTAATTTGGCACACCAGTAGACTACACCATGATACATAATGTTATTTATTGCTGCCTATTCCAAAGTTTAAAAGCCAATTGCTACTGTTCCTTTGTATTACGTATAGACCAGTAGAGCTACAGTCTGACTTCTGGTTGTTGTTTATCATAAAGTTTAGGTTCTGTTAGGCGCGTCTGGAATATCCAGGGGTCCGTGTTTTATTCCGTGTTCACAGATTTATAGTGTTTTATTCCGTGTTAACAGATTTATAGTGTTTTATTCCGTGTTCACAGATTTATAGTGTTTTATTCCGTGTTCACAGATTTATAGTGTTTTATTCCGTGTTAACAGATTTATAGTGTTTTATTCCGTGTTCACAGATTTATATTGTTTTATTCCGTGTTCACAGATTTATAGTGTTTTATTCCGTGTTCACAGATTTATAGTGTTTTATTCCGTGTTCACAGATTTATAGTGTTTTATTCCGTGTTCACAGATTTATAGTGTTTTATTCCGTGTTCACAGATTTATAGTGTTTTATTCCGTGTTCACAGATATTTTATTTCCTATTATATAAAATATATGGAGATTTATAGTGTTTTATTCCGTGTTCACAGATTTATAGTGTTTTATTCCGTGTTCACAGATTTATAGTGTTTTTAGGTAAAATGATGAGATCAGTCACTGTTGGTTATCTTGACCCAGTAGAAGACATGTTAGATGTAAAAGTGTATTTAAAAATAATCCTGGCTAATGTGCTATTAACATTAATAATTAATGAAATAAAAGGAAGAGGAGAGAAAGGGGGAAGTTTTTTATATCACAGAAACAAAGTTCTTCTTAAAAGTTTGTAATATTTGCAAATGTTACTCCTGTAGACCCGGCCCCGGGATCATGAAGCATCTTAAGCTTAAGTCAAAAAATGCCTTAGATGCTGAATTTTTTTAGAGTTCAAGCAGCCCAAAATAAAAAATCCTTCCGATTTTGTATCATCAGTCTGCTGTTGTATGCAAATTAGGAGTTTCCTTTAACAAGTTTTAAAGATTTTATAGATAATTGAAATTTTGACTTAAGTCTAAGTCTGTTTCATGATCCCGGGGCCCGGACTCTTACAGATACATAATACTGATGAAAATTGGGAAAAAAAATCTTGCAGGGACGTTAATAGTGACTTAGCAACAAAACTTAAAGATAATGTGACGACTAACTTTTCTATCGTCAAATTCCCTTATATATATAGCTGAATACCATTGTTACTTGCATATAGAGTCTATGTCTTCTATGCCACTTGATTCGATACGCAAGAAGATACTGGTTACTACCAATTTCAATTGTTTCTAAGTACTTTTAGCTCGATTGCGTTTAGGTAAAGCCGTTTGTGCAAAATCAATGAGCAATCTCTCTGGTCACCTTTATAAATCCCAATATTAGACAAAATAGAACACCGTGGTGTTCAAAGATTATATTTTATTTCCTATTAAATGAGGAACTAGTATATGGAGATATCGAACAGCATTCAAGCTCAAAAGTCCCCATAAACACTGTTAATCAGGAGCAGACCAAACATGGACCTCTAAAACAGTGAACATCCCCTGGCGACCGGTCACACCATCCGTATGCTGTTTGTCATGGCCAGGAAGTATCCACAAAATCCGTCGACAGTTCACAGTGTAAAAATAATGGCCTAACAATTGGAAGGAAAAATCAGTCAGCATTTGATTTAATCAAAGATTGTATTTGATGACAAGGGTATTGTATCGACCATAGAATTTAAACGAGACTGTTGATATTCTTGTTTTATCAACTTGTTTGTCAATAACATACTTCGTTTCAGAAATTATTTATACGTAGAGCATTATCTGTTTATATAGCTCCAGATCAGTTTAATCAAAATATACCAAGTGTCCACTTTCAATTCTAGAAAATCAGTTTTGTGAAAGAAAATCATTCGGCTCAAACAAATAAGGTCAGAGAGAGAATGTTTTTTTAAAAAATGTTTTTGATACATGCATTCCAAAAATCAGATTGAATGAGATTAGGCCGAAACATTGCGGTCTACATGGAATTCAAATTGATGAACAGAAAAAAACTTAATATATATACAATATATACGTTTTCAATATTAAATATGACGAAGTCCATGCCTCATATAAATTAAAAACCATAGTTAGAAATCATTGACAGTTCTTTCTTCAATAAAAATTGGTCATCTGCAAACTTAAAAAGAAAAGGAATTCAAAGGCAAAAAAGATGCCTTGTCTTGGGATACAAAGCACATCAAGTGCTTACAGCAGGACTTAAACCTGCCACTTTGGCTTATTAGCAGAACACCTATGACAAATGAGCAATATGCTTCATGCTGACAAACTAATCGAAATAAAGGATTTGTTGGCTTAATAATGACTGACAAATCAGCTTACTTTCAATAGTACTCTCAACAGCGTCATGCAAGGGTTTTTATATAGTTTCTCCCTCTCTCAGTAAAAATTACTATTAAAGCTTTGCAATTTGTCAGAAGTTGTTGATTTTCACTGTTAATATCCCACGCAAGTTGGGGGATAAAGAAACACAGCTTTGCAAAACGGACGTGACGTCATTTGAACCGGAATCTTTTTAAAAATATTCCCTGATCTTAAAAAGAATCCAGGCCATAACTAGAGAACCCTTTCATATTACGATTTCAAACTTGGAACATAGTAAAACACATGTAAGATGTACAGCACTAAAATTAAGACCTACAATCGTGCAACATAGAAAGAAGACTTTGATACAAAATGCACTGTTTCATCATCAGAGTTTTGTCTTTGACCCCTTCCTTCAAACTCAAAAGGATTAAAAGACGATTTGACCATACCTTTATGACATTTAGACTTGTAACTCTGAATATGCAGAAAATGAGGGATGCATGCTATCAAAAAATAAAGACCAAAGTCAATCTTTAAGATCAAAATAATTCAAACTTGTAACAAATATAGAAGATATTGTATCTAGATGCAACACACCGAAATTTTTATCTGGACCCCTTTCCTCCTTCAAGCTTCCCTTTAATAGAAAAAAAAATCTTGATAAGACCATAACTTAAGAATCCTTTGCTAAACAGACTTCAAACTTGGTACATGCAGGGGTGGAATGAAGGTTGGAGGGATGCAAACAAATTTTTTGACTTTGATCTAAATTATAAGGTCAATCTTTTTTATCAAAAAAGTGTAAACGCCATAGCTTGAGTACCCTTTGATATTGCGATTTCAAACTTGGAACAATTGTACAAACACATATAAAATGCCCTGCTACCAAAAGTAAGATTTTGGACCCTTTCTTCATCAAGGTCAAATGGCGAAAACTCGATTAATTCATAATTTAAGAATCCTTTGATATTAATGATGAAGGGTGAGTGCTTTTTTCACTTTGACTTATTAATGAAGTCAGGGTTAATTATAGTCCAGGTCATATCTCGAGAACGTTTTCACATTAGGATTTCAAACTTGCCGCAAGGAAAGACAACATTAAGATTATTGCAATGCATCAAAATTTGCACCTTGACCGCTTCTTCGTTCAAGGTCATATTAAGAAACACAAGACCACACCATACCATGGTCCTTTACGATCGGAACATCACTCGGCCTAGTCTCTACTTGACGGAAAAGGCCGAGTGATGTTCCGATTGGGTCCTTTTGACATGGCGACTTGGTTTTGAATACAGAACAAGGAATCGGAGCAGATACGCACTGCATAATTGTTCGTAATATGTTTATGAAAACAATTTCCAAAATTTAGTATGGTAATTCACAATTTTTTGCATTTAGCCGTGCATTCTTTGTTTTGGTTGAATGTATCAGAGTCCCAATATCTTCAGTTCAAAATAAAATTATGTAGAATCAAAAATTGGTCAAAATAAGTAAAAGAGGCCCATGGGCCACATCGCTCACCTGAGAAGCTTTGACCATTCTGTTCTTTACCAGATTTCACCCTTGTTATACATAATGCATCCCCACCCTACCCCACTGATCATAATTTAGACATTTTGAAATCTACACTACCACATGATCCTTCCATGGGCCCGTATGTTTCAGCTTTTTGACCCAGTGGTTTCCCAGAAGAAGATTTTCAAAGATTTTTCCTATATATTTCTATGTAAAACTTTGATTCCCTATAATGGCCCCGCCCTTCCCCCGGGGGTCACGATTCCTACAATTTAGAATTTACACTACCCCAGAATGCTTTCACATAAGCTTCACTTTTTCTGGCCAAGTGGTTCTTAAGAAGAAAATTTTCAAAGATTTTTCCTATATATTTCTATGTAAAAATTTGATACCCCATTGTGGCCCCGCCCTTTCCCTGGGGGTCATTAATTGAACAATTTAGAATCTACATAATACCAGGATGCTTCCACATAAGTTTCAGCTTTTCTGGCCCAGTGGTTCTTGAGAAGAAGATTTGAAAAGATTTTTCCTATATATTTCTTTATAAAACTTTGATTCCCCATTGTGGCCCCACCCATCCCCCGGGGGTCATTATTTGAACAATTTAGAATCTACATTATACCAGGATGCTTCCACATAAGTTTCAGCTTTTCTGGCCCAGTGGTTCTTGAGAAGAAGATTTTCAAAGATTTTTCCTATATATTTCTATGTAAAAATTTGATACCCCATTGTGGCCCCGCCCTTTCCCTGGGGGTCATTAATTGAACAATTTAGAATCTACATAATAAGGATGCTTCCACATAAGTTTCAGCTTTTCTGGCCCAGTGGTTCTTGAGAAGAAGATTTGAAAAGATTTTTCCTATATATTTCTTTATAAAACTTTGATTCCCCATTGTGGCCCCACCCATCACATGGGGTCATTATTTGAACAATTTAGAATCTACATTATACCAGGATGCTTTTACATAAGTTTCAGCTTTTTGGCCCAGTGGTTCTTGAGAAGAAGCTTTTCAAAGAATTTTCCTATATATTTCTATAAAAACTTTGATTCCCCATTGTGGCCCCGCCCTTCCCCCGGGGGTCATGATTTGAACAATTAAGAATTAACACTATACCAGGATGCTTCCATATAAGTATGAACTTTTCTGGCCCAGTTGTTCTTGAGAAGAAGCTTTTCAAAGAATTTTCCAATATATTTCTATGTAAAACTGTGATTCCCCATTGTGGCCCCGCCCTTCCCCCGGGGGTCATGATTTGAACAATTTAGAATTTACATTATACCAGGATGCTTCCACATAAGTTTCAGCTTTTCTGGCCCAGTGGTTCTTGAGAAGAAGATTTTCAAAGATTTCTTCCTATATATTTCTATGTAAAACTGTGATTCCCAATTGTGGCCCCGCCCTTTCCCTGGGGGTCATGATTTGAACAAACTTGAATCTACACTATACCAGGATGCTTCCACATAAGTTTCAGCTTTTCTGGCCCAGTGGTTCTTGAGAAGAAGATTTTCAAAGATTTTTCCTATATATTTCTATGTAAAACTTTTTCCCCATTGTGGCCCCGCCCTTCTTTGGGGTCATGATTTGAACAATTTAGCATCTACACTACCCCAGGATGCTTCATAAGTTTCAGCTTTACTGGCCCAGTGGTTCTTGAGAAGAAGATTTTTTAATGACCCCACCCTATTTTTGTCTAATTTCTGATTATCGAACACCTTGCGAGGGGATATGTCCCTTCATTTTAACAATTTAAATTTTTACCCAAGAATGCTTTGTACCAAGTTTGGTCAAAATTGGCGCAGTGGTTCTTGAGAAGAACGAAAATGTGAAAAGTTTACAGACGGACAGACAGACAGACGGACAGACGGACAGATATTTACTGTATGTAGAATCAAAATTTGGTCAAAATAAGTGATAGATATATTCATCACAACATTACCAAATAAAACAGCCGTTGTCTGCTAAATCAGAGATCTACAGACTGTAGTTTACTGTTGGTTTTGAAAAAAAACGAAGATCAGATCTAAAGTCAGAGTCTGTTTCATTTTTACAAATTCAATAGAAAACACGTAACTGACATTATGATTTGTAGTTTCAGGAGAGTACTTTCTGGGTTTGGTGGATGCTAAATATAACGCGGGCAGACCCCGCCCCGGGCAGGTACTGACACGGAACTACACACTACAGATCTGGCACACACAGTGTCTATACTGGCAGCAGGAGGAAACCCAGTGGTCACGTGACGGCTGCTGGACAACCTACCAATCCACGTATCACGTGACTCATTGCAGGTTGTCATTACTACTCTGTTTATTTTTTTTTTATAATATTAAGCACTCACTTTAATTTGTCGATGGCTGATTATATACATGTATGAATAAAATAATCAAACGATTATCAGATCAGTTCCAATACTATACTGGGAAAATTTTTGAGACACCCAAATACCAACAGGTTACTTTCAAAACTACTTATCAAAGCTTTCTAGTCGAACACGTCACAATAGTAGATCCATTTATCCTCTTTTGTAACAATGTTATATGTTACCATACGACCGACAATATGTCAGATGAAACCATACAATATATATATATATAACACATTTCAGATGTAACCATCTTTCCACTTTTGGCGCCTTCTTTGGAGAGACCGTACCTGTGTTAACACTAATTCCTGTAGAAACCTTCTTTGAGTGAGTATGTTTAGAAATCTGCATAAATCAGTCAAATGAATCTGTAAGTTCAAATGAATCTGTAAGTTTGTACAAAAACAAAATTTTGAAAGGTTTCGAATTCTAGTTTTCTATCGTCACTGAAATGCCAATCTTTATTTTTGTCATAACTTTCAAAGTAAAGGAAACTTTCACTTTTACTGCAGTTCTCTAAAAACATTTTGCTGTTCCAAATTCTAGATCTGTAGTACAGTTTCTTCTTAGCTTTATATAAATCTTTCCACATTTAGATCGTTCACTTCCTGATTCAGGTTACAATATATCTCTGTATTTCTATCTGAGTTTATGTCTCTGTGTTTATATATTATATATATCATAGAACCTAAGTAAAGGTTACGATATATCTCTTTGTTATATCTTTCTATATTGGAACCTAAGTATCACTATTTACTTGTTGACGTTGATAATGTACTCCTGATGTTGGTCTTTCAGAAAATGAACTTGTGTTTTGTCAATAACGTAAACATCCGTCTTTATTTCACATCTTTAGAGCCAACAAGAACGCCGTGTGTATCACTGTCCTGGTGATGTCGTTGGCTGTATACACTATTCTGATGGTACTCTGTCATAAGATGGACCAGCACGACGCCCGGAAGGGAGGGATTCTCTACCTCAGAGACAACGCGCTCAGTGACCAACAGAAATATGAAATCATCGTAGAGACGGGCTTCCGTAGGGGAGCGGGAACCACTGCAAAAGTAAGTACAATTGTATTTACTGAGAAATCATTTAGGGTTTTTCATTTTTTTTTTTTTTTTTTTTTTGGAAAAAGTTGTTTTCACATTATGGAGAGATCCATGGATTTATGACATCCGTGAATTTTAAATTTTAGAATAACGTGACTAAAAATTTATTTAACAAATGACAGCTGCATATCTTGATTTGACTGATGTGGGTTTTTTTTTATAGATAAGCATTATTCTTCATGGTGAAGAAGGGATGTCAGGAACAAGGGAGTTAATCAGTGACGATGATAGACCAATGTTCGAGAGGAACTCCAGAGACAAATTTATCTTAACGTTAGTACATACACAAACACTCACACAAATGAATAAACGCACAATAACTTACTGGTTATTGGTCTTATCCTTTAGCACCGTCAGGGTAGCCCAGTGGGTAGAATGATTGCCCCGTGATCAGAATGACTTGTGTTCAAATCACGGCTGCAACTATCCTAAGTCGACAAATGAAAAGGAAACAACTGTTCTTTCGCTAAGCACTCGTTTTTTTTCAAGTGAAAGTTGCTGGTCATTCGGAAAAGGACATACGAGATGGGGCCCCGTGTTCTGGTAGGCGTTGACACGATACCTTGACAGTGCTAAACAGCCCGGGTGCCGAGTAGATTTCTAATTTTGCAGCTCTTTATGAGTGAAATATTCTCGGATGGAGACTTTTAACAACATAAGATCAATTAATTTCTATTCGCCTACACTCGCTGACATTGGTTCTTGATGTAAAATTTGACAGAGTATATTATGTAATTGTTCCCCTTTTTATTCAAATATGCACCCAGACAATCTTCATAAAATTTCATATTCAGGACATTCATTTCCATGAGTTTTATAAAACAAAAACTAAAAAAACTATGATTATCATTATTTAACGTACAATTCAATATCCCTTATTATTATATTATAATAAATAATTGTTTTTTTTTTTCTAAATTCCAGACAGTATTGGTAAGATCTGGAAGGTTAATAAGATTATTACTTAAAGAATATATTAGCGAGTCAACTCTTTCAGACTCTTCAGGCCTTTGAATGTTATTTCAGACTACCAGACAGTTTTGTTAAGATCTGGAAGTTTAATAAGATTATCATATTATTGTATATTAGCGAGTCGACTCTCTCAGGCTCTTCAGGCCTTTGATTATTATTTCAGACTACCAGACAGTATTGGTAAAATCTGGAAGGTTAATAAGATTATCATAATATACTATATTAAAGAGTCGACTCTCAGCCTCTTCAGGCCTTTGATTGTTATTTCAGACTACCAGACAGTATTGGTAAAATCTGGAAGGTTCAGATCTGGCACAACAACTCTGGTTCCTCCCCCAGCTGGTACCTCAGTAGAGTCATAGTAAAGGACCTTAACAATGGTAGGTTATTATATTAGGACCTTAACAATGGTTATTACGAGCTAGTGCCTCAGTCATAGTAAAATACATTAACAATGGTAGGTTATTACAAGATGGTACCTCAGACATAATAAAATACATTAACAATGGTAGGTTATTACAAGCTGGTACCTCAGTCATAGTATAGGACATTAACAATGGTAGGTTATAACATTAGCACCTTAACAATTGTAGGTTATCACAAGCTGGTACCTCAGTCATAGTAAAAGACATTAACAATGGTAGGTTATTACCAGCTGGTATCTCAGTCATAATAAAAGACATTACAATGGTAGGTTATTACAAGATGGTACCTCAGTCATAGTAAAATACATTAACAATGGTAGGTTATTACATTAGGACATTAACAATGGTAGGTTATAACTTAAGTCGACAAGGGAAGTTTAGTAATCTCCTTCTCAAGGATTTTAAATAACACCTCTAAGCAGGATCTTTGTCAAGGATTTCAAAATTGCTCGACGCCCGCGGGGCACAGTGGTTCGAGCGTCTGCTCTAAAGTGGCGATATAAGGAGCCAATCCTTACGTCGAAGGTTCGAATCCCACTGTGGGACGTGGAGACCGGTTCTTCGGATGAGACCGTATAAACCGAGGTCCCTTGTCGCAGTAGGTGCTGGCACGAAAAAGATCCCTCCCTGCTCAATGGACCTAAGTGCCGTGTACATATAGGACAAAATTTGCAGCCTTCCACCGGCAAGTTGTGGCGTCTCCATATAAGTTAAAAAATTTTGAGAAGGACGTTAAACAATATATAATTAAAATTGCTCTGTTATTAGACAGCTATTAATAAGAAACCTTATGGTATGATTGTCACAGTATACAGGCAACATGCATTAAATTGCAAGGTATTACATGCATATGTAACCCTCAATAATGATCAGCAATAGGTTGGTTAAATTTGATCTTTGTCTTGTCTTAGAGCGGATATTCTACTTTATATCTGAGAAATGGCTGGCTGTTGAAGAGGAGGATGGAAAAGTGGAGAGAGAATTCTTGGCCTTAGAGGGAAACCTCGGATTCAAAACGGTCAGTTATAAATCAAGAGCAATAAAAACCGTGTCAAGTCGTACATTTTCAACCAGAAGATATGCAAATTTAAATATGTACATCCTTTTAACAAAATCAATTGTCACTTACCCGGTATTTTGATATTTATCATTCTGTCTTCATTGATTACAAACATTCAGGTGTTCATGACCAAGGGTACTCAGTACCTGGCTGACTACCACCTGTGGATGTCACCCTTTACCTGTCCCTCCTACAGTCAGTTCACGCGCACTCAGAGGCTGACCTGCTGTCTCACTCTCTTCACTGTCTACATGTGTCTGAATACCCTGGTCTACCACTACACCCACAAAGAGGTCAGTCACAGTCTACTCACAAAACTGAGTCAATGATATACCCCCAACACCCACTAAGAGGATACTTGACGTTCTTCGTAATGTATTTTGATTTGAAAATAAATCAATGCAGTAGATGTTTCATTATCTTTGAGTTAAAAACTCATCAGAACATTTTTGACATTGAGCAGTGAATCCAAAAGTAAAAGAACAATTTATGAAATTTTTTCAACATTTTGGTTTGCCTAAAAAATTAAAAATAACTTGTAGTGTTGGTACTTTTTTTGTAGCATATACTTGGCAGCAATTTATAACAAATATAATGTACTGGACCTGTCCTGGAGCAGTATAGCTATCGGAGCAGTCTGTTGTGTTGTAGCCATTCCTCTCAATTTTCTGTTATCCTTCCTCTTCAGGAGAAGCAAGGTATAAACTACAAAGTTTAGAAGTTTTAAAATTTTATGAAAAGTAATTAGCTACTAATTTGAAAAATGTCTAATCCAACAATATATTATCCCTTTCATTGTAAAAATTATTAATTTAAAAAAAATTTCTTTCCCATACTTCTAATTTTCATGTAATTGAACACTGTTTAAACTGACACAGTATCTTTCTTGACACGAAATTCGCCTCCCAGTGCATGTCGGATTAGTCAGGTTTCACTGTATTTGTTTTCCTTCTTTTTTTCCAGTTAGTTCCTACAGACAACAATAAGACTTCTTCAGCAGACGATAAAGATGAGGACGCGTATCCCAGCGGGAAACCGATGTTATTTATTATGATCTCCCAGGAATAGGAGAAAAAATCATGGGACAGGTCAGATTTTCGCACTCTAAACTGAAGTTAATTGTACAGCCGATCATGACGTGGCACTTTATTGACATTACTGGACCAATCAATTCTTAACTGGCCAGCCATTCAGGTACATCAGTATAAAAGGATGACTGAGGTAAAACCCAATTGTGATGTACTGATTATTGGATCCATCCGTGCTTAACTTGACGGCCACGTGCCCCATTTAAATATTGACGTTCAACTGGTCAACATTGTCAATTTATGCGTGAAATATGAAGATAACGAAAAGTATCTCAGCTCAAAAGACCAGTGCACAAATCGGGAATAGCGTAAACACGGACCTTTAAACATCAGAGGTGGGATCAGGTGTCATATAGCACAAACACGGACCTTTAAACATCAGAGGTGGGATCAGGTGTCATATAGCACAAACACGGACCTTTAAACATCAGAGGTGGGATCAGTACTGTGTCATATAGCACATTTAAAACACTGGTCAACCTTTAAACATCAGAGGTAACGAAAAGTGTCTAAGCCCAAAAGCCCACTGCACAAATCGGGAATAGCGCAAACACGGACCTTTAAACATCAGAGGTGGGATCAGATGTCATGAAGGAGTACTCAGTTCCTGTTGACTGGTCACATCCATCGTGTGCTACTTGAGTTTCATTCAGATCTTTTTGTGACAATTTGATTTCACTTATGGTCAATTCTCACTGTTAAATTAAATAAATGTTCACCAAAATATAAAATAATTCAAGTTTGAATAAAACTTAGCATATAATTATCCTTTTCATAAGTATTTTAAAATTACAAATCTAATCTAATTCGTCAACCATTTGTTTATTTTAATTGTTCCTCAAAGGGTTGGGCACAGAAACAGTGGATTAAACGGCAGCATACAACAATAAAGGAATGTCCCTCTTCAACAACAGATACCTTACTAAACAGATGTAAGTCAGAAAAACAAACAATGATGTCAATAAATCTTACCTAAATAACAGCTTAAGGTCGGTCATTAAAATCAACCTTACAAAACAGATGTAGGAAAACTTTACCAATGAAAATTAAATGTGATTGTAATCGCAAGAACAATTTGATCGAAAATATCAAAAAAATTATAAGGTGGTCAGAGTCATAACTTTTCAATGGATTACAACTTTTATAATTAGTGATAGGTTCGGATACCGACATGGCGTCCAGTGGATTTGAGGACTCGAACAGCACAGATCCACGTCCTCACGTGACCAGTAGCTCACCTGTCAGTAACTCACCCTCCAACAGCATAAAGAACAAGACATCCTCAGAAAGCAGTCAAACTCCCAGTAAATGTCCGGGTAAGTCTATATTGATAAGGCATCCTCGAAGAGCAGTCAAACCCCAGTAAATGTCCGGGTAAGTCTAATTAGGTGCCAGCCTACATTTACTGTTTAGTACTAACAAACCTTTGAAACACTTCCATAAAAATAATTTTGGGAGGTAGTTTTCTATCCTGTTCCAGCTAGAAGGGACCACTCAAATATAAGAAAAATATTACATCTCCTTTACTTTTTTCTATTTGTGTTTTATTTTTAATGCTTAAACTTTAATTTTCAGCAGCTTCTAAGAAGAACCCTAGCTCGCGCCTGCTCCTACCCACATGGATGACGTACGTGGCCTGGTGTCTGTGTGTCGTCATTATCGTCTGCTCGGCGGTGGTCACAGTGTGGCTTGGTTTCAGGTTTGACGAGGTCCGCAGTGTCCTGTGGTTGCAGTCCCTCTACATCAGTCTACTGGCCTGTGTCTTCCTGGTCCACCCTATCATTGTGAGTCGCCGTCATACTCTGGAAACATTGTTATTTTGATGAATTTCTTTTCAGTGATTAACTACCTGATTTTGAAATTGTGTTAAATTCTGGGAGTTTTGCTGCCAAAAATGATGTTGACAGTTCAAGGAATAACTGTTATATATGGACAATTCTGATAGACGTTAATTTATGAATCAGTTAAATACGTGAAAAAAATGATTTATGAAATTTCAGATTGTCTTTCGAAGACCGTTAAACCTGGCCCTTATTCCAACGTCCTCGTTTTGTCAAAACAAAAGTAAATGATGTTATTTTAAACTAACTTATCGTTTCTGTCAGATTGTGTTGGCAGTCCTGTACACCCTCCTGAGGTATCGCTGTGACCCTACTACACTGGACCATTATGAAGAGTCGTATTTCGGGGAAACTGCAGAGAGGGAGATACAGCGCAGGAAGAAGGAACAGTTGTGTGAGAATGGGAGCGAGGCTGAGGAGCTGGAAAAGGTTCTGATTGGCTATTTCCTTAACTCTTGTCAAATAAACTAAACTTCAAAGAACTCAGTGTTCCTTTGGTATAAACATTATGAAATAAATATAACATGGAAACATGCGCGCATAAAATCTGCGCAGTCATTTTTTTTTTTTTTGGAATCACCATGTCCACTGTCCGTTGTCAAGCAAGATTTTGTTGACTGTTTCAGAAAGTGTTGGATGGATTTGTCTGAAAATTTATACACTTATTATTCACCATATGAAGGTGTGCACCTGGGATTTTTCAGATTGGATGATTTTTTATTTTAGTTTTTTCTTTTTTATTTTGTGATTTTTTTTCATTAGAAAACTATGTTCAAACTTTGACAATTTATGCATCTTGGGTAGACGGTGTGTCACGACCTTTTTAAGGTCACTGTGACCTTTAATTTAAGTGATTTTTTTAAAAAAACTAAGTCTTTAAAATTTTAAATTTCATAATCCTTAAAAATGTAAAAAATATATTTGTATCCTAGGCTTATTAAAAAATGCTAAATTAAGTAAAAACTTATTTTTTATCATATACTTTACAGCAAATTCTATAACAAATGTTAATGATTTTTCAGTTTGTCTCTTCAAGCACTGGTCAAGGAAAAAAAAATGTGCATGTCAAATTAGAGAGAAATTAATGAGTTCATTGTCGGGAGTTAACTTAGAGCATCTCTGATTATCTTAATTTACCTCTTGGGAGTTGGGTAAAAAGAAATGGCCTTATAGTTGCTTGTGTTAATTAAGAGTTCTTGTGGCTGTAGTTCAGATAAAGATCTTTAATTGGTGTAATGTAATTAAAACAAATTGATGTTTTATGTATGATTAAAACTGTTAGTATTGTATGATATAATTAAAATTAATTATATATATGTGTTCATTGAAAAAAAATTACATTTCAATTTTCATATATTTGCAACAAATTGCAGTCATGTCTCACTTGAATTTTATAGTCTAAAGAATACCGGTAATTAATTTTTGAATTTTTTTTAAACTGTAGCAAATTTCATAATATTGCAATAAACAATTGAAAGCTGCAGATGGATATTTGTTAAGCTCTAACACAGCCATTTTAGAATTATATGATGTATTATTTATTTTAATTAATCCCTACACTGTAAGTCTCTTAGAGGTGTATTTACAATATTTTAAGCATGATAAGAAATGGAAATTAGATCATTGAAATCTGTGTTTTTAAGGTTATAACACCCTAACCAATTTATGATTATCAACAATATCTGAAATTTAAACTTTATTAGACAATAGTGAATACCACTTACTAAATCCATAAAATATTTCTGAATTGGCACCTACTCTGAAAAACCCAGCGGGGGTATTTGAACAGTTCTAGTGAATAACTTTAAATACCGTTTCTTTGCTGGACGGCTTCATTTCGTCATTCAGAGGGTTATAGTGGTTTTTTTTTTACAAATGTTTTTCGACGAATCAGATTCAACTTATTTAGTACGTCTATTTCATTTTCCAGTTCTTAGGAGGAAAGATTCTAAGAATTATCCATTTTTCTAAACTTGTGGCATGATATTTAGTCCCTTCCAAAGAAAAAAAAATTGTATCATCTGTCCTTAAATCGTTGATTATAAATCGTAGAACTTGATATCGGTTAAATTTATCAATCTACTGTGTACTTATAATATCGTGTGAATGTTGTATGTAAGAAAACAAATAACATTGACAAAACTTACTCTCAGTATGAGTTAAAAGAAATTAAATGCATCGAAAAAAATATTGGATGAAATATTGCTGGACTGCTCTTCTGATTAAACACTGTTTTTAAATAACATCTTTTCTTCTTCGAAATTTAAAGTTTAGCATACTGCTCAATTAATTTTATTAGCTCACCTGAACTGAAAGTTCAAGTGAGCTTTAAATTTCTGATCATCCGTTGTCTGTCGTCCATCTGTCTGTCTGTATTTGGTAAAGAAGAAGGTATGATTTTAGCTTTATTGCGCCCTAAAAATGTAATGACATCAAAAAGTTTTGAAACTTGCTTAAATATTAGTTAAATAAATGACACTGATAAATCAGGAAAGAATGTGGCATTAAGGTTTACCATTCTGCCAATATGACGTCATTAATGTGAAGCATTTCTCTATTTTCAACAGAAAAAGCCTCAAATTGGCACATTTCAAGGGTGATTTTCCTTTAGAAAACAGTGTCCACAGCCGTCGCCCACTTTAAGTTTTTGATATTTTGTGCAAAATTTAATAACAAATCACATATCTCAAGATCTTTGTAGACAATGTTATCTGAAAGAAAATCCCATTAAAATTGGTGTCTTCTGCAACTTTTTAAGAAAATACGGGAAAATGCACACGTTTATGACATCATAATTAGCATTTAAAACCACATGTGAGAAAAATGACTTGTGTAATTTTTCTGCATTGAATTTCAATTATTTAAAAAGCAAGTTTTCAACTTTTACACCCATTTTTTAGAAAATAGGGCAAAATTTGTATGGAAACCATACCTTTTTCTTTTCTCATTTCATCTTCTTCTCAAGAAATGATTGGCCAATTTTAACCAAACTTTAAATTGTACATAGCATTCTTGGATGAAGATATATTCAAAATGTTAAAATGAAAGGCCCAGCATTTAATGAGGAGAAAATCAACAAAAGACAAGAATTGGTCATAAAAAAATCTTCCTCTCAAGAACCACCGAGCCTGAAAAACTAAAACGAAAGGAAAAAATCCTCAGATAGTGTAGATTCTAAATTCTTTAAATCCAGGCCATCCGGGGGTTAAGGGTGTAGCCACAATAAGGAGTCCAAGTTTTAGATTAAAATATAGAGGATAAATCTTTAAAAATTCTTCTTCTCAAGAACAACTGGGCCAGAAATATTGTGTGAAAGATCCTAGGTATATATTTAGACGTATGAACTATAAGGTCTGGTTTTGATTTAGGCTGTTTTATTAGATTTAGGCTGTCTTTCTATGATTTAGGCTGTGGCCGCCCGCCAGAGATCTAGGTATTTACGATTTGCCAGACCTCCACAAGAAAAACAGCTGATAGAAGCCCGAAAAAACGTCATGAAAGAGAAGAAGGCCATTTCCATTCTCCTGTACGTAATGACGTCTGTACGTAATGACGTAGGATGTACCTCTCAGTTGAGGTCGAATTCAGATTCACACACTGATTCTTTTATTAACATTTTTATTCTTATATCTCATTGTGAAGATTCAGTGTTGTACGGCCAGTGCCACTAACTCTCATGTAGGTTTGCAAAATTTTATCATGAAATATTTTTTTAACAATTTAAAAAAAAAGGGAACAAAGAATTTAAATGAAAGTTATATTTTATAATGAATGATGGATTCACAGTGAAGAAAAGTCCAAATTTCGTTACCGATTTATTTTGAAATCCTTTGTGTTTGTCTCAACAACATGTTAGGCCTTTTGTCTTAATGTGACTGATGATGTTGCTGTCTTTGTAGAGATGTTGTCTCGCTGCTAGTAACGTTTCTTATCGTGTCTGTGATGGCGTACGGTAAAGATGTACAACCAGAGTATCATCTGAACAAAGCTGTGTATAACCACTTTATAAGGTATGATAAATCTTACTTATGATATCGATACACCAGAATTCTTACCAATTATAAAGTACGACACATCATAACTAACTTTAACTAATAAAGTACACACACCATAACTTACTCTAACCAATCATAAGGCTTGATACATGATAACTAACTCGTATCCAATCATAAAGTACGATACACCAGAATTAAGTCTAACCAATCATAAAGTACGATACACCATAACAAACTCTAATCAATCATAAGGCATATTTATATAAGATACACCAAATTTATTTCCTTACAACAGAAGTACAAACACTTCATAATGTATGCTAATTAGAAACACCATTAATATACTAATAAGAAAAATCAAACCCAGATAATCCAAGAAAATAATATAAACTACTGAGTGCTCCAACAATTCAAAATGTATAACAAAATGTCATTAAGGTCAAGATCTAGTAAATAACTTTAGACTAATTTTTTGGTGCTATATCTATTATGACGTCATAATCAATTTCAACTTTCTTTTTCCCGTACTTTACGGCTTTAGCAGAATTATGTAGAAAATAGGGTATTTTCATGACATTCAATTTGAAATCATATGAAAAGTAAACCGGATACCTATATTAAATTTGATATTGATTTAAAGAAGAGGCCATGAACATACTAATTACCGTTTTCTGAGAGACTGCAGGCAATCTGGATACATTTCCTTTTTCGAATATGAAAAAAACTCCCATATTCATGTCTGGTTTTCTTAATTTTTCATTGAAAATGACAGTTTAAAATACAGCTTTTCATCTTGTTTACCTAAAAATTATACCCCAAAACACCTTATTTCAAAATGTGATAAAATGTCACCTTTCATTAACAGAAAGCTGTGTGCGAGATATGTAGATATTTTGTAGGGTATGTCAATGTTCTATGCACGTTAAATTTGTCTGTTTATTGGTTAACCTCCCTTTTAAGAATTTTTTACTCATGAAGAGCCACCACTTGGCGGTTGAAAGCTGCAAGTTTTGTCCTATACTCGGCACGTAGGACCATTGAACAGTCAGGGAGCTTTTTCGTGCCAGCACCTACTGGTGCATGGGACTTCAGTTAATAAAGTCTTTTCATCAAGACTGGTTTCCATGTCATGCAGTGGATTCGAACCCGCGACGTAAAGATCAGGCCTGGGGGCCATAAATCTAAGACGAGCTTCCTTTTGATTTCAATCTCAATCTTACACTATTAATTTCTTTGGAAAAAGTGAGACTAAGATGAGAAGTGAGCTTGTCTTAGTTTTATGGCCCCCAGGACAGCTCCTTGCTGCGACTCTAGAGCAAACGCTCTCACCACTATGCCATGCAGGCGAAAGCTATGCACGTAAATGTATGACAACTAGAACAAGCGGCATCTTTCTCCAAGACATTAATGGTTTAAACGCTCTTTTAACACATGCATGTACATTCATCTTATCAAAGGACAGTTTAATAAACTGAGCCAATTTTGATATTTATTGTTCGGCGGCAGGACATAATTTTTTAGATAGTATATTTTGATCGGTACGCTTTCCGATTTCAGAGAAGGCAGTCCGAACTTTGCTTCCATAAAGAGTAGAGAAGAGTGGTATGAATGGGCGTCAACATCTCTGATAGACAAAATATACGTCAGTAATTCAGGCAGGAAGCAGGTCTGTTTTGTTTGTGTTACAAGCGTCATAAATAGCAAATATATTTTTATCAAAAATCAGAACCATTAAATGAAAAAGAAAATTACTAAGCTCTCAATGACAGCTGCTTCAGATAAAGTACAGAGAGCAGAAAAGGGCTAAAATAAAGAAGATAAATCAGAATAACAAGGGAAATTATGGGGTTTAAAAATCTTTGGTTTTAAAAAACGTTTGAAGAATGCGAAAAAACGGTTGTTCTGCATTAACCTTTGTGAAAGAGTTGTTTTTTGAAGAAAGTAGATATAATTTACGTAAAGGTGTTGGAAAATGTAAAACACTTAAAAAGGTGTTTCGTTATTTCCTTTCAAATTGACTTTATTTCTTGCAGAAACCGATTTTAAAAGGAACTAGTTATATAATCGGAGACGTGCAATTAAGAAAAGTTAAGGAAGAAGAGAGAGGGTGTGCTGACATGAGTTCACTCCCTTATATGTCTCTAAAGTGTAGAAAGTTATCCTCATCACGTGAACAAGATGGAGATAACGACACCTATAGCGGGAAAACTTCACCTTACCTGTTGTTTGGGCGCCATGGTATCTATGACAACTCAGGATACGTTCTTAAGTTAGATCACTCAAGGTACTTAGCAGACATTATCAAACCTTAAACTTGGAATATATATCTTTTGGGGACATTCATTCAGAAGTTCCTCATCTTAATTTTTGCAATATTTTGTTTGTTTCAATGTTGTTTAACGCCCCTCTCGCGAATTTTTCACTCATAAGGAAGACGCCACAACTTGCCGACGGAGAGCAACAAATTTTATCCTATGGTCGGCACTCAGGGCCATTGAGCAGTAAGGGGTCTTTTTCGTTCTAGCACCTACTGCAAAAGGGGACTTCGGTTTATACAGCTTGGTCTATACAGTCTCATCTGAAGGACTGGTCTCCATGTCCCGTTGTTGATTCGAACCTAAAATGTAATGAACAACTCTGTACTTTGTGACTCTATAGAGCAGATGTTCTATATTATCCACTGCGACCCCCTGTGACTTTTGCAATATTAAAACTAACTTAATTTTGTGTACTTTCTGATGATTTTTCTGCATTCATTCAATCAATCATCATTTTTTTCACCGGAAAATAAATAAAGAAAGTAAATGATAACGTCCTGTTGTCCTTATATCATTCTCTTTCAGACATCAAGCTTGGAATCAAATACGAAATTTAACCTCTACAAACTGGATAGACGTGTATACTAAAGCAGTTTTCATCGAATTCACTCTGTTCCACCCTCCTTCTGGTCTGTTTACTTCCGTTATCATGTTTCTAGAAATACCGGATACGGGTCGAGTGTTTCCTAGCAACAGTATCAGCTCTACCTATCTTTATAGATACACATCAAGGGCAGACCACTTCGTCTTGTTTTGTGAGGTAACCGTCAATGTGAGGAGATGTCAGAGTCTGTTAATGATAATAGGATTTAAAAATCAAGGCATCACACAATTATGGACATAGAACATGGATCCTTGGTAATTTTAGAGGTGGGATCCAAGCGTAGGAGGAGAAATATATCCTCTTAGACGCTTGAAAATGATACGGCTATCTAAATTACGAGTTCATTAGTATACATGGTACTATCCTTAGGTTAATCATGAAGGACATAAAGTTTCATGTAGTGTGCATGGAAAAACATGAAACGAAAATGTAGCATAATGAAGATCGTTGTAGATCATATCCTAGAATACACAACAAATTTAAAATAGAAAAAAATAGGTGATTTTTAAAGATAAAAATAATACGTTATGATTCTTTTTATGCTTCATGACAGGTGCTTTTACAAATTAAAACTCTATGGATTCTCAATTTTCTAATTATTAACATTATTCCACAAATATTCATATGATGGCTGCATTCTGTTTGAAGACAAATAATTTAAGTGCAGATATGGATACCTTATAATATCACAATATAAGTACTGTCCTCGAGTTAACCACAACCTATGATTTCAGGTGATATTCATCTTGTTAACCGTGTGGCGATTGAAGATGGTGGTTTGCCAGGCCATTAAGCTCCGTTCGAGTTTCCTTCAATGTGGCTGGGAAATCCTTCAGGTAGGCTATACAGGCATCTTTGCCACATATGATCCTCATAGAAGCCTCAAATGAAAGGCAATGCATATGTGGATCATATGTGGTGAAACTGCCTATTTAAAAAAAATGTTATCATTAAGATTTGTCAAGTGTCAAAATGATTAATAATGTATAATGTGTAATACATGTCAGAAGAAAAAAAAATCAAAAAGGGATTTAAAAGTTATCAACCTGTTTTTGTCTTTTACCTTTTACCCAGGGAATCTTTTGTGTGGTGTCGGTGGTTTACATAGGATGTAGAGTCTACAGATTTTATTTATTTTTTCAGGGTATCCTTTGTGTGGTGTCGGTGACCTACATAGGATGTAGTGTGTACAGATACTTTCTTGTGTCAGACGTCCTGGAGCTACAACAGAGTACCTACAATGAAGAGTTCGTTGACGTTTCCTTCATTACGTTCTGGGACGAGGTCTGTCATTTCTCACGTTTTAAATTGGTATCAAATTAAAAAAAATAAAATTCAAGAGCTACTTTCTTTTAAAAAGGTACATATTTTTATTGTTAGAACTTTCAACTTTTATATCTTAATTCATTTATATTTTATAATATGCATGGAAAGTCGTTTTAGTTTTCGAGGTAATCAAGTTATATGCATATATTTCTATTCTATACACTGCAATCTCTAGTTCCAGTTATTTTATAATCCATCCATTTGATATTTCATTTCCAGATGCTGCGTTGTATGGTGGGCTTTATCATGTTTATCGTCATCTTACAATCACTTCGGCTTCTACGCTACGAGAGGATGTTTCTTCTGTTCGGCAGAATCTACAGTCGAGCTCACAAAGAACTGAAGCTTCTAGCGGTAATGACAGGAGACAAACCGAATAATATTTTATTGGTTGTACTATAAGATTAAATATGGAAACGAATATGCATATAAGTATGTATTCATCTCCCCACTGCAGCCCGAAGCTTAAGCAGGATTTTCGGTTTCAAAAGTGTCCGTTTGTCTGTCTCTTTTTGTCGTCCCTTAGCATTTCACTACTTTCTGAAAATAAAGTTTTAAAAAAAAATTGTTGATGTCCTATCTGTAAACAGTTTAAGTCCCTCAACAACTTTTTTTCAGAAAAAACTGAAAATTAAGTTTTAAACAGTTACCAATTTGTAAACTTTCATTTGGAGATTCTACTAAAGTTTACATTTATTACATAACATGTAAATTTTTATTTTCTTGAAGGTTCTGATGATAATCCTATTACTGGCCTTTGCTTCCCTCGGACACGCCTTATTTCGGGCCTTCTTCCACGGTTTTGTGGATTTTTGGAGCAGCATTTTGACTGTTTCCGCCATTTTTTCTGGGCGATATGTCGACTTGACGTCAGAACCCTCGCTCATTCACGCTACCCGGATTTTCATCTTATTCAGCACAGTGTTAAGCCTTGGTCTGGGAACAGCATATGTGAGTGTCTACCTTTTTCATTACAGACCTGTTATTTCTGTTCACCTTTTCATAACAGTTTATTCACTATTTGAGTTAGATGAAGATTAAATGATTTTTATTTCAATAATACATTTCAGTAGAATTTATCGATACACATCTTTACTTATAATACTTTTATATTTCATGTCTCTTTCAGGTTGTTGTTTTTCTTACGTACCGCTTTCATGTAAACAAGAGACGTCAACATAAAATGTCGGCTCTTTGTTGCCCTGAAACATTCGCATATTATTGGCGCATGCTCCGTCAGATGTCAGGAAGGTCGACCTCTGATGTAAACAGTGAACCGGAAATAGAACCGGATAATACACTTCCACCTGTAAGATAGTTCTATCTTTTAATTTAAATAAAATATCTCGTATCATTTAGTAAATTTTCATAGTTTTAAATTTGTTATATAGATTTTTTTAGATGATCACTGTTCGTTAACCTTACCCTTTCCCTTGACATTGGTCTTTCGATGTTATGTCTCAAGTCATTGCTATATCTAATGAGTCTATACCATAGTTGTATCGATGGCCAGTTTTCAGCTTTTATTATTATTAATAATAATTATTAAAATATGGGGAAAAAGTTTGTATATACACTTTGGATTTAAAGTTTCTGAAAATTCATCGTTAGAAAACTGTAGTTAAGTGTCTGTAGTTAATTAGTTAATCTTAATTAAAAAATCATCCACTGTTACGACCCGTCAGAAGAGGTTCTAATTTGCTGAAATATTGATAAAAAATCAAATTCTTCTTGTAGGCAAAAGGTTTTAAACTAGGTTCATTAGAGTCGAGACATTTTATATAAATACATCCCAGGTAAAAGCTCCATCTTTCTGTACAGGAATTCACGATGGCTGAGGTGGAGTACCAAGTAGAGGAACTGTTCTTCAGAATATCCGGTTTATCTGGATCACACGGTCTACCAGAGAAACCTAACAACTATTTCACAGACTCGGACGGAACTTACACTGCAGGGGATGATGGGATATCTAGTGGTGGATCTGAGGTTTTCAGTTTATTTCAAAATGTTATTTTTAAAATCTTTCGACTGTGATGTGTGTTTATTTTTTAACGTCCCTCTCTAGAAATTTTAACTCATATGGAGACGCTCTCACTTGACATCGGAGAGCTTCAAAGACATATACTTAGCACTCATGGCCATAGAACAGTGATGGGTCTTTTTCGTGCCAGCATAAACTGGGACCCCGGTTAATACGGTCTCATCCGAAGAACCGGTCTCCACGCCCCACACTGGGATTCGAACCCCTAGTACAAGAGAAGATCTACTTCTGCAAGTTTCGTCCTATACTCTGCGCTCAAAGCTATTGAGCAGGGAGAGGATCTGATCTTTTTCGTGCCAACACCTATTGCAACACGCGGGACCTCCGTCTCATCCGAATGTCCGGTCTCCGTGTCCTATAGTAGGATTCGAACCTACTCTTACTTTCCGATTCTAGACCATTAAGCCACTCTTAACATTGTACGGAAATGTTAATATTTTCAATATTGCATCAAAAATGTGTTGATATCTAGAAATTTAGCAAATAATATAATATTTAATGAATAATTTACAGACGAATGAAAAGTTTACTTAAATCTAAGTATGTTGCTTGAACCTCGTGCTTTTTGAATTGTGACACCATCATACACCATAACTCATTGTGACAAAAAAATGAATTACAGATTGTGTTTTGTGATAGGTACCAGATGAGGAGAGATTAGAACATCGCGTCCATCAGATTGAGGACAACCTTTGCTCAGCAGAACCGTACCTGGCCCAGCTTCTGAAGATAGATAACATCGGCGTACACGACCTGTCTAGGGATCAAGAAAATCAAATCAGGTAGTTTATGTCGACTGAGTAAACTGTGAATGGGATAACCTTCCTTGGAAATAAGATGGGATGATGTATTGTGTTTCCTATTTAAGACCTAAAAAAAACCTAGACTAAATACCCATATCTGTGCAATTTTAAAATGTATACAGTTTAAAATATATATTTAAGACATACGACAACCAAAAAGATACTGCTAAAGCTAAGACTCACAATGGGGATGTAGGTAAGGATGTCATGATAACATGCAGCGATGTCCATAAAAATTAAAGTTAAAAAAATATATATTTGGTCGCATTTGGAGCTAGTCCGTCCGTCTGTCCGTCTGTCCGTCTGTCTGTTAGCTTTTTCGTTTCCGGCTCATAAAATATAGGATTACCAAACTTTGTCATATGACAAGGTGTGTCGCACACAAAAAGTAGGTCACTCTGACCTTTAATTAAGAAGTTATAGCCAAATATGGAAAAACCCAACTAGAAAACCATAAGAAAATCATCAAACTTGGCCAGTTTATGCAGAAAGGTCACTGTGACCTTTAATTTAAGTGAATATAAAAAAAAAAAAAGTGTCTTTTTACTATTCATTTACACATCCCAAATAATGTAAGAGTATTGCACTGTTCTTATTAAAAAAGTGTTAAATCAAGAAAATACTTATTTTTTTTAAGCATATACTTGACAGCAATCTAAAACAAATATAATGTATGTTAGAGAAACACTGCTAAGAGTTTTGATAACAGAAAATTGCATGTCAAATTAGAGAGAAATTAATGGGTTTTGAGTGCGAGGAGCTATTGACAAGCATTGGCGTTATCTATATCCCACAGCCTGTTTGATTAAAAATAGCTCTTGTTGACTTAAGTTTTGAAATGAATGATGAAAAGTAATTAAAACTAATTTGATATTGATAATCATAATTATGTAATATTATTAATTTAAAAACTAATTTTATGTCAGCATGTCCATATGAATTACATACTAAAATGTCGGACATTTAAAACCAAAAAAAAAAAAAAAATGAGAGTATTTTATATGTTTAAAAAAAAAATTATAGTGCAGACCCATTCATCTCTTGGTAGTAATTAGACAAATCCAGTTAAAGATTAATTAATGAGTTCAATGTAGGAAGGCTAGCTACATGTATCTTGCTCTATTAAGCAGCTTTGGGGATTAGACAGAAGAACTGCTGGTCAGTTTATAACATATGTCGTTTGATGGCCAGCCTTTTTTTTCAAAATTAATTTGGTATAGATTAAGTTGTTAAGACTAATTTGATGATGGGCATTTGACAAGGTCTAACACAACCAGCACAGAAATCTATCATGATAAACTAATTGATGCCTACATGTTGACAAATCCGAAATTACAGATCTAAATCAATTAAATCTCAAACCGAACGTACATACAGAAGGAAGTGACGCAGAACGCCGATCCGCGGACGCTAGTTCCTCTAATCCGGACTCCCCGGAATCCATGAAGAACTCCACAACAAAAGCCAAGAAAACCATTCAGCGAGACCCGTCCCCGGAGATCACACAAAACGTGACCAAGACCAAACCACAGGGACCAAAGGCAACCAAAAAACCGGAATTACCCACAAAACCCACATTTATAATGCATGGACCAGTACGAGGCGCGCTGTCTACTGACGTCACCAAACCATCCTTAATCAGCAGTCCGACATTACGACAACTCAAGTCAGATAAAACGGGACTCCGAGGGGAGCGGGGCGGCGTGAGAGGTGAAAGTAACAGCGGAAGTAGTATTACAGAGTCTAGTTCCGGGTCAGAACAGGACGCTATACATGGACATATACCCGCCATTGGGAAACGGAACTTACGTAAGACAAAGTCCCGTGGTAAGGGGAAGGGACCCGTGAATCTGTCGTCAGTTTTGTTAGATGAAATCGAAGGTGAACACCACCACACAGAGAGCAGTGGTAATATGGAGGACCATTTTATTATTCCCGAGCACGATCCACTAGAAGACGAGAATGACAATGTGGATTTAGAATCTTGAATAAATACAGATGTTCTATAAGTGATAGGTGAATAAATACAGATGTTCTATAAGTGACAGGTGAATAAATACAGATGTTCTATAAGTGACAGGTGAATAAATACAGATGTTCTATAAGTGACTAAATACAGAATGATGTTCTATAGGTGAATAATTACAGATGTTCTATAAATGAATAAATACAGATGTTCTATAAGTGAATAAATACAGAAACATGTTCTATAAATGAACAAATACAGATGTTCTATAAATGAACAAATACAGATGTTATATAAATGAATAAATACAGATGTTCTATAAGTGAACAAATACAGAATCATGTTCTATGAGTGATACATGTAAGTGCATGATACTGATGTCCTATAAGTGAATAAATACAGATGTCCTATAAGTGAATAAATATAGAATGATGTTCTATAAAAGAATTAATGCAGAATTTTTAGCTCACCTGAGCCGAAGGCTCATGTGAGCTTTTCTCATTTAAATTTGTCCGTCGTCGGTTGTCGTCGTCGACATATTGTAGTCGTTGTTGTTGGCGTAAACTTTTCACATTTTCATCTTCTTGTTAGAGTCTATTCAAATGAAGGGCCATGCCCTTATTTTAGGGGAGATAATTCAGAATTCGTGAGAATTTGGTGGTATGTTTTAGAATTGTTCTTCTCAAGTACCACTGTGCCAGGAAAGATAAAACTTATATTGAAGCATCCTCAGGTAGTGTAGACTCAAGTTTGTTCAAATCATGACCTCCAGGGGTAGGTGGGGCCACAAACTTTTACATAGAAATATATAGGAAAATTCTTTTAAAATCTTCTTCTCAAGAAAAGCATTGTCATAATTATTCTTATTTATATGGAAGCATCCTTAGGAAGTGTACATGTAGATTGAAGTTTGTTGAAATCATGAACTCTGGGGATAGGGCGGGATCACAATCTGGAATCCAAGTTTTGCACAGAAATATGTAGAAAAGAAATCTTTTTTTCTTTTCAAGAAAGGCAAAGCCATAAATAAATAGTCATATTCATATTGAAGCATTCTAAGGTAGTGTATATTCAAATTTGTTCAAGTCATGACCCCTTGGGAGGGGGAGGGGGGGGTGAGGGGGGCACAATGTAAGTTCAAATGTAAAGGGCAATAAAGCCACAGGTAGTCAAAGAAATATGCAGTCATCCGTAGATTCATGTTTGTTCACATCATACACTCTCCACTTTAAGCATCGATTGGAACCACTTATGGGCTAACAATTTTCCAATTTTTTTTTTTTACTTTTTCAGACTTCAATTATCTAATTATAACACATTAATTATAAGGTTTTTCCATCCTCACAGTTTTAATGGTTACAAGTTCAAACCAGAAGTCTCTGTCGAGACTGTAGCTCTACTGGTTTATACTTAAAACAAAGGAAGAGAAAAGTAGCAGTTGGGACTTAAGACTTTAAATCAGCAATAAATAGAAAAATGATCCTTGCCACTCATCAAAATAAAAACCAAAGCACAGAATTATGTATCTTAGTATAGTCTACTTGTGTGCCAAGTTATACTGAAATCAAACCAAAATTGCAAGAGGAGTAGCATTTTGAAAGAATTTCAAAGAAATTTCTTTTTTTAGTAACCATGGCAACATTGTTCATTGAAATCAAAAACCGATGCACAGAATTATGTATCTTAGTGTAGTCTACTTGTATGCCAAGTTATACCAAAATCAGACCAAAACTGTAGGAGGAGTAGCATTTTGAAAGAATTTCATAGAAATTCCTATCTTTAGTAACCACGGCAAAACCGATTATTAGTCCCCTACCGGTGAAACCGGAGGGGACTATAGGTTTCGTCTGCGTCCGTCCGTCCGTCCGTCCGTCTGTCTGTTTGTTCGTCTGTCTGTCCCCGTCAGTCTGTCCCACTTGGTTTTCCGCATTTTTTTCTAAACGCTTGCAGATATTGAGCTGAATTTTGGTACGTGAGTGTATCTTAATGAGTTACAGATCAAGTTTGAATTTCGTTTCGCTTCATTGATTTTTGACAGAATCATGGCATTTTGAATATTTTTCATAATCGCTTAATTAAGATCGGTTTCGAACTGCGCTAACTTCCGATTGTCGACAAAAATATGAAGCAAGGAAAAGACGATGGATAAATGAGTTGAATTGTCGTCTTAATGTTTATTATTTTATTACATTTAAGGCATTTACAACTTGAAAATCTTTCAGTTTAACCTAGGACATGACTTTTGCACATTAAAAGATGACATCCTGAAGATAAAGGGGAACCCGGTAGGGGACATGTATTGCTTATGCAATACTCTCAGAATGCTTGTTGAAATCAACCAGAAGTCTCTGTCGAGACTGTAGCTCTACTGGTTTGTACTTATCAAAAACCATTTCACTATTTTATGTATCTTTGTGTAGTTTACTTGTGTGCCAACTTATTTCGAAATCATACTTAAACTGTAGAAGGAGTAGCGTTTTAAAAGAATTTCACAGAAAATTCTATTTTTAGTAACCATGGCAACACCATTCATTGAAATCAAAAACCGATGCACTATTCTATGTATCTTAGTGTAGTCTATTTGTGTGCCAAGTTATATTGAAATCAAACTAAAACTGTAGAAGGAGTAGCGTTTTAAAGGAATTTCACAGAAAATTCTAATTTTAGTAACCATGGCAACACCGTTCATTGAAATTTAAAACCAATGCACTATTCTATGTATCTTAGTGTAATCTACTTGTGTGCCAAGTTATATTGAAATCAGACCAAAACTGTAGAAGGAGTAGCATTTTAAAAGAATTTCATAGAAAATTCTAATTTTAGTAACCATGGCAACACCGTTCATCGAAATTAAAAATCGATGCACTATTCTATGTATCTTAGTGTAGTCTACTTGTGTGCCAAGTTATATTGAAATCAGACCAAAACTGTAGGAGGAGTAGCGTTTTGAAAAAAATTGTCGAAATTAAAAACAGACAGACGGACAGACAGACCAAAACGGACGAAAAATTGTTTACGACAGACGGACGCATTACTATCGCATAAGCTCTTCTGGTCTCTGACCAGTAGAGCTAAAAACCGATGCACAGAATTATGTATCTTAGTGTAGTCTACTTTTGTGCCAAGTAATACTGAAATTGGACCAAATCTGTAGGAGGAATAGCATTTTGAAAGAATTTCACAGAAATTTCTTTTTTTAGTAACCAAGGCAACACCGTTCATCGAAATCAAAAACCGATGCACAGAATTTTGTAACTAAGTGTAGTCTACTTGTGTGCCAAATTATATTAAAATCAGATCAAAACTGTAGGAGGAGTAGCATTTTGAAAAAAATTCACAGAAATTTCTAATTTTAGTAACCACGGCAACGCCGTTCATCCAAATCAAAAACCGATGCACAGAATTATGTATCTTAGTGTAGTCTACTTTTGTGCCAAGTAATATTTAAATTGAACCAAAACTGTAGGAGGAGTAGCATTTTGAAAGAATTTCAAAGAAATTTCTATTTTTAATAACCACGGCAACACCGTTCATTGAAATAAAAAAAACGATGCACAGAATTATGTATCTTAGTGTAGTCTACTTATGTGCCAAGTTATATTGAAATCGGACCAAAGCTGTAGGAGGAGTAGCATATTGAAAAATTGTTTACAGACAGACGGACGGACGACGGGCGCATTACTATCGCATAAGCTCTTCTGGACTCTGACCAGTAGAGCTAAAAACTGCATTTATTTTCATTTAATATACTTTAATTTTACCAATTGAAACAAAAAAAATTATATAGGTCGCCATATTATTTAAGATGAGAAACATAAATAAACAGACGTATTTCAAAAATCTTACATTTTTTATAGACATTGCAATAATAATTATGTAAAATCTGGTTCAAATGTATCATTCTTATTCTGAAAGTTTCAAAATACTTGCTACTTATAAGATATTTTTGAATTGTAAATACGAAGATTACTTAACATTAGAAGTACAAAAGAGAAAATGCCTGAATGACGATACTCTGGAAGGAGTTATTTCCCTTGTCAAAATTTCTTACAGATTGATTTATTTACTATATAAAGAAAAAAATATACATTTGTAAAATTCTTTTATTTGACATTGTTATACCTTTAAAAATGTGTTCCTATACAAATCTATACGAAAAAAAAGTCTTAACACTTTTAACACTTTTAATGTTTTGCTGAGCAGGCATAAAAAAAATCGATGTTGGACCGCTGAGTGAGATGTTGGACCGCTAACATCACAAAATGAGCGGAGCTTAATCTCATTTTAATTCGCTGGTGTTAATCAGTGACAGACTTTATTTTTCATCACGCATACAGTGCAAAAACATGTATGTCAAAAAAGAAAATAACATGAAAGGTATAACAAAACATTTACTGACAGAGTTTTCGGGCAAAATGCGTTTTGTCGGACTCAAGAACCAAACTGTCTGCCTGAGGCCGTTAGGACTAACGCATGTTGCCCTCGAGCTCAGTCAATAAATGTATTATATTCATCCTTACATCCTTTGAAAAGCATTCTTCCAAAAATATTGTTTTATTTGGTATGAATTTAAAAAAAAATTTTTTTTTTTGCAAAATCCTGTGACATCAAAAGAGGGTCGAAATAACTTAGTACGAAATAGATTTAATAAGAAGGCTAATATTACGGCGGGATTCTTATGTTGTACAATATATCTTGTTGAATTTGAGTATTATACAATTTTGAAGCGTTTTTTTTTTTCATATAAACTATCATGATGATACTACTCTTGTATAATTATATATACATGTAGATGGAAAAAATAAACAAGTAACATTTCTTGCTGATAAGTGAGTCGCTGTATATATTTAGACAATTTGAAAAAAAAAGTTGTTTACATTTTAATTGGTTGAAAAATAAATAAAAGACAAGTAAGGTTGATTTACATGTAGAAAAAAGTTTCCATAGGCTCTGTTTTAATTGCTCTCAAAGTTAGTTGTAGTAATTTTTCATAGTTTTTAGATAGGAAATAAACAACTCTGTGAAGTTAAAGCTGAACACGATTCGTAAAAGTATTGTGTCCGCCATTTTAATTCTCGAGACTCGCTACCCTGCAGGCTCCTATTGATAGGGCAAGAATTAGAGACTTGTCAGTGTAATCAGTGGACACCGGTGTAGACGGACGTATGCTATACATGACCTGGTAGCGAGAATAATAATGTAAAACTTCGTCTAAAGCAGGGAAGTAAGATACCAAATAAATTTACAATTATAGGTACATACGTCAGTGCAGTATACAAACAACATAGATAAACGTAACTGAAATAACGTAAATAAAATATAAACTAAGGTAATGCAAGATAACCAGCACGAACACGGGTCGCCATTCCACGCCGATACCTGTGACAATAAAGCAGTCAGGTGTAACGAATGCGACGAGTATACCCTAGTATGTTTCGTAGATAATGCTATCACAAAAGGCGTATGCCTATTTACGAGTCGTGTTCAGCTTTAAGGGTGGATCGAAATGGCCGTCTAGCTGTCCACAAATATGATATTGTCCGACACTTTCTTACAAACTACTCTGGTTCTAATAGTAGCTCGACGACGTATTATTTCACAAAATAACACTTGAATACGCATGTGTAAATGTAGAACTCAAACATGAGTATGGCGCAGTGGTAAGAATGTCTGCTTTAGAGTCGAGGAATTATAACAAGTTGATCCTTACCTCCGGGGTCAAAGTCCAAATGCGGAGACCGATCCTCGGTGGAAATTGTCCTTCATAGCTCCTGATTCACCTTTGGTGTTCTAAAGGTACATGTCGGGACTGATCCTGATTTTCATTGGTTGAATGGGCTTTGGAGCTTGAATACTGTTCGTTATCCTTACATTTTATTGTATGAAGCGAGGTCCTGTGTCGCAGTAGATCCTGGCAGGAAGAAGATCCTTAATGCTCAATGACCTTGGGTGCCAAGTGAAACGGAAATTGGTTTTGTGATTTAGTTTCATTTTAACGTTAGACCTATGTTTTTACATAAATTCTTAAACACTAAAAAATATTAATTCTCAGATCATACAAGTAGAATGAAACTGCCTATGTACGGGGGCTGCACTGAGGTAATACATGTTGTGTTACGGGAACTCAGGGGACCTCTCTGGTGACGGAGTGGATAAACATTAGTTTGTTTCTTCTCTTGCATACGGTTGTAAGACCTGAATTAGGCAGACGGATGCAGGGGATAAACGGCTAAGTGTTTCACAGTACACCAATGAACGTAAGACCTGAATAAGGCAATCACTTGGTTGTAGAGAGAGGTGGCATACAACAATTAGAGGTGGGGGAAGTGCCAAGATGCAGCAGTACTAGTGGAGAGGCAGGACTAGTGAAATTTACTTGCAGGAGACACCCGTTGACCACAGCTAGTGGTTATCCAATCAAGAAAAACCCGTTGATACATTGTATTGTATTTGTATATATTTGATTGTAATGTTATTTGGTCAACAAAAATCTGAGTTAACAGGTTAACGAACCTAGTGTAACGCCTCGGTGATACAAGACATATCACCACACACCAAGCTCGGCCGCGTTGCACGTTACACAAGCATTGGTTTAACTTTGAAGCCCACCAACTTCAAGTGAAATTTCTCAAGAAGGACGTTATATTTCAAACAAACTCAAACAAGATTTAGTAACATGAAACAGAAGACCTCTTGGAATTTTTTCTTCGGTCAAGCCATCTAGATATATGATGTAAAATCCAAGACATTGCCATTTCTATTTCTTACTCCGTGTTAATTTTTATACACGTATTATCTCTGATTTAATGCACGTTTTTATCAAATATATATTGGTATGACCTTCGATTGTATTGAACAGGTAACTAGGGCCCCGCAAGGATTTGCAGGTGCCCTATAGTAATCACTCTGTCTGTCTGTCTGTCATTCTAATAATTTTTCTATGATTGCCAATCAAGTTCAAATTTTGTATGGCGGTTCAGTAAGGAGAAATACATATTTTGATGCCGAATTTGGTTCTCTATGTCTTCTGCTTTGGAGCTGGGTGGTGGGGTAGATTCCTTAACTATGCATAAGAATGAATGGGCAAAGAGACATAACTGCTGGGAATGTTACCATTGTAAACTGGGAAGGCTGTGCAATTTGTCCTTTTGAATTAATTGCCTTTCCACATGAAGAAATCTTAAGCATTATCTTTATCTGTCACATTGAGATTAATTACTATATCGCCTCTGTCTACAAATGAACTTTGTTTGAAGTTGAGGTCAATTTTGAATGATGTGTACATTTTCTGAAATATGGATTTAAAATGATATTTTTACTTTATTTTGGTTAAAATTCTGTACACATTGATTTATGATAATTTTATTGAATTGTAAAATCAAGATATATATCAAGATATCCTTCTTAGGTCACCTGAGTAAACTCAGGTGACCTATTGCTATCTGTTTTCGTCCGTCGTGTGTTAATATTTGAACATTTTCAGCTTCTTCTCTACAGCCACTGAACCAATTTCAACCAAATTTGGCACAAAGCATATATGGGTGAAGGGGAACAAAAATTGTGAATTTCATGATCCCTGCCCCCTGGGGCCTGAGAGGTGGTGCCAAAACCACTAAAATTAATTGCAATATTTAAAAATCTTCTTCTTTACTCCTGGACATCAAGCAGTCAAACTGTTTGCATGATTGTAATCAGCAATGAGTCCTCTACCAAAATTGTGAAATTCATGGCCCTGGGGTCAGGTGTTCTAGTGCTAGGGCGGGGCTAAATAAGTAGGTAGTGAAAATGCAATATTTCTTTGAAAATCTTCTTCTCTGCTCCTAGGTATTAAATAAACCAACTAAGTACATAGTTATGATGAGCAAGAGTGCCTCTACCAAAATTGTAAAATTTATGGCCATGGGGTCAGGGGTTCTGGTGTTAGGACGGGGCTCTATTGATCATATAGTGAAAATACATGACTTCATTGAAAATCTTCTTCTCTGCTCCTGGGTATTAAATAAACTAACTAAGTACATAGGTATGAGTGCAAGAGTGACTCTACCAAAATTGTGAATTTTATGGCCCTAGGGTCAGGGGTTCTTGTTTTAGGGTGGGCTCTAATGATTATATAGTGACATGCATGTATTCTTTGAACATCTTATCCTTTGCTCCTGGTTAATATACTAATGATCAAATTACATATTAAAGGGCAGGTTTTATTCTATTTTTCAGTTTTACAAACCCTCCGCTCAAGGTTTTTAATTTTCAGAAAAAAAATAAAACAATTTTTTTCTTTCCGATGTCAAATTTGCGTCGGGATCGAGATTTCAAATTTACGAACTCGCACTTCCGGTTTTAAGATGAAACGGCGGGTAATTAAAGTTAGATCTAAGACAAAAATTGCTTGGTTTAGTGTAAAATTCATCGATACGAAGGCATTCAAAACGTTTCACACGTTCAAAGGACAAATAAAATGCTGACGACTTTGTTGCACAATGACATGCTGGTGAGATACATGTAATTATGTATTCGTTTCAAAAGTATCTGTCTGTTAATTATTTTCGTCCCCCAGGTTTTAAACAGTTAACTACCTGTGGTAGCTATTGCATATTGCCAGCGACATTGTTTAGGTCTCTAATATAGCTTACAGTCTAAGCATCATTCTTCTGAAAAGGGTTGCTTATGCATCAGATGTAATGAATAAAACTATGGGAGAAGTTAAGTCCATTTGAGGAAGAAATAAACAATAACCCGAAGAAATAAAAAAATCAACAATTAAAAGGCAAGAATATATAGAGATATATATATACAGGCATGTAGTATCATTTGTATAAGCCAAAAAAATTATTTTACACTTAACTTAATGTTCACCCTACTCCCCAAATTTCTCCCTGTCAGTTTTAAGCCAGCCCCAGAGACAAAGACAAAGTACGAAAAGGGAACAATTTAGGAAGGCACAAAAAAGGCTCTTTAAGAATCAGTCAGAAGATGATTCCGTTGATGATGAATCATACCAACCCACCAAGGAAAGCGAAGAAGATGCCTGCATCACGGACTTGAGCGGTTTATCAGAAACTGAGGGCCATGAATACGTTCCTAGAAAACGAAATCCTTCTAGGGATCCATCCTCACCAGGGTACGGCAGGAAAGGTAAGGTAATAAAGTTGAAATACAAAACCGGATTGAAGAAGAAGTAGCAAGATTCTGGATTCTATAATGTCCAAGAAGAGTTTTTAAATTTATCAGTATGGGAAAAATTTGACAGAATGTATTTGCAATCAAAATCTATAGAAGCTGATAATAAGGTTAACCATTTGGCGAAGAATGTGTTATAAAATGGGTAAGGGTAGTCTTGACTTCTCAACAAAGACCATCCACAGAGATTTAATCAATGAATTCATTGACTTCATGAAGTCAATGGGTGTCAATCCCCAAACAAGTCACAATTACCTGAAGTCTCTGAATCATTTGATTTCGTATTATGTAAATGCATCAGAGCTTTACGTCGAAGACCGGGAAGAACGAAAAAGACTGAAAGCCGAAAGAAACTTGATCGACGAAATTCTCAAGGTGGGTGTCTCAAAGGACGCACGCGTCCGGTACAGGCTGAAAATCCTTACTGCCCCTCCGCCATTACAACCAGCGCAGATTGCTGAACGTGTGAACATACTTCGAGCCACTGCAGTAAAGGAAATGGATGAAATAGAAAAAGTTAAGGCATTAAAGATGGATAACATAGCTTTACTTAACAGGTACATAGCTTTTGAGATCTGTTTGCGTCAAGGACATCGGCCAGGAGTAGTAATGAACTGGAAAATTCAGACCTACATTTCAGCACTCGAGAAACCACAGAACAACCCAGTGTTTAGAGGCGAGAAGATGCTTGTCCCAGTGCATGAACATAAGACCGCTGATAAATACCTTGCCAGGATTGTTATGGATACTTTCCTGCAATCATTTTTGGAGAAGTACCTGCGACTGGTGAGGGGCGAGATTGTTAGAAAAACCAGGACCACGAGTGATAATGTCCTGCTGCAGAGTAAGGGAGAAGCTTTCTTGAAAGTCGGAGATGGAATTAATGACCTACAAAAGAAGCACGGTTTTAAGACGACTTTTATAACAACATCGGATGCTAGAAGGTCGCATGAATCCTTCAACCAAGCAAATACGAGTGAACAAGCTAAAAACATTTCAGACTTCATGTGCCATTCGGAGGACACGAGAGACAGGTGTTACAGGTTTGCCAACTGTGAATCTGCCTGTCAGGCCCTCTACGACATATACAACCCCGCACAATCGCTGTCTAACCATGCCACGGCAGGAGCAGGCAATGCCTACAGAGAGGAGGGCCCAAGGGAGGTAAGTGAGACAGCCACAGTTGGTGCAGAAAAAGAGAAAGGACCAACGTCACAAAAGGTAAGAAGGAAAGACACAACAGATAAACCTGGAGAAGAAGCAGTAACTCGAGATAAAGGTACCATAGAAAGTCCCAGCCCAAGCAAAAGGACATCAACTAGGGAACCAGGGTCAATTGGGAAAACAAGAGTGAAGGCGGCGCTGACCCGACAATATGGAGACCTTGCGGATGCAACAATTCCCAAACCGTCCGAGTTGAGCAAATATGGCATAAAGAAAAGCAACAGAGAAAAAATAGCCAGGGATCTTCGCTATGAGGTAAGGATTCACGAAGATGCTGCGCGATATTTGTTGAAAAGGGAGGCAAGGGCTGCTAAAGTGGACATAAAGGACCTAAAAACACATGTTCCAAGAGCTTATAATGTTCCTGAAAACATTTCAAGAGGTAAGAAATTAGAAAATGATTTGTTGAAAAGGAAAATGGAAGGGTTTTGGAATATTGAGAGATCAAGGCCCAGTCCAACTGACGAGGACATAGTTAGACTGATAGAAACCCAGGAGTGGCCCAATATAATGGTAAGGAATGTAGAAGAGCTAGGTAAGGGAGTATTCACCATGGAAAGGGATTTTGAGAGGGGTGATGTTGTGTGCGACTACCATGGGGATCATATTTCGGCTTCCGAAGGAGAAAAAAGAATGAAAACATATGGAGATGACCCAGCTGGGAACTATTTTTTATTTTATAAGAATGCGGAAGGCTCGAAAAAGTGCTGTGATGCCTCCAAGTTACCCTGTAAATGCCACCCGAATCTTGAATCAACAAAAGGACGGTTGATCGACCATTCAGCCACTAATCCAAACTTAAATTCAAAGGTAAGAAAACTAAATGGCGAAACTGTAGTGTTACTGGTTGCCCAAGAACGAATTCCTCCATTCACACAACTTTGGCATGATTATGGTGTGCGGAAATCTGAATCGGGGGAAATTATTGATTGGTTAAATAAATAGATATTAGACTGTTTCATTATTACTTGGTAAATGCTATTGTCAATTCTACAGTGTTATGTGAATAGTTCTTTATATAGTTTGGTTTTGTTTATTTGAAACTCCTAACATTTATTAATTTAGTTATCATATGTTTCGTACTAAATACCATATGCTTCCTATTTTCAGATCCATTGGTTTACTTGTTTTCATGTTTAAGTTGATATCAAAGTTTCAGCAGAAAATGAAAAAGATGGGGGGCCGCCCAGGTCGACGTGAAGGAGTGCAGGCATCACTAAAAAGCCGCGCAACTACTCTCGGTCTGGTGTCCCCTGCAAATTCATCAAGGGAGACACAACAGTGAGTCCTGTATGATAGGAATTATAATTGTAGGCAACAAGTAAATTTTAGAACAATGTCTATACATTTACCTAACACATATTTAAAAAATGAAGATGTATTGAGAGACTTTTAAAGAATTGGTTTTTTAAAACATATTTTGACCAACATCACAAAATTTATATAACTGGCCCAAACTGGCAGATGATGAAATAAGGAATTCAATGTTCTACTTTCCTAATTGTTAGCATTATGTGTCCAGTGGTAAGGGGCCTATTACAATAGCATAAAAAAGAATGTTCAAATATTAATGATTGATTTATCAATTTTTTTTATTTCCTTATCCTTCGGGACTTTTTTCTTCTCATTTCATAACTAAACCTAAACATGCTGGCCTTATAATGAAGAAAGTGGCCTCTTTCAAAATAGATAATTTCCCTCTAGGTCAGGGGTGCCAGATGGGTACTTTGACTAAAATATAAGCAACAAAGTCAACATTATTGATAAGCAATAGTGCCTCTTTCAAAATTTTTGAATTTCATGGCTTTGGATTTAAACTCGAACCAAATACAATCGCTGGAAATTTGTTACATGATACTCAGGTGACCTATAAGGCCCGTGGGCCCCTTGTTTTTTATTTATTTTTTTCTTGTTGCCTTAATGCTGTTAATTTTTAAATGTAATCAGATAATATCCCCATTCTGTCAGTGCTGAAAAAATTCTCATTGTAAATTTTGAAGATAATGATGAGAGACCAGTACAATCAAGGATACACCAAAGACTTTTTTCAAGATTTTTGTCAATTTATAGATTTGTGGCTTAAAAACCAATGCTAATCACTGCTTTATGATGCATGAAAATGATTATTAAATGGTTTTCTAATTATTTAAAAGTAATCAAACATAAACACTAACACATGTGAATGTGCCGTTATTGACTTGGTCTGTAACTGCCTGCTGATGAATGGAGCAATAAATCACTGTGACCACATGGGGAATTCTTCTTCGCTAGCCACACAGAGGCTATCATTAATTAAACTACAGGGACTCTAATTTAGGGAAGGAGATCTAAAAGGTCATTAATGACCATGAAATAAGAGGTGGAGCCATTTTTATAGGGGAATCTTTCGGATTCAGAATTGAACCTATTTTACCTCTTTAAAAGCACCTAGATAAAGAACAGAACCTCCCATTCTTGTGAATATGCATAGGAAATATGGATAAGCGACATGTGTCCAAAGCTGAATCTTACAGGTGTCATATATTTCTAGCTTTGGCTGGCCAGAATGCGTCTCAAATGTGTGTTCACAAAATCGTATCTCAGATTTTTGATATCTTGCTCAGTTATCGAATTATTGGGGGAAATGTAGAATTGGGCTAAACTCTTTTAAACTTTTTTAAAGTTTCGATATTTATTTTTCTTCTTACATCATTTTTTATCAATAACATATACTGTTAACCTGGAAATTTTTGCTTTAGATAAATTTTTAGCAGTTTCGAGTTCATTGCAATCGCTAATATATTTTTCTTTATAAATTACCAATAAGACAATGTAAACAAAGCAGTGGTCATTCGCAAAATTTTGAAACGTAAAAATTAATGAACACCTTTTTACCCCAATTCGCAAAATAAAATCGACCTTAATTAATCGACCTTAAAAATTCCAGATTTATGGTAATGTATAATCAGAATTGTCAAATATTTCACCGAGTCACATCACAGCACATATTTTGACAAAGTCGTCTCTTTACTTCTCCTGGAAAAAAAGTTGTACCGGTAATTCTTGATTGTAGGGCTGACTTCGTATGGATACTGTGTCTACGTATAATGGCAAGAATCACACTCATCTGGCGCACAAAGTCTTGACTGTTTTCACGGCACATTAGGTATTGCATCACAATTTCACCGGCTGTTTGAGTCCTCTGAATTAGGGTTTGGATTATGGGCTCACTTGGATCCTAACGTGTATAGCGTAACGATGTCCCAAGCCTGGCTGAAGAGATGAATGTCGTCTACTAGGATGCTGATAGTTGGTGACCGCAGGAGATTAGGTGAGACCTTTATCAATGACAACAACCATTTACACGTATAGTGTAGAATAGATCCAATCATCCCAAGTTTCATTTCTCACCCACTTAACAAATTTAACACCATTTTCTGGATAAAGTTTGAACGTTTGGATGTTTTAAATAATTATTGTTCATGTACATTTAAATTAAATTTGAAAAATGCCTATTGGAGAAATTGATATCTAAACATTGTTGTCTGTTATCAGGCTGATAAAGTTAAGATTGGGTATTTGAAGGAGATGTTGACTTTGTTGAGGAAGTTCCTTGAGAAGATTGTTAGGCCAATGATCATAGAATCCACTAAGGACCTCACACCTGTGCCATTCAAAGACAGCAACTCCCAGCTGATTGATTGATTGTATACTGTTTAACGTCCCTCTTCAGAATATTTCACTGATATGGAGACGTCTCCATTACCGGTGAAGGGCTGCAAATTTAGGCTTATGCTAGGCACTTACGGCCTTTGAGCAGGGAGGGATCTTCATCCGAAGGACCGCCCATTTAGTCGCCTTTTACGACAAGCAAGGGGGTTCTGAGGACCTATTCTAACCCGGATTCCCACGGGGCAACTCCCAGCTGAATGACAACATCATTGCCACTGGTGTAATAACGTGGACCATGAGGATGAAATTTAACTAGCTCTTTCAAGAGAACATTTACAGGAGAAAAAAAAGAAGCAGTTTCAGAATTCTCAGAACAAAGAAAATAAGTAGTATTTGCAACTTGTACAAATGAAAAGAACGTATACGCAGGCAGGGTTAGTTCTGTTTTTCTTTCCCCCATGGCAGTCGATGTCTTAAAATTCCAGGGTCTTGTCTGGTAGGATTTTGAAGAAGATGCCGGTTTCTTCAGCATTGTAGATATCTGGGGAGTACGTCTGTAGTAGATGTGTTAAGAAATAATGCATTTTCAAAATATAATCAATAGAGCTCAACACCAGAACCCCTGACCCTGGGGCCATAAAAATCATAATTTTGGAAGACGCATTCTTGCTCATCATAACTACATAGTAAGTTTGTTTAATACCCAGGAACAAAGAAGAAGATTTGTTAAAAAAAAGTAATTTTTACTATAAATATATAACCTCGCCCTTGCACCGCAACCACTGATCATGGGTCTTTAAAATTCACAATTTTGGAAGAGGCATATTTCCTCACCATAACTATATACTTAGTTAGTTTGTTTAAATACCCAGGAGCATAGACGATTTTCAAAGAATTTCTGTATACTATGATTATAGAGCCTCTTCCTAACATCAGAACCCCAGACCCTGGGGCCATAAGATTCACAATTTTGGTGGAGGCATACTTTCTTATCATAACTTTATAATAAGTTAGTTTATTTAAAACCCAGGAGCATAGAAGATTTATATAAAAAAAATAATGCATTTTCACTTTTTAATCAAAAGAGTCCCGATTGAAAATTGGTATCAAGCATTTGAAAATGATTATGTAATTTCAAAACAAAAGGTGAAGCTGGGTAATATTGAAGGAAGTTGTTTAGAAAATTTTCTCATCTTGTAAGGACAAAAGTATTTGTATTACTCAAGAACTCAATGTATTATACCTAAATTTACAGAAGCTGTTAACATTTTTAAGTATTACAGGAAAATTGAAAAATATTGTGAGAGCAATTTTCATTGTAGAACTAAAATGTATAGTAAATGGGCAATGTTTGATTTGATTTGTCATACATAATTCCAATTATTACTTAAGGTGAAATTATGAAAGCTGGTATTTGGAAAAGGTGCACAGAGTGCGTGTGGTGTGTGAGGGTGTGTTTTTGTGTATGTATTTTGTTTTCTTTTGTAAGTATAAAAATTTTCAAAAATAAAGCATTAAAAAAAAAAAAAATAGGAGTCCCGACCTAATACTAGAACCCCTGACCCCGGGGCCATGAATTTCACAATTTTGGTAAAAGACTCAATGCTAATTACAATCATGCAAACAATTTGACTGCTTGAAGTCCAGGAGTAAAGAAGACGATTTTTAAAGATTGCATTTATTTTAGTGGTTTTGGCCCCACCCCTCAGTCCCAAGGGGGACAGGGACCATGAAATTCACAATTTTCGTTTAAATGCTGTCTACCAAAATTGGTTGAAATTGGTTGAGTGCTTCTAGAGAAGAAGCTAAAATGTTCAAAAGTTTACGCCCGACTTACGACGATTGACTAAACGATATCGCACTCAGGTGACCTAAAAAATGCCATAATTTTTTCAGTAATTTTCAATTATCTCCCCTTCGAAAGGGGCGCGACCCTTCATTTGAACAATTTTGAATCCCTTCAACCTTCAAATTTGGTTGAAATTGGTCCAGCGGTTCTTGAGAAGAAGTCGAAAAGGTTACGGACATACGGACAGACAGACGGACATCGGACAAAATGTGATCAGAAAAGCTTACTTGAGCCTTCGGCTCAGTTGAGCTAAAAATGGGACCGGAAGTTCACTTCGCGAGATCGGAGTTCGAGCCAATACACACAAATTAATGTCTGCCTGACAACAGATCTTGATTATAAGCGTCCAGATTACTTTGAACACGATAACATAGAAACAACAATGCTTGGAATTATTTTCTATTGTTCTGCATATCGGCCTCCATCTGCTACCTCCCCCTGGGTG